AACCACTGCGGTCACCCACAGACCGCCTCCATCAGATGGGTTCACACAATAGCTCTGGACCCCCTTCCCATTGAAAAAGTGACCTCTGCTGGAAACATGATGATGCTCATCAGTGTTAATGGAGATCAGGCTGGAGTCTGAACATTCACCTTTAGTCACGCATCTATTTCCAAACCGTTGGGATCATTCAGGTGTTTAATACAGGAGTGTTGCTTATCTGGCATTAGTTTTCACACAATCTTTTTTTGTGTCTTTAAATTCTTTCGTTTTAAAAGCAGGACGGTCAATCTGTCCAGAAATAGTGCCCTTTTCTCCATGTAAATTCAGAAATCCCACATACTTTCTTTCCCACCTCCGAGTTGCTGCAATCTCCAGGAATTCTGCTCCTTTCCAGGAACAGAGGACGGAGAGGGGTTTCCACATTCCTCCACAGATTTCTTACATTAAAGTGTTTATTTTGCCAAACTGAACTGACTGAACCGATCGGAGCAGAGCAAAGATCTGAGCTCATGGGAGAGCCGGTCATGCGTGATATATAATGTTTATATGTCGCCGTGCCGCCCCGAACCAAAACCCAACGGTCCCAGAGACACACGCCGCTCAAAGTTTGATGATAAATATAATTTATTGCAGATGAAACAGAGCCTCACTCACACTATCAGGTGTTTACAGCTTCAGACTGGAGTCCTCTCACACGCTAAAACATGAGCTCATTCATTCACTACAGCCACTCAGTCATTTAGAAAGACTGGAAACGTGATATTTCCAGTTTTAATTAGCCAGTCAAACATCTCAGGCTGTGAAAGCAGAAGGAAACGGTTGAATTAATGTACAAAACCCACACAGAACCGTGTTGAAATAAAATGCTTCACACATGTCGAACGCCATCAAACAACATAAACTCATGATGAATTTGCATGCTAACCTTTAGGGTGTCTGGGTTCAGATCCACAGAAATCAATAGAACATCAACTCCCACAATCCGCTGCATTTTACACAAAGCTAGAACAGCAGTAAAGAGAGGGAGAGAGGAGTCTGGCCTTGAAAAATAAACTACATCAAGTTAAGATATGTCAACATTCTGCTCGAGTCAATCAGTTTTCTCACAAAAAGGAGAAAAGACTGATGTCAACTGGCTTATTTTTGGCTCAGGTTTGGGGCTGATCAGTGAAATGCCGTTTGATTTGCCCCATATTCTAATTTTATGTGAATTTAATTTGGCTTCATTTCTAAACTTTGGTTGAAAAAAAAAGAATTTACAGAGAAAATTACATCAAAAGAAGTTAGGTTGAGATTTTTCCAGTCAGCTCAACTCCTGAAGCCATTAAAAAAAACAAAAAAAAACACCAAACTTCTGTTTAGGCTCCTTTCTTTGTTTAAAAGACGCACTTCTCACTGTGAGAGCGAAATCAGACGAGAGTGTTTGTAGTTTTGTAGATTATCCCACAGCTCCAGCACCAAGTCAAAGCAGGAAAACGAAAGCACCGACGGGTTAACTGACCTTTATATCCCCTAAAAGAGGACAAGATTTTCCCCCTAAAAAGTTGACCCTGTTCATTCCAGCGCCAACACACGGCAACACACACATTGCAGTTATCAGATATTTCCTCTCAGACGTGAGTACCGAGGTGTGGACTACCTGAGCTGCCGTACCAGCACCATGGCTCTCCAAGATGGTGGAAAACATGAAGACTCCTCAGAAGTGAGGCCAAAACAGCGTTAAAAATAAAGAGAGACCCACCTCAGGAGCTTTGACCTCAAGAGAAAACAATTATTTCCTTTATGTTACGGTTAAAAAAAAAAAAAAAGCCAGACGGGGCCTGGCCCGTTAAAGCTTAACGCCTCAGCAGGATCTGACCACACTCATGTACACAAAAACACTCAAACCAAATGAGCACACGGCAAAAATAAATCAAATCAAAAGCAATAAATAGTAAGCACACAGTGCCAAAACTTGAAACTTTACATCTCATCTTTTTTTTTGTTTTTCCTCCACACTTTCTTTCGTATTTCCCTCTTGATTTTTCTCTCCTATACGTTCACATACAACATTTCCACCCAGATCCTGAAACCTTCCGACATGTTCCCCCCCCACAAACGCCTCTCCCCCCCCCCCCCCCTCCCTCCACTTACTCGACCCGTCACACTTCAAAAAGCGGCGCGCACACGCATGCTACAGTACAGATCAGTAGGTTTAGCTACGCATGTTGAAAAATGACAGTGAAACCCACAGTGACGAGACACACACAGAATCACGGCTACGCCTCAGTAGCAGCCGGCGGCCATTTTGGTGTCCAGCATTGGGATTGGTTGATTGGTTGATTGGATATCAGGGGATGCACTTCAGTCCCAGCAGGGTCGGTCGTCTTTGGCCGCGATGAAACGTCGCTCTGAGGGGAGACGAGGAAAAATATTAGGCGTCTACTTTAGTAAATTTTGTAGTTTGACATTCTTTTGGGCACAGGAGAGAAAACGAGTCGGGGCATGTGAGCGGGCTGAGATTAAGAGCTGCGGACAGACGGGTTTTTGAGCCGTTGAACAGAAGTGCTTTAATGATTTAATTCAGACTCCCTTTGTCGTGTTCTGCGGGGCTTCAGCTTCAATCACAGACAGATTAATGTCTTAAGCAACACCTTGTTCCTTTGAATATCTTTTAACAAATTAATTAAGACCTGAGCAAACATTAATAGAAAGTTTTACTATTCTAAGGAGCTCCTTTCTCCTCCATATCTGAACTCTCTCCCTCTTGAATCACATTCAGATTGTCATCATCTGCTGGTGATAGTGTTTTGGGACCTACTTTTTTGTCCTCTACGTTTTCCTCAAATGTTTTAAGGACACGCTGCACACCATGCTGAGATATGCCAAGTTTTCTGCTAGCAGCTCTTTGGGAATCAGCTTGTTGCTGCAGAAATCCATCTTATTCTTAATGCCTCGAACAAATAAAAAAGCACCTTTAAAAAGTTGCATTCCCAGTCCTGAACGTGGCATTATGAGGGGAGAACTTGCAGAGGTTTTGGTTGCAGGCTTTGGTTCGCTACTGGACTTAAGAGTCCAAATAAAACTAAACAAATATGATCCGAAAGACTCAGAATAACCACTTGGGAGGTTTGTGCACAAAAAAAGTTCAAAGACGAATAAACAAGATGTTGAGTCATTCAGTTTTTTTCCATGAGCCTTAAATTCAGCCTTTTTTCCCCTTTTTTTGGCTAAAAATGGAGCACTTCTGCAGATCTGAGATCAGGCCGAACTCATCTCGCCCTTTTTTTGTATAAAACATTAAAAATGTGTTTGTTGTATTTTGTGTGTTCGATAACTTTGTGTTTCTGGAAGAATGACTTACTTTTTTTTTTTTTTATGCCTCGCCAACATTTTAACCTGCTGACATAAAAGGAAAGCTTCATTAGCCACGCAAACCGTGAAGGCTGAAACTGGATTTTACACACGGGTAAAATCCAGACCAGTTCTCAGGACCGAAACATAAAACTGGGAAAGAAGACTGAATGCGGCAGGTGATCTTATGAAACTCTGATTCAGGTTAATATTCTAATGAGCCGAACCAAGGGAGCAGACCAGGAGGTGGCTTCCCCTCCTCTCCTCTGGGGGGGGGGTCCCCTCGTAAAGAGGAGGAGATCCATGAAGCCCTCTTTGATTCAACACTGACCTCATTGATTCTGTTGATTTGTACTAAAACTTACTTCCTACTCACACAGGTGGTTTTTGTTAGAGGCTTTCTAAAGGTTCTACTGCCAGATTTTAGCAAGTTGATTCATAACGATTAAAAAAAAAATCATCTTATATACAAAAGGGAGTGTTTTTTTCTTTAAATATCATGTTACAGGATATCTGCACGTGCATATGCTGTGCTTTTGATACAGTTTAATGAGTATTTTAGTTTATCTCTGCAGAACTTTTCTTTGGAAACTCCCGAGGACTTTCATTCGTGCACATTTTATCAGCTGAAATGATTTTTGCATCTACTTGCGTTTGGAAATCTGGTTATGTGAAGTGCCTTCAAAAGTGATTCTAAGGAACAACCCTGAAGGTTAAAAGCTTGAAACACTTCAAATAAGAGAGTTGGGGATTTTTTATGATTCAAATCTGAAAAATGCAAAAATAGTTTTCTTTATTTATTTATTTATTCAATTTTGTTATTTTTCTGCATGCTCTGCATTATAACAAATGTTTGTGTTTTCTTTTAAGTGGAACGTGATCGGAAAAGAGATTTGTTTACCTCTGTCTTTCCCGTTCAGCAGTCTTTCCTCATCCTCCCGACTTTCATCTGTTTGGAAGCAGAACAAACGACAAATAAATGTGAGCCGAGGCAAAAACCTCACAGAATTAGACTCCTCGTAGTTCTCAAAAAGTTAAAGGAGCTTTTTTAAAAGAACAAACTGGGAGCCCTGGGGCCTCGTACCGGAGTGGAGCTCTTTGACCAGCGAGGAGACGGTGTTGGTGATGGAGTCAGCTGCCACCAGAAGATCATTCCTTAGGTTTCTTCTCGGGCCTCAAAGAGAAAAATAACACTGTTACTATTTTACCATCCAAAGAACAACTCATCAAACGCCAGGCTGGCTCCATGTGCCTTTAAGGAGGTTAAGAACACCCAATATGAAGGAAAAACACTCCTCTGGACTAAATATGGAGCAGAGGTCCTAAAAACAAAAGAAAAAAGCTTTTCATGAGCTTTAGAAATCAATAAAACTTGATATTTTTGCCTAGCATTTCCAATTAAACATTTCTGATGCATCAGCAACTGTTAAACTAATAAGAATCCCTTCACTTATAAAAATCATTTACAGCTGGTCTGTTTTTCTACTCTCAAGCTGATGGAAATGTTTCAATCACTCAAATAAATCCACTCACTCCAAAAGAAGTCCTCTAAACAATCACATTAAGATGGAACAAGAGCAACAAAGACTTGCTTTTTTCTTCTTATTTACATTATAAGGGAAGCAGCAGCGTAATCACACAATCCCAGATGCTACCTTGAGCAAAGGCCTCTTGGACGTCCCCCCCCACCCCGGCCAGGGAGTCCTGGGGGGGGTACATGTGGGCGTGGGGAGAGGCCGCCCCCACTGAGCGGGCGGTGGACGGGCTGGGCCGAGAGGGAGAGGCGTGAGAGGAGCCGGCCGCCTGCGCCTGTGGAGTAAATCACATCTAGTTACACACATTAGGACTAGCTTAAATAACACAATGATACTTTCCATTGTTACATAAAGCCGGCGTTCTGTGACCAACTTATTATAGAGCCTATTTGGTTCAAAGCAGACTTATTTGGGTTTGAATTCCTCCTTTAGTTTGCAACCAAAGGGGCGTAAACTTACTGCCTGCCGCTGCTCCTCGTCCTACGGGGCCGCAACAGGCGCAGCCGGAAACAAACAGGAAGGAAAAGGGTGGAAAAGAAGACGTCAGACGCAGCCGGAGCCAGAAAACAGAAAAGGGGAGATCATAAAGGAGGAAAGAGCTGGGCGGCAAAGGCAGAGGCCGGGAGGCGCAGGGAGGAGGGAAACGTTGCCCTCTAGAGTGAGATGAGAGTGTGTGTGAGTGTGTGTGTGTGTGTGTGTGTGTGTGTCACCTTGAGCAGCTTCATCAGGCCCTCCAGCTGCACCATCAGCTCCCTCCTGCTCTCCTGCAGAGACGACATCCTCTGCTCCAGTTCATCTTTCCTCTGTCTGCAACACACAGCGCGTTACCGTCAGGGGGATAAACCGGCCCGGCACACAGAGTCACGGGGGGCAGAGGACCGAAATAGAGCGCCCAGACTATCGGAAAGTCATCCGGGCTGCCGGAGAGAACGAGAGCAGGTTCACCCGGCAGTGATTCCCACTTAGCCGCATCCTGGTGCCCATCGTTTTAGCGGAGACAGCTTCGTTCTGATTAGGGGAGCTGATTCAGTTAAGCGGACGCAAAATGGGTGACCGATGAGTGACTGGGCTCGCGTCAGCCTGAAATAACTCGAAGGAGAAGTCCAGATGGGAGTTTTTCCAGAGTAAGAAGGCATCAGATGCAGGAATTGATTACTTTAGGTCGACTTTTTGCGTGACGTCCTTGACAACTTCCTGAAGGAGGGTTTGTTCCTGGGCAGCATGTTCAGAGGAAAACCCAGATAAGATGAATCTGAGCCCTGATATGATGCTCCCTATTTAGCACTACCGGCTCCTTTTCCCCCTCAACAGTAAGTGGTTTAAAGCAGGAGCTCCAGCTTTAATGTCCGGGCTTCTCTTCACATGGTATAAAAACAAAGGACTTAATAACAATTCATATCAGAGTCCAACTCCTGCTGTAAAAAGAGTTTTATTTTAATTTGATCATAGTGCAACACTTCCGCCGGAGGACTGCCAGAAGTGCCCACTTCGTCAATATTACTTCAGATTTACTGAGCAGAGTTTCCTCCAAGAACAGAGTGTTGTTCAGGGGACAAATCACTCAGAAACGCCACCGGCAGCGACTCTAACTCAGCGATTACTCTTAAGATGTAAAAAATGAATGTGCCAAACAACAGCAAAGTGGCTCTGAAGTGGGACTATTCAAGTTAAGACAAGACAAAGATAATTAAGCTACAATCAGAGAACGCGCCACAGCTTTTTTTGACACCAAAGGCTTGTGCTTAAATTCAGGTAAAAGGCGATAAAAACCACCTCCTGTGGCTCCGGCGGCCTTAAAAGGATGACGTCACGCCACTTGTTTTTGCTTGCCGCTCATTTTGCAGACATTTAGACCTAAATCTAACCTTGTTTCAGAGCCTGTAAACACGTGTTAGTTGACCCTGTGCGCCCACTAAAATACCCACGAATGCTGCGCGAAAGGTGTTGAGGGGCCTGCTAACTAGTAAAAAAAAATAAAAATCATAAAGTCTGTACATTTTACATCATCAACCAAGTAAAGATGAGAAAGGAAAAAAAGGTCACAACCTCATGAACCAGCCAGAAAATGCTCCAGGGCCCGTTACATGAATGAATGTAAATAGAGACTGTAATTAACTTTTTCAACTCTTACAGCCCTCTGTGTGAGTCCGACCAGGGGCAGGAGACTAACCCAGAGTTTCCTGTAAAACGGTTTAGGGAGGTTTACCTCCAAAAGACGACGAGATCACTGGATGTTTGCAGAGATTATTCTATTCATTTGTTTTCTTTTTTCTTGTTTTCCTTTTATAATGGCCAGACACTGTCAGGTCTACAGAGGGGTCCTGTTTCTTTTTCGGTTATCATTTCAAACCCTCATGAACTTTAAGATTCAAACATCTGGCCCAAACCTGTAAAGATTTAACAGTTGAAATGAACAGTTAACAGTTTAATAATCCTTCTACAAGAGAGTGGAATGATGTCACTTCCAGCTTCAACCTGCTATGAGTTAAATTTGAGCTTTTTTTTTTCCGTTGTTTTCACCACAACGTCAATAACTGATTCAAACCATGATGCGATTAACTCCAAATCTAAATCAGGAAAGGCGCATTTTCCGATTCGTACTGTTGCTCTGGCGCTATTCTGATCCCAAATGAAGACGCCTAAACGTTTTTTTAACCATCGAATGTGTGGACACAACATCCCAAAACAAAGGGAAAATGTGGGATTTGTTTTTCCCCTGGAGGACAAACGGTGTAACAGAGCTGCAGTAGCCACAGCCCTCAAGAATGGTTCACTCTAAACCCCCCCTCTCTCTTTTTCCCTTTGAGTTTTTGTTTTTCCTGGACAGCATCAACGTGTTATGTTTATGTTATGTTTCTGTCGAGGCTTTTGGGCTAAAACCAACCATCTGTGGGGACCATCTGCCGTAAAGAACGCTCCCTCTGAGATGCAAAACAACACAGCGAATTTCCCACCAAACTCGTCCAACAGTGTGGCACAATGCAGAGGACAATCTGCCGGGACGGGAAATGTTGGTACCGCTCGTCCTTTTTTTTTTTTTTTTTTTTTTTTATTTAAATGGGAAAAAAAATCTCCGACCTCAAAAAAAAAAAAACAAAATAAAGAGGCTGGCTCAGGGTCCGGTGCAGTGCGGCCGGGGTTACCTGAGCAGGCGGAGCTCGGCCAGCAGGGTGGGGTTGGTGCTGCCCTTATCGGGGCTGGGCTGGCAGGCCGCGTCGTGCTCCAGGCGGAGACGTTTGATCTCGGCCAAGATCTCCCTGGGAAAGCAAAAAAACACACCGGTCAGCAAAAGCTGAGGTTTATCGTCCCTCTGAATTGTTGAATGTGTAGCAAATAAAACCACAAAATGGTTTATATTTGAGATAAAATGATCCTTTACAGGTTTCGAGCAGGATTACACCAACGGGAATACAATCAGTGGAAGTTAAGTTTTTCCCAAAATTACACAAACTTACACAAACTTAAAAAATTCATCCAAATCTGTCTAACTGCCTCAATAATACATAATATACATAAAGCAGAAGGAAACAGTAATCAAAAGAGATGTTTCCCATGTCCTCACCACTAAAATCCAAAACTTTTGCAAACCTGAGACATAGCACAAGCAAAACCTAATTTGGAGCAAACGAGCAGATATAACTTAGTAGTTAGAAAAAAAAGAAAAAAAAAAGAAATGTAAATATTATAACCGACCAACTCAAATAGGGTGCAACAGTGTGGGGGGTTGCCCTTACTTCTGCATGTGAGCGTACCTGTTTTTGCACTCCAGCTGAGCTATCAGCTCCCTCTTCTGTTTGTTCACGTCAAAGTTGATGCTCCTGGTGGGAATCACCTGAAAGACGAGGCCCGGGCCGGGCGTGAGCGGCTTCGTTTAACAGCAAAAAGACGACCTCGCACGCAAACGCTCCTGTCGTGTCTCTGCACGAGCCGGATTTCTTTTGACTCACCCCTGCGCCGTCGGTCTCTGCCAGCCGGGAGGTGTAGCGGGCGATCAGCTTGTGCTCCTCGTCCTGCCGGCTGGGACTGTCCAAAGCACTGAAATACACACAGAAAATAAGCCTCTGACCCCTGTGCTCTCAAAGGCCAACCAGGAGCCCCAGTTTGATTTGGAAATCATTCAAATTCAAAAGATTTAAACATGCTTTTCTTTTGGTTTTTATTTTAGCTTTGCTTTAAGACCTAATTAAATTGAATTATTTCTCTTTTTGGTACTTTTTTAACAATAACTATAACAATAACTATAACAAAACTAATAACAAAGCCCTTTAAAATTACAATTTTTTATTTGAACTCAGTAACTGGTTTATTGATTATTTGGTTCTTAGTGTATCCCGTAAGACCAAAAAGTGATAAAAACACTGGTTACTGGTCACAAATAGCAGCTGACTGGCTGTAATGGTTTTCTGTGTGTAAATGAACCTTTTTCACTCAGAAAAAATCACTGCTCACTGATTGACAGAAAATGATGCCCTCTTTGGCATTAAGTACAGGCCCAACTGTCCGGCACCCCGACCCCCTTCTGTACCCCCCCTCAGTGTCCGGGCTGCTCTCACCGGGGGCTGCTCTGCAGGCGATTCACATACGCTGCGATCAGAGCGTGCTCCTCGTTCATCCGCTGAGCTGCTGCCAAACTGCGAACACAGAACGATAAGAAACCTGCATCAAGCCCTGATAACGAAGCTTTTTGTGCTTTGACCTTCTCTCTCTTAAACGCAAGCGCTTCATTAGAAATTAAACTGGGATGTAACCGTCTGCTCAAAACAGATTATTACATGATAGGAAAGTAGTTTTTTCTTAGTAATCCTGTAAATTTATGTGGAAAAGTCCAACGTTAAACATCTAATTCGACAAAACAAGGCATGCCTTACCTCTTGGAGGACTCGGGTGCCGGTGGAGACAGCAGCATGGCCTCGCTGGGGTTCCCAGTCTGTCTGGAGGGGCTGCACGCACAAACATGTCATACATGAGAACTTTTTATCAGCAGAGCAAACGCAGAGCACATTTACCAACAGTAAATCGCTAAAACACAAAGGCCTGCCTATCAGAAAACACACATTCTTGCACTCGCACGCCCAAAGCCGTCACGTGCTTTTCAGCGCATTCATGCAACAGCGAACAGAAACGGACTGAGCAAACACAGACGGGCCAAAGATCGGCAGAAAGAGGAGGGTGACGAGTGGAGATCCAGGGGGAAACAAAGAGAACAGACGCTCACAAACACGTTGGTTTGAAGGAGAAACGGGCTGACACGACACCGCTGCCTGGCATACTCACATCTGTGCACAGTTCTGACCCGGATAGGAGGTTAGCGCCTGCAGGTCTGCGGTGACCCAGTCTGCTGCAGTTTGGACTACCAAACACTACAGATTCACCACCAGGGGCGGAGCAACCAAAGCATGTCGCCACAAAGGGGGGCCGTCACTCTATTCAAGGTACCTGAATTCCCTATAAATCTACATGCTTAACTAAATACATATATAAAGTTCATCTAAACATATCTTTTATAGCATTTTTTGTATAGCATTACCATTAAGTCTCCCCTGCCCATACTTAAAGAAAAGTTTTATTTCTATTCTGAGGAAATATAATGTAACACTTTTCCTTCTGATGTTACCTCAGAAACTAAATAATATAAAAACAGGACCTTTTCTCAGTTTTTCTAAAGTTAAAGTCGCAGCTCATGCTTCCTCCCCCGTGTGATATTTCTGCCCATTAGAACAACGTAACCATTTATTATTATAATCATTGTTAATATTATTACTAGCAGTAGTATTTGGCCCACATAGCACGTCCTGTTACTGCCTCTTCCTGCTCAACACTGAACTCAGAAACCGGGTCTATGAAAACAAGCAAAGATGCTGATGGAAAACAAGCCCCTCGTCTTGTTTAAGGAGATCAGATAATGACTAAAGGTCAGGTCCAGGCTTCAAAGCCGTGTGTGTCAGGTGTGAGGCCGTACACTAGGTTGGCCAGGTTGAGGGTCCTCTCGGGCTCCTCGGGGTAAATTGGGTGGGGCGCCTCCCTGGACGACACGCAGCCCAGAGTCCGGCTCAGGGCTCGGCCCAGCTTCGTCGCCGATGACTTCTGCAATCACACAACCAGAAACGTCAGATGCTTCTGTGAACAGTTTCTAGATGTCTTAACTTTCATAGAACGAGAGGCAACGATGACTAACTGTGGAAAACTTCCAGACCGCATTTTGTTCAATTTTAAAGGACACTGCTGGCAGCTTGTTTAAGCAGGGCTTGACAAGCAACTCAAATCTTTTCTGTGTTTCTCAGGAGCTCCTGCCTTCCCAGGCGGCGTGTCGAAACCCAGCAGAAATAATACCCTGACACACAGAGAAATCCACAAAACAAATCTTAGACCTGCCGCATGACAGCTAGTTACCAGCAGGAGCCCCTCACTGTCAGCGCTAGCTAGCAGAGACATCAAATGTTGTCTTTAGGAAACCATCTTTGCTCTGTCTGTTACCCAGCAGAACTGTTAAGACGTGCTTCTCTTCCCTTTTTGTCTTTGAGCATGACCACTCGGGGCCAGATCTGCTGTAGCTTCTCCGAGTGGTTATGGGGTGATTATTGAGGAGTTTCATCACAGCAAAGTGGATTTGGGCTGATTTATTGAGAATTTTGGGGCCTTTGGCTGCAAGTCTGAGGCAAACAAAGCATTTTAAACACTCAACACTGACTCACTTGTCTGATTGTACTAAATCTAAAGCTGATAAAGGGGTAAAAAGTCTGATTTAATTTTGTTTCAAACATTTTTTAATGTCTTTCGCTGCGTGCTGCTATTTGTTTGTTGAAACACAACTCAAAGTGTATACAGCACGCACTGATACCGAGGATAAAGTCGAGCAGGAAAAGGCAGCCATCATGTGTAAATCATGAAGATTATTACGAAGAGTTACTTGTTACTCTGTTAAGCATGCAGGAGGCTCTACTAGTTAGAGGTTTATCGCTGAAACTGAAACATTAATAAGACATGCACAGACTAAGTGGTGAATAATGCAACAACTATGTCACCATCTATTAATTATTTTTACATTGAAAACGTTTTCCCCTTTCAGCTAGTGCAGCTTTATAGCAAGCCAATGAGACTTTTACAGACAAATATGTCAAAATTTAAAATGAAAAACAAAGAATTTGGTGGATTATTTCAAGATTTTCACACACAGAGAAGGTCGTGGTGAAATCAAATTTCCCTGAACCAAGGATTTAACTCTACAACAGCTCTCTGAGGCAGTGGGGACCAAACCAAATTACTTCATGAGGTTGGCACATGAAGAAAGGAGCACAGTGAGTGCCCCCTGGTGTGATAAATGAGTAACCACACGGTGACTCACCCAGGATGAGTGCTCCTTCATCTGGTGCTGGTTGCTATGAGAACCGCTGGTGTTGCCACGCCAGAAGCAGTTCTGGCAGAGCTGGTAACCACGGCAGCGGAGGCAGCGATAGCGAAAGCCCGTCATGCCGTTTCCACGGCAGTAGGAGCACGAGACGGGATGGTACACTGGGAAAAAGACCAGGTTTTAGTCACGCATCAGGGCCTCTCACCTCTCTCTGGCTGGAGAACAGCCATGTGTACATGCAAAAAAGACTCAGATCCATCTCATTTTGCATCTGGTCACACATAACCGTGACACCGTTTTGACATAAAGTTGTTTCTCGGCTTTTTTAGGAGGTATTTACGTAATATTTCCATTATGGAACATCTATCCTAGCAGAGCCTCTAATTGAGCTTTGATTTCACAGCTGAGGCTTGGCCTGTTTGTTTCAGTTACCTGGCTAAATGAGAGGTAATCCCAACAAAGCCAGAGGTAATCGGATATGCTGCCGCACCACGTACCAATAACAGGGGGAGGATTGTCTGAAGAAAAGACACTGCAACTACACACCGTGGGAATTTTTATCCACTGGAAGGCTACAAAGACCTCTAGCTGCAAACCAAAGTCCTGTGATGTTTGCCATCATAAGCAGCCGGTACACAGGGTTTGTTAGCACTCATGATGAGAGGTGGGAGGTTTACTTAAATATTCCTCTTAGTATGATCTGACTGGACTTTTTAGTGGTGCAACAATGGAAACAGCCCCTAAAGGACTAATTTTGGTGGTAGGAATTTGACTATGTAGGCATGGAACATGAAACATGGCAAAACGGAAACCTTTTATCAGGAAATAGATCCTTTCTGCTTAATTTAGAGGACACAAAAAGCAAAATTTTCTATGATTTTACAACAATGCAGCAAGGATTACAAATACATCAGCTCTCTTTGACATAATTTGTCCTTTAAACAGATTTCTATTTGGCCTTGGTGAGGTTAATAAAATAACCCTGTGTTAATAATATCCAATTCCTGTAACCACTTTACCCTGTTCAGGGTCACAGATGTTTAGATTCTGAGCTCACGAGAATAAAAGTGACCTAAAAAGAAAATATCATCCTTAGAAAGGCAATGAAAAAGACTAAATGAGATATCTAACATGTAAAAAGTTTCTAAAAGCGGTGGCATAGCATAAAGTGAGGCACATGCAAGGTTAACTTGTGTGTTTACCATGCTCCACGTTGGCCATGCGGTGGAGGAGAGGCAGCCAGACGAGACACTGGGGGGTGTCGGCCACGATGTCCAGGAACATGTTGAGCATCACCCTCTTCTGCACAACAGGAGCATTGACCACAGAGAAGGCTGCTCAGAAACATGGAGCTAACACAGCCTGCTAAAAAACATCTTAGAGCCGATTTAACTCCAATTTTTGCTTGTTTTTAATCAGCTCCTGTGTGTGCGCGCGTGTGTGTGTGTGTGTGTGTGTGTGTGTGTGTGTGTGTGTGTGTGTGTGTGTGTGTGTGTGTGTGTGTGTGTGTGTGTGTGTGTGTGTGCGTGTGTGTACCTGCTGCGGGAAACAGGAGCGTGCCACAGTTTGTGTGTATCCAAATGAAGGCCCTTCATGCACGGCGGTCGGCAGCTTGAGAGCCTCCCTCAGAAAGCTGTCAAACTTGGACAGCACCAACACACCGTTGGAGTCGGATACCTGAGAAAACACATCTAACGCACACAAATAAACACACAGTGAGAAAGGTAGCTTAAGATGGCAGGATATAAGCCGTTCAAAACTAAGGCTGTAGGTTTTATTTGTAAAAAATAAGCGCAGTAAAACAGAGCTCACATGTAAGCTTCAGCCTGTGAAGCAGACAGCATTTTTTACTTATTTTGTTTACAAAAATATAAGACTGCATAGAGCTTTAATTTAGCAAAGACTGGCATGCAGATTTGAGCCATTGACAATAGACCCCAATCCGAAGTGATATTAACAAGCTTATATGATAACCGTGATAAAAACAGGACTGACAGTTTGCATATTTTCTTGTACACTTTAAATTCTTCTTCCTTTTCTTGAGATTTATTTGGAATATCTACTCTTTCACATGTTCCTCTTTGCAGGATCATTCATTTTGCTGCACACAACTCTGCGTTTTCAGGTAAAACAGCGGATCTGGGACCGATCAGGCGAGAGATGAAGCATCAGCTGGTACTCACAGCGCAGTTTGTCCACCAGTTTCCCTCCACACAGAATGGCCAGCATGGCCTTCACAGAGAGGACCGTCAGGCGGCTTTCCGGCTCACTGAAGCAGCATTTTCATAGCAAACCAGGTGTGAGACGACTTCGAACTAGTTTCAGACAAAACAACAAACAAACTGAGCTGCTTTCTTACCACTCGACAGCAGCCAGGAGGAACTCCAGCAGGAGGGCGGTGCTCTCCTGTGGGTTGATGGTGTGGGTGGTGGGCAGGCGTTTGCTGAGCTGGTTGAACAGGGAGGACACCAGGTTCTCCAGCCTGGTGACCGAGATGCCGGCATTGAGCTCCACAGCGTTCAGCCCCGCGTCCCGCACCGCCTCGATCACGTTGTAGATGTCAATCAGGTGCACTGGGAGGAGAGAGACCGACACTGGTCTCCACTGGCTGTACGGCAGTTTGCATGTCTGAACACTAACTCTAATTCTAACGCCACCACTCACAGTTGCATCTCTTCTGGACGAACCGGAGCTTGCAGGCGGTTCGATACGTAGAGAGACAAATGCCATCAAGGTTCTGCTCCCCTGTTGGAGAAGAAGACACTGGTGACACTCTGCTGGCCCACTAATGTCAGAGAGGGCTTTAAACAGAGAGAGCAAGTCAAATCTAAGAGTTCGTATCTATTTTTAGAAAATATATCAACCAGGAAGGAGGTTACTCACCAAGATCCACAAAGATTTGCCTCCCCTCGGCTCGAGCAGCCACTGGAGCAGCCCTCCCTCCATCTCTCTGGCCCCCCTCCTCCATCACCATCCTGCAAAAAACACATTAAAAAAATTCTGTTAGTGTCAACAGGAGGACACTTTTGCTGTTACTTAAATTTTTATGCGTATGATTAAGCGAAAACATCAGTTTCTCCCACTTTAAGCTGTATTTTTAAGTTTTTTCCTCAGTCCTGGCCAAACTCTTTCTCCTCACTCTGTTCAGGGTTTCTACAGGTTCAACCAAATCAAACTGAAGACTTTTTAAGACCTTTTTTGGACCCTTATGAATGAAAAGGAAGACCTATATAAATCTTAAAGTCACTGGCTGGAACTGGCTTGAAACCAAGCCTTAGGTGATGTAAGACTTTTTAAGGCCTAAAATATCTATTTTGAAAGTAAAAAACCCTGTCTGTCATACCAGAGCTAGCTCTAAAATCATGTAAATTAGTCACTGGAATCTCTTTACAGGTCGGCTTTGTCCTTTTTAATCGACTGTGATGCTTTTGTCTGCAAATGAAAAGATAATCCATCCGTATTCTTCAGATAAGGAAGCTAGCTTTTTGTGAGATAATCTGACGTATGTACTGTGGACATCACAGCAAACGCGGAAAACAGCAAACATGTCGCCCACAAAAAAAAACAAGCCTGTTTTCACGAGATTACAGCACGATTGTGGCTCCTGTGTTAACAGGTAATTTTAGCCTTCATTATCGCTGCCTTTACATTTTGGGTGGATCTATGACATTAAGTCAAGGCATGCGTGTATAATTATGTTTGAGATAAAGAGCGTTTAGCCCACTCTGTTTCACACAGTTGGTGCATTAAAGGCTAAAACAAACTCTTTAAATTCAAACTGAAACGTATATTTGGCTCTTATCTCAGGATTACGAGCTGTGTTATCTAAAGATGAGACATGAATATATCCACTATCTATGAAAAACTAGTCTTATCATATCAAAATGACATAATGAACCCATAACCAGAGCAAAATCTGTTTGTTTACTTGAGATGACTTATGACTGGATTGATGACATTAAAAATGACATAAAAATCTGTTTTTTAGCTTCTATATAATCCTTAAATTTTTATAACTGATAATTAAACAGTTATTGCAAATCTAATAACATCCCATTTCCTCTTTAAAATATTTTCAGGTCTGTTTTTTAACAGGATTAAGAGTCCAGCAAGAGGGATACAATTATGGAAAATATTATTTTGAATAATTTTAGGAGTGAAGGTATTGTTGCATAAAAGGTTTTTCACAAATCTTTTTTTGTTTTCTAGAAAGTGCCTTAAGCCCTGAAAATTCTGTAAAATCAGAGGTGGAACTCTAAACATAACGCTGTTGTCAGACAAACGGGCGCATTAATGACAGCAGCTGATGAAACCTGAACTGCCGGCTGGTATTTGAACGATCCATCAGAGCTAAGGACGAAGAGACGGGGGGAGAGAAAAGGCCGGAGGTAGCCGAGTCGCCATGGTAACAGTTACACTACACCACATAACTAAAACACACACAAGCACACTCACACGCACACACATACACACAAATATTTGCATTCCTTGTATGAATGTGGTGACAAGCCAACACATTCCTGAGAGGATTTGAGAGCTTCCCAGGAGACTTCACGCTTCATCCAGACAAAAGAAGGATTCCTGCTCACAAACCCTCAAACTTTCCCCTAAATCATCGTTTCATAGACTCAGTGGTTACTGATCACATTTATAACCCTTTCTGTGGTAAAACTGGTCAGATAGGAGGCTAGTGATTCACTGTCCCCCTCACTCGATGAGTCATGGGACAGAAGCAAAGTCTGAAAAAACCTGCAGACTGGCTGCACTGCTTGCAATTATTGCCACAAAATTCTTTTGATTTGACCCTTTCTTTGATAGCTTAAGCTCCGGGTCGCATAAAGAAAATCTGCTCCATTAAACAAAAGGAGTGTTTTGTCTTGCAGAAGGTCCTCTACGTTCTGACACACTCGGGACTCCTTTAACACGTCAAACAGCTTCTCCCTGAGCAGCCCTGGTGTTTTCTGCTGGTTTACATGTCAAATACAAGTGGAGCCACTTCACAGATCTGGACGCCGGTCTCTGCCGCGCTTCGATAAGTGTGAGGCCTTTCCTCCATTTATTCTAAATGTTCCCTGACAGTGGTCTCACGCTGGCTGCACGGTGATGCACACGCAAGCGGTTTTAAGCACAGAGCTGTTAAACACGCCAAACGGATTCGAGCCACGAGTGGAAAACCTGCACAACCTGAGTGAGGAACAAAAGAAGAATGCTGAAAAGGATTTTTTTTTTTTAAAAGAAGCACAAAGAGGGTCATTTAATTCACTCAGTCAATGGTGGAGCTTCCTTTTCAGCTCTTCCCACAGTGTCCTGGTCGGGGGAATTCTTCCCACCCTGCCGGGTTGAGGGCCCGGAGTGGACGGCTCCTCCACAGGCAGCTGCTGAGTGTGTGCTGGTTTGTTTGGACTTTATGCCCAGTTCCCACTTTAAAAGCAATAATCCGCACTGTGAAAAGGGTCCTTCGGTAAAATAACTGGCAAAGAAAGTGGAAAACTAGCTCTTTTCTCTCATATTATTATGAGTAAAACTACCAAAACTTGGTCATAAAGGAAAATTTTACGGACCAATGAAGTTGAGGTGAGTTTGGTGAGGTCCAGCTTTGAAATGGTCCACATGTTAACGGGTTTATTCCGTATGATTATTACCTAAAAGGATCTGAGGCTGTGGCTGCTGAGCTCTTTCTAAATTTGCCCGGCTGTTTTATGCCATGGTTAGCCATTCTGCTTCCAGTCCTCTCCATCCTCTTCTAAGGCCAGGCGACAGGTTTCTGCCATGTTTTGAACATTTTTCCTCCATGAAACTTACTTTTTACGTAGTTTATCAGCCCTTTTCTTCTAATCTAAACTCCCATTTGAATTCACCTTTTGCCAGGCTAAAATTCACAAAAATGAACATTTTCTTTGAGATTATAAAACCGGTCATTCGTTTCTGCAGAAAATAGCCGCTGAATCGTTTATTTTGTCCAACCAGTGGTCATATTTTGGACAGTTTGTTCCCATTAAGATTAAAATGAAATCAGGGAATTGGAAGATTCTGATAGCTCTGACTTGAAAACAGCTGCTGGTTTATAAATCTCTGTGACATTATCAGGGGAAGGCTGCTGAGCAGGTGGAGGAATGAGTCAGTAAAATGTTTGCTGCCGGGGTTTTATGACCTCACTGGAAGGCTTTTTTTCGACTGGAGACGAAAACGAGCCGCTGGCCTCCACGCTTCGGCCCGCAGGGTGAGTAAGTTGTTATTTCCAGCCTGGCCTCCGTGATGACTACACCCTCTTTGTCCGAATCGAGCTGACAGGGGAGAACATTTGGCCGGTGAGATTTGTTTCCTTTTTTAAACGGTGAGAGTTTTAAATCACCATGGATACAGTTACGCTTTCCGAAATGAGCTCAAACTGAGTGAGAAGGCAGCAAACGGCTGGACGGCCCCGCTCCCCTCTAGCCTCCCGGTCAGAGCCGTCACAGGAAAAGCAGCCAAAAAACACAAAGCTGCCACATCTCACAAACATTTCTATGGCCATTTTCAACTAAATTCCTTGTTTACGCTCAGAGAAACGCCTCTCTTTCTCAGACTGGGTTGGTGCTTTGGGACAGTGACGAGCCACGGCTCCAGATTTATGAGTTTTATTTTTAGATTACCAGCTGTCTCTGCATGTACAAAGTAAACGCCCCCCAAAAAACAAACAATTATTCAAATAATAACATTTTTAGATACTCATAAGCCAAAAGAACAAGTCAATTCACCCTAAAAGCTGAAGGTTTAACCTCTTAAAGGGTTTTCATTTAATTTTCTTTTGCTTCTTCAGAGGCTGGAAAACAAAGAAATAAAAAATGCTTTGGAGGAAAGCTTCAAGTTATCCAAAAGGTTTTTTGTAAAAGCTTTTAAAATGTACTGGTTCTTCTGAAAATGAGAGGGAAAAACTGGATTTTGCACTGTGTATGCGTTTTCCTCTGAATTCTTTAGCTCAGATCTGTTCTCTTTGCACAGATTTGTATTGAATCGATTCTAAAACGAGAATCTTTTGTAATTTCTCGAGAGCAGGTTTTGTGAAAAATCGTGATTCCAGGAAAAATAACCAAGTAAAAGAAGCGATTTCTTTAACTACCCTGATTAACCACCCTGGTGTGTTTGATGTCCCTGTCACCTTTCCATTTGTCCCAGTGGGAGGTGGTGAGAGGCACTGCAGGACGGATACAACTCTTTTTAAGTGGAAATACACTCACCACAGCCTGTTGTTCGGCCTAACTTTGTGATTGTAATTCAAGGAGATTCGGGTTGTCCTTTTCTTTAAAAAGATTACAATTACCTGGGTACATGGGCATTCATTCAAAGATAAATCATTCATGCTGGAAGACAGGCTGATAAATAACTTTTCATATTTGTATCAGGCTATTTTCTTCTACTCATACTCACACAAGATGTAATATATGAAATTTCCTTTTTGGTATTTGTACAAAAGGAGGATTTGATATTTATATCTAACATTAAAGATGGATGGTTTTTCTTTTTCAGGGTTGAATTTAATAAATAGTTCCCGCACACTCGTCCTTTAGATGAAGACTAAATCATATTTCTTTACAGGAGATGGAGAGGTGCTTCTGTGTGTTTGACCTTCAAATGGTAAAATACGGCATATGAATCTAGAAAAAAGGCTTTGTGAGCACTTAAGCCTACAGGCTCAAACTAATTTCAGCTTGTGAGTAGCCCGAAATGTAAGTGACAATAAATCTGAAGCTCAGTGACCATTCAGTCAGAACAAATAAAGTGGTTTCACTTGAGTAAAACTCAAACAGCTCCTAAAGAACTGTGAAATTACACTTAAAAAACTGTCTAATTTATTAACAAGCAGTGAAAATACTGCGCAGAAACTGTGGAGCCAGCCTGGCTCTGAGCGCTGCCTCCCTGTTTGTGTGGGTGGGGATGCACACTCGTGTTGCACCGTGGTGTTTTATTATGGCTGACATTTGCTGAGCTTTACGGAAACAAACGCACAAAAAGACACACACGCTGCTCTGAATAAACGGCAGCTCGAGCAGAGGGCGCACTCCCCGCTTCCCACTGAACTGCGGCTCAGGATAAAGACTGGAAAACGTAACCGAGCGTGTCCCTGTATGAGCTCTGTGTGTGAGTGTGTGAGTGTGTGTGTGTGTGCGTGTGTGGTCATACCTCTCTGTGTCAGGGGGTCACACAGGACAGAGGGGCTTCAATAAAGGACGTCTGACAGAGAGACAGAAAAAAAAGAAAAGGGGGTTTAAGGAGTCTTTTCAGCATTTAGACAATAACAGCAAAAGCTCCGTGGGGATGCACTCTAACACAGACACACAGCAACACAACCCACGCACACACAGCGGTCACAGCACCACATGCCTCAAGCATCTGTGAATAAAACTTTAATCACAAGAGTTTATTCAGAAGTTTGATTTAGGTGACTTTCTATAAAAAAAACAGGCTAAAACTGTGAGTGCATTTACAGCAAATCAACAGTATATTAACTCTTCCATATTCCAAACAACATTCAGACAGCACGAATTTAAACTATGTCACTGTCAAAAAACAAACTGTGAACAAAAAAAACCCAATATCAAATATAAATAAATCGAATAGGTGACAATCATCCAGAACACAAATAATAGCCCCTTAAAATCCCAGCTATTTTAGCCTACAGCAGACGTTTACTAAGCAGAATTCGCCCGTCTGAAGGCCCTCCTGCAGACTCAGCTTTGGGTCTTTATCGGTGTCGGACTCGCTGTGGATGAACCCTCTTCCTGGAGTGCGTTAGCTGGGCCCTGAAGCTGAGCTTTAACAGCCTGTTGGCAGGTATGCTGCATTTGCAGTGCGTTACGGCTGCTCATATACCGAAGGATGCGGGTACCGAGCCCGATTAATAACACGACTAATAAGATGTCAATAAGCTCTCAGGATGAAACAAACAACACCGCTTTGGTGCGACGATGAGCACGAGTAAACAGAGACAACATCTAGATGAGACCGACCGATGTCTATCTGCTTCCCCTAAAAGCAAATGCTAAACATCATAAACTCCTTAAAGTTACACAGATTGTAGTTTATTGGATGATGAAAAGGGAAATAAAAAAGAAAGCCCTGCCTCCGAGCAGACCACCCAAACAGCGCACCTGCTTAATGACTCACACACTTTCCTCACATCCAAACAGAGGTTACAAACCTGAACACCACAGACAGGCCTGAAAACACACACACACACACACACACACACCTGTTGTTAAGCCCCAGCTTCTGTCAGCCTAAAACAAACCCGCCGCAGGCCCGAATCTGCCACCAAAAAACTCCCCTCTGGACTCACCTCCGGCTCGGACACAGAAACGGGCGTCTCGCAAAGGACTGAAGTGCTCGCCGCCCGCGCCACACAGACACACAACATGCACGCCACGTGACCAGATCCGCGCTCGCAGCTGTCCGGCGTCTCAGCGCCGGCCCTGACAGGACCCGGGCCGCTCGCCGCTGCGCGTTAAATTTACAGGAGCCTGAAACGTTAGACGGCAGCATTACTGGGATGCCCGGGGAGCCTTTTACCCTCTGAGCCGCCTTCACTGTAACACACAGCCTCTGCAGCCTCCTGGGCCCACAACCACAAATCCTCCAGAAAGCTCCCAAGCTATTTTCTAAATGAATTTTCCTTAAAAAACAACAACAACAAAAAGTTAAGATTTTGGGAAGTTGGGAAGCTCGGCCTCAGGGATGCTAAATAATCTAAATAATAAATAAATCTAAACATCACGGACACCAGAAAAGCAGAAGAGATGTGTCTTCTGGTATCTGACAAGTGGAAACAGCTTAGCTGAGGAATAGTTTTTTGGGTTTTTGTTTCCCTGGCTGGGCTCTGAATGTGGTCGGCTGTCACGCCACCGGGGTCTGTGTTGGCTTCTTCTAATGCGCGATCATAGGAATGAAGACATATTAGAAGTTCAGAAATATTTGTAGCTATTTTGATTCATTTCCATCTCCACAGAGAAACGCTTACAAAAGAGCTCCACTCTCATAAAAGCATGAACAGAACCAGAAACCCAAAACCCGCACATACTTCCCTCAACAACATCCAAATCTGTTATGTGACAGAAACACATTCAAAACATAACTGATTCAACCAAAAATATCACAAATCAACTTATCAATTCCTTGTTAAATGATGCAGAAAAGCCGACAGTTGGTCAATATTTTTGATTCACAGCTTCTTTTTAACTCCAGAAGCACCCCCAACTTCACAAGCCACAAGCAGCTTGATCTGAAAGCGGAACTCTCGCTGCCTCTCTCCTGACCTCTGACCCCGGGGCGGCCGAAGAGACGGCCCGTCTGACCCGGCGGCGGTCCCCACGCAGGTAAAAACAGAAGCCACGCGTCTCTGGTTACGCATCCAAAAAGGCAGGCCTGCGAGTGCCAGAGGGAGTCTGGAGGACTGCGTCCAGAGCGGTGGATGTTTAAGAGTCTGAAAGACGAGCACAAACCCAAAACTATCCGAGTCGGTTCCACCAAAACCCAGAATGGACATTATGAACTCAATCCCTCTTTGTCAGGAACGTGAATCCAGCCAAGACATCTTTAAAAAAAAGAGCTCTGGCAGGATGATGCACAGTCAAAGTAAATAATCCCAAGTTCATATTGTGCCTCTTATTCAAACTAAACAACTCAAAACAACCTTAAACCCCAACCCTGTTTAATCTAAATCACTTTAAAGCGACCGGGAGCCGGACAAGCTCTCCTGGGTTTGTGGATCACATTTCTTAGCTTTAACTTGAAGCAACACGCCCACGCCGACAGAAGAACACTGCATTGTGGGCCACATTGTTTCCACTCAGGACCTCCAGAGATGAGCCTCGACAGAACATCTGTGCCCTTATATCTGCCTCCCCTCGCAAATAGGTCGAAAAGCCACCATTTACCTCGTGATAAGGATCCTGTATCCTCAGGGAGGCGGATATAAGCAGCGGGATGAAGGCCCGGGGATTTAGAGAAGACGGGGCGCGTTAAAGCTGCCGGAAGGAAGCAGAGAGCGAGAGGCTGAGACGGTGAAAGCAACAGGATGAGCGCACCAGAAAGGAAGTGAAAGTTGCAATTAATGCGGCGACCGAACCGGCGTGTTGTGATGAAACTATGCTCACAGCTCCGAGAGCGCCTTCAATGAGCTCAGCCCGATAAAATATTCAGTATTTTAGAATTACATGCACATTAACCCGTTAACAAGCTGCACAGATGATATGTGAAAACACCCAGTTCACATACTGGCGTGTTATTGGCTCCCTTATAGGAATCCAGAATAAGAAACCATGCAAAACAACTCACAAGTGAAGGCCCAGAGAAGTGATTTTTCTTATGGCTGATGCAGTGGATTAATTCAGGAGCAACAGTCAACACAAAAAAAAGCTCGGAGGCTCCTGTTAATGTTACATCAAAGTATCCCTGAATGCAAAGTGGAGAACGCTCTAATTTCTCTATAATTTGATTCCCGGGAAATGACATAAACCAGAGTAATCACAGGTTTCATCTTCTCCTGCTTTTATCTCCCCACCCAAAGTGCAGACAGTGGCACATTTCAGCTCCACCGCAAATCAACATCAAGACTTCGAACTCTATCGGGGCCAGAAGACGCTCCAAAGACCCCCCCGCATGCACACCTGATGATTATGTGAAGGACGAGGAGCGGTAGGAAAAGTGGGAAGGATTATCCTCATTTCCCCTTTCATTTCAGACTGTTTTCAGTGTAAACAACTCGCCCACTGCTCAGATAAAGCAGACCGTACTTAACCGCACGTGATCACACTTATCACTTCTTTTAATCTTTTTCTTTTACCGTCATCCGTCATGATCACGGCTCCTATGTACAAATGGTCAACTTACTTGACTGTTTAGCTGCTTCAGAAGCAAAGAAATGAACATGCACCTGACCTAGTGAAATATGTGCTTTAGAATCCGTTGGAATTTGCTGATTTTATATCTGATGTCTTAAAAAAAGGGAGCTCAACAGAAAGTTACTGTACCCTATTCCATTTTGGTAATAATTAAGACCATTCATGGGATAATAAGAAGTAACACTCTTTAGTAAACATAAATGTTTACTTTTTGTACTTCTAAAACAATAATTATTCTTACTATGTGTGAGTGGAGATACTCAAAGCAATCCCAAAGTGGTGATTCGTGGATGGACAAAAGAAAGAAACGGCATCTGTAATATCTGCTAATGTCTTTTGAGGGAAAACTACCTGAAAACAATTCAAGCGTGAGGATTGGGCAGTTATCTGTGTGCAGGGGGGCGAGGGGGGGGCGGTAGTCCTATTAATCTGACTTTACAATTACAAATCAGATGTGTTCAGCAACAAGTTTACATTTCAATCAGCCTAATTTCCTTTTAACTACCTGATAAGATCAGTCACAACTCTGGTATTTCAGTACTCTGACAGCTGTTTCTATTCATTTTTGCTGCTCTATAACTTTATATACCCATAGCATTTTAACAAAGCATTAAGTTTTCCTACATAAAGTTTAAAATGTTGGCCACAAGCCAATTAACACAAAAAATGCCAATTTTTTGAATGGGAAAACGTTCCTCCCACAAGCACGTACACCAATAGCGGTTTTGATTTACAAAAAAAAAAAGTGGGCATGACTTCTGATCTGGTCTGTTCAGGCACCAAGAACAGTGAAAAACAACCATTTCCAGGCATTTTTACACATGTTATCCATCTAACGGTCTCCGTGCCCCACAGGGCTCCAAGAATTGGAGCAAAAGTCTTGAGTCGAGGCTCGTTTCTGTCCCGAAACTTCGGGGAAGCTTGGTGACATCTGAGCGGCCATGTTGCAGAAAACTTTAACTCCCTGTTCACCTCGTCCCCCCGAATGAATGTGGTCCCGAAACCTCCCATTTACCAAAAATTAGTCGCAATTTGAGGGTCGAAAGTCAAGTTGGAGTCGACAAAACCGTCGCGAGACACTTTAAAACTCCGCGTCTACTCACCGGGGCGGTTTTCGTCAGGTTTTCGTGGCCAAAATACATCAACACTGAAACGTGTGGCACTGACTTTGAGCCGTAAAAACCACGGGGGTTTTTCGCTTCCTATTCCCTTCCGCTTTTCGGCGTGTTTTTCGGGCTCCTCTTCGGTCCGGGGGGGGGGGATACCGTGCCCCTGTCCCGTTACTTGTCCATGTCTCGAGCCTGAGCACGCGCCCGCCGCCGCCGCTGCACCGGTCGCTGTGATGGTGATGAAGGGGAACTATTTTGAAAGAAAGTCACTCCTCTCGGGTCCGCTGCTCCCTCCCCCCTCAGACACCAAACCAGCCCACTGCACGTTTATCAGGAAGGCTTTCAAAAATACCTCAGTGTCAGAAGAAAAGAAAAAGAAGAAGTTTTAGATATATCAGTCTGACGTTGCAACCTGTAAAAGTGCCCCAGGGACAACATCACGTGGTATTTAATGTCTCCACCCTGACAAAAACCCACACATTTCTCACCCCCAAAAAAGTTGCTCAGCTGTTGGAGAAGAAAACACGAAAAAGGAGGAAAAAGATCTCAAATGAAAATGAGTCAAAGTGCAGATGCACAGGAGAAAAAGGGAGAAAAAAGATTACCTCCACTGGAGATCTGTCAGATCTCAGCTTGGCCTTAAGATCAATGTGTGGACAAAGTCTGCAGACAGACTGACTGTTTTCCATAAAACTGCCCATAAACTGAAAATGTATATTCAGTTATTTCTTTCCTACAAATAGCCTAATATCTAAGAGCAGGTATTTTAAGGATGTATCATTTTAACACTATATTATAACACTATCTATATCATATATTAGTAATATTTGTGTATAAGACTATTTGTGTCAAAATGTAAATCACTCGTGTTTTAAAAAGCTAATAGTTTCCCAGGTTTAGATCACACCCCATCGACGTTGTTGAAAAGCAGAGTTTATAACCTTCGCCACTTCAACAAAGGAAAATTATCACATGACCAGATTCAGATTTCTACTTTTGTCACCATACAATGTTTCCTTCTTCTTCTTTTTTGTTTCTTTTTTTTTTTTGGTAAGTGCTAAAAGCTGCTGGAAGGTCACTGGCACACTTCCTCTCTGCAACATGTTTGAAGAACCTCCATTCTCCACGGGTTGTGAAATTCACCGGTCCTGTGTGATGAGGGCACCCTCATGCTGACGTCCACGCAAACTCTTCATCACTGAATATTCCATTGAGATACAATAAAAATCATTTTCAACACATTTTTTCTGTTTCTTCATTTCAGCATGAATGGTTCGTGTAATAAAATGTTATCAATCTTTTACTTTGACACTCCCCTTTAAAAGCATGAAAGAGTTCAAATGATTTTTGTTTCAAACATTCTGAAGCATATATGGTCTTTAAACAGCTTCTATATCCTCTTTGCAGCTATGAGCACACTAGCCTACATATAGAATAGAAAAATAAACATAAGCCATAATATTAGATAAAAAGAGGAAGTTTTGGTGCCCAAGAGGAACAGGAAATTGTGAAATTCTCCATTGAAACAATGCATAAGCCTTTCAGATTATATAAAGTTGTTTCTTTTTAATTTCCCAACATTATATAACATACAGACCTGGATTTCATTAAAAAATTCCTGAAACCTGCAGGGTCCAAATTCCGTAGTCTATTTTTAGAAATATTTATACAAACATTTTCACAAAAATGACTCAAAACAGAAATAAAATTCCACGAAATTAATTAGATGTTCATGTAACATACAATGATAAATCAATTTACAGAAAATCTATTGTATTTCTTACCTTATGTGAAATTCAGTCTAAACTTTTCAACCTGTGATTTCAATATTTGGTCTTTTTATCATCTCAGGAAAAAGGGATTTTCTTTTATCAGGTTCTTTTCAGGTTGTCAAATGAACTCACTAAAAATTGACTTACACAAACTTTGCAAAAGTGATGTTTTTTGAAAAACAGCCAGTTGTGCAACTAAGTGTAGACGCAAAACCCAGAGATACATGACGGGAAAGACCCACCTGAAACTGGACTTCCCTGCCTCTTGTAAACATGGACTCTCTAAAAAGTGGAAGTCCCCAGAACACTGATGTAAACAACCACTGATAAAACACTGCCAACAGAGATCTCTGCACTGGTCAGAGTCCTAACTGAGAGCGAGAGAAAAAGGTCTGAAGTGGATTTAAAAAGCTTTAAGAAGATGTGGACTCCGAGTCTTCATGTGGTTACTATCTGTCTTTTCATACAGGTATGTCAAATTTACAACTAAACTGTTAAGGAGATGTCTGTGTCCAAAACTGAGACTGAACAGAGGAAAATAAGCTCTGAGGTGGTGGTGTTTTATATTGGCTGTCTTCTGTTTGAGGAAGATTTTAAGGAACATGTAACCAACTTGCAAACCATGTAGCTTTCCATATTTTTTTTACTTCTTTCAATTCTATTCCAAATTCAAACCAGCTGCGATAACTATGAGAGAAAAGTCCAAAAGGCAAGATTTTACCTGGCTATGTTTGTGTCAGATGGATTTTGGACTATGTTCTTTTGTTCGACCTCTACTTATGATAATTTCTGAACACAATGTAATTCTTTGATATCATAGTGTTTCATATTAAGCAGAATCGAGAAGATCTTGGAGCCTTGAAGATATTTCAATTTTGCTATTTGTGACCATTTCGAGCAATGGATCATAACATTCATGCAGAAATTTAAATATTTTAAAGTTAAATTAAAAGTACTGAGATGGAATAAAGTGAATTATTTGACAGGAGAGCATTAAAGAATGTTCAAAGAGTGAAAGCCAGCTGAGAAACAGGACTTTTTTGGATAGACTTGTAATCTTCATTTTTCAGTACTTCCTCTCTGTGGTGGCAAAAAGATCAAGTCATGGTTCTGTTTGCACGATCCAGTGTTGAAATAATCCAAACTTTGTTACATTTCAGAAGTCAGAAACTGAAGTTAGATAAACAGTAGTGTGTATTTCATTTGCAGCTGCTAAAGTGCTTTGGTTTAAAACATGTTAAAATCCTCCTGCAGGTGGCGGGCTGTCGGCCATCGTGTCTATTGAAGGGCTCGATTGCCCACTGTGGCTTCAGAGGTCTCCGCTGGGTTCCCCCTCTGCCTCCCAACATCACCCATTTGTTCCTGGACTCGAACCTCATCGGCGAGATCAACCGGACCTCCCTGGCCGGCCTGGAGGAGCTGCAGGTGCTGGACCTCGGGGGGCAGAAGGTGCCGCTGGTGATCAGAAACGGCGCCTTCCGGGGACTGAAGCGTCTGAGGAACCTGAACCTCGGCTTCAACCCCGGGCTCCAGCTGGAGCCGCTGGCCTTTGCTGGACTCTCCGGTCTGTTGAAGCTCCACCTGTTTTCCTGCTCACTGAACAACCTGATCCTGGAGGACAGTTACCTGGAGCCTCTCTCCTCTCTGCAGACTCTGGATCTCTTTGCTAACCGAATAAAGAGACTTCGGCCAGCGACCTTCTTTGCAAACATGACAAATTTGACGGACGTGAATCTCATGCTGAACAACATTGACCAAATTTGCGAGTCTGACCTTGTTGGTTTTAAAGGAAAGCACTTCAAAGTTTTCAATCTAAATTCGGTCCACCTTAAAGACATGATGGATAGAGGTTTCAACTGGCAGAAGTGTGGGAATCCATTCAGAGGAATGTCTTTTCAAACACTGGACCTGTCTGGCAGTGGGCTCGGCGTTCTTCAGTTAAAGCTGTTTTTCAGAGCTATTGACGGCACAGAGATCCATCACCTCAGATTCTCCGGGTCCATAGGGAGAGGATTTTCCTTTAATAATCTCCTCGACCCGGACCAGGAGACATTCGAGGGCCTGAGGAACAGTTCGGTCCTTTCTTTGGATCTGTCTAAGAACAGGATATTTGCGTTGCAACGGGGGGTTTTCAGCCCTTTGAAAGAACTGAAGGCCATTGATCTTTCAAAAAACAAAGTGAATCAGATACACAGAAATGCCTTTGATGGACTTCAGGGGAGTTTAAAAATGCTCAATTTGTCACACAACCTGCTCGGGGAAATCTACTCTTACACATTTGCCTCTCTGACTAACCTCAAAGTGTTAGATTTGTCTCATAATCACATAGGAGCTTTGGGTTATAAGTCATTTAGTGGACTTCCCAACCTGAACGTGCTAAATTTAACAGGAAACTCTCTGCAGAGTTTGGGTTTTCCGGCATCTCTGCCAAGTTTGCGTGTTCTCCTGCTGGACGACAACAAGCTGACGGCCTCGTCAGTGAAAAGCATCACCGATCTTGCTGGTAACGCCACGTATCTGAGCGTCCAGGACAACCGGCTAACAAACCTGGAGGACGTCTTCACCTTTTCGAATCACATGAAACGCCTCCGGTTTCTTCTCTATGGAGGGAACACAATCAGGTGGTGTACGCTCAGTACACAAGTCGGTCAAAACGATGTTGGATTTCTCGACCTTCACAGCAGCTCCCTGCAGTCCATCTGGGCTCAGGGAAAATGCCTCCATCTCTTTGGCAACTTCGGAAATGTCATCCGTCTCGACCTGAGTCTCAACGGTCTGCATAGGCTTCCCGGAGGTGTCTTTAAGGGCCTGGCCTCCGTGCTGGAGATGGACCTCTCGTCCAACGCCCTGACGTATCTGCAGCCGGACGTTTTACCTAAAAGTCTGAAATCGCTCAACCTCGCAAACAACTTCATCGCCTCCCCTGACCCCGCGGCTTTCTCCTCCCTCGGCTTCCTCGACCTCTCCGGGAACAGATTCCACTGCAACGCCGGACTGAGAGGTTTCCTGGGCTGGCTCAGGGAGACCAACGTGACATTTTTGAGGCCCGCGCAGGAGCTCAGGTGTGAGTTTCCATCTGCTTTTCACAATGTGCCTCTCTCAGACTACTCTGCTCGGGTATTACAGCGGTGACAGCTGCTGAAACTAAAGGAATCTGGACCCAAAAATACAGAGGAGTGGAGGTATCAGACATGATGATTCATATTTATCTTATCCATAGTAGCAAGAGCCTGATTGTTTGATAAAGGCAGCCGTCGGATAAAAGGTTCAAAGGAATTGAAAATCTCCAGTATTTTTTCTCTGTTTGCATTGAAAATAACTCAGTTTTATGCTAAAACTGAGCAATAAACTCTTTCAGCTGGTGCAAAAATCTGGTTCAGGCTTCTGTTTTATTCTTTTCTTACAGCAGAGGGCAGCCTCTGCTCAGTCAGCGAGAACTATTCTCAATCCTGTCATGATGTAAAAAAAAAAAAAAAGATTTAACAGGGAAAGAAACATATTTTAGAATTATTTGAATGTATTTTACTTCTTAGTCATTTTCTGCTTAATGCATTTCACTAGCCGAGTCTGGTTGTAGAAATATCTAAAACCCAGAAAGGAGATAATCATACTTAAAAGCACATTTACATTTCAGAGGCCTGTTTAAATGGTAAATCACCAACTTATACCATCTGATTTGATTTGGAAGAAAAATACCAGTTTTTGCTTATTTCAAAGTTACGTAATTAAATCAATAATTCAACAATCTTGTAACAAAAAATAAATCAACTGAGAGCCGAAAGAAACCATGGAAACATGTCACATCTTTTTTTTTTTTTTCTTACCTCTCTTAATTATTTAACCCTTAGCTGTGTAATGATAAATAACTGAATAGTAAAAAAGAGCCATGTGAGCTTTAAAGTGGCAGAGAAGCCAGAATACGGCCTGTTCTCCTCCCGTCTCACAGCAGAGGGCAGCAGAGGCTCGGGCAGGAACATCCACCTCCAGAGTGTGGGACAACCACAACCCCTCTTTCTCTGCAGCATTAATCAGTCACACAGTGACAACAAACATGTAACACAAACCCACCCGCCTCACAGCAAAAAGGGTTCCCAGTTCAAGTCCCTGGGGGGCACTGGGACCTTTCACTTTATCTCCAGTTGCCTCAGGTCTGCATTCAGGGTCCTTCATCATCCACCACCCATTAATAACAACTTGCTGTTATCATCATCATATGCATCTTCACGTCAAAAGTGATGTCGTTTTGTTCTGTAATCTTCCTTTTTGTCACAGTTGCTCGTAATTCTTTTCCTTTTTTAATTTCAGGGAAGCTCCGCTCTAGTTTAAATGCCACGTTAACCAGAACGGGCGACTAAGTGTCTCCTCTCAGCGTGAGGAATGTTTGCTTTGCTGTGATAGGTTACTTAAATGTCAAATAGAGTCTCACGGCCAGACTCAGTGAGAATCCTGACACCACTCACAGTCCACTGACTCTTACTCCAAAAATTGTCTTTTTTCTGATTTTACATTGGGTTGTGTTCATGTAGTTGTGCGTTGGTTTGTGTTGTCGTCTAGCATGAAAACAAATTGCTCTCTGCTTTGACGAGCCTGACATGATCCCATTGATTGAATTCAAATGAGATGATATATCTGACTCAGACTCACACATTAACCTAAAAGCAAATCATAACCCCGTTCATTGATCAGAGAGAATAAAACACTGACTCCAATATTTTTATTGGATTTTTTTTTTTTAAGCCAGACGTGAGCCAGGCCTGGCTGGTCCACGTCACACACATATTGACACACAAACCCACATCAACCCCCTCCGACACCCCCTCCCCTCGCAGGTTGCCATGGAAACAGGCTCAGTATCTGCTTCCTCCACAGTTATTCTTCACTTCCTGATTGTCTTTGGGTCCCTGCATCAGTCCCACCCCCCCCCGCCCCCCCCACCTCCTCCATCAGCATCCAGCCTCCTCCCCACCCCCACAGCCCTCACACACATATGCGTTTGTACAGTATTTTTCCAACCCAACACTGATGTGGAACACAAACGAATGCTTTTGATGAGACCAAATAGATGACAAATAGACAGTAAATCTTAAACAGAAGCTTTTTTGTCAGAACTTTGCTTCCAAATGATACAAAATGATGAAACCAAATCACGTTCCTGACTGTGCCTTCGGCCCATTAATGTAGATCATAACTCATGGATATGGTAAGACAGGGGAGACAGAACAGGAAGATTAAACAACAAGACACATTAAATCATTAGATTTTTTTTAAACCATTTTCGATTTGGTTTTCTATTAGTGTTATTTTTCTTTTCAAATGCAGTCTATTATTTACAATATCTCTCTCTACTGTGACAAACAAAAATTTACAGCAATGCAATCTCATAGGTAGTAAGTTTTCATTAAATTAAAGGTTCATTTGCATTTCTTTAAAAAGTAACAATACAAAACCAAACATTTGGATGTCGCCTCAGCGAATTGCATGTCTCGTTTCCTCTGTATAATAAAATGGGTTGAATAAACAAACAGATGCTGCTGAGTAAACAAACCAAATTCAGACTGAGTGACAAATGGGTTTGCACAGATCTCTAATTAACCAGTAACAGCATCCAGCAATGTTATGGATAATGTTAAGTTTAATTTGTTTTAAGTTTAAATTACGTTTTAAGCATTACAAAATGTTTCAATTAAATATTTTGAGTCCAAATATAGAGGAATGTTTCTTTGGTTGTGTCACATGTGAGGATTTACAGCCTTTTTATATTCATCATATTGTATCGAGCTGCTGATGAACTTTTCGACTTTGAAAAAGTAGCTCTCCCCTCAAAAAGCAAAGGCAAGGCTTCTCCTCTCCTTTCCTCATTTTTATCTGAGCTGGTAGAGACATCCACCAGCAAATTTCTGGCATATTTTCAAAAGAAAATTGAAAGTTTTCTTGGAAACGAAGCAGATCGATATGTCACACAGAGGTGAGACGTGCTGTGAGGCATCTTTCATATCGGTTAAAGACTGTCTTTCACCTGTGGGGGGGTTGAATTGCAACCGGATCCACAGCATCAATAATACAATGACGATTAGTCAGCCTGACCCCCCGCTGTTTGCCCTCATTAACCTCCTGGAGCTGAAGATCCCTGTGACTCTAAACTGGGCACACCTGGCTGGCATCCACTGGCCAATGAGACGTGGATGAAGAAAAATAGACCAACAGGACAGGAGTCCATCTGACGAGACACCAGACCTAACCAGTGTCTGATGCATCTCTATAAGGCTGCTGTTTAATCTGCAGTTTGCACTTGACTTCAGAAGAGAAACATGGATAAGGTTTGTCTTTAATGCAGGCATAGTCCATTTAAACATTAAGAAAACACAGCATTATCGAACCATCACTTCGTCCTATATCAACTCAACACCAAAATTGTAAGAATCCTTCAAAAGTTGATAAATAAGATGCTTAGTTCCATTTTCTGCTTTCTCAAACAATCCTATGAAGGCTGCAATCAACTTTAGGATTATGTTATATTTTCTTTGTGTAGAAATATGTAAAACAACAGGGGTTTAGGACTTTGTTGCAACATTATTTATGTGTAACAGATGTTTTTAGAGACTGAAACCAGCATTTTTTTCATTGTGGGATATACGAGAATCTATTTATAAAATTTTAAATGTCAGTCCGTTCTGAAATGAAATGTATTGTTTGTTTTTTATATTCTGCAGCTGGTTTTTGGATGCTTGTGGAAATTAGATGACATTCAGATGACAACTAAAAACTAAGAAGACTTCAGCCTGGATTTACAGGGAGACATTTCTTTTTAGTGGCCAGTTTATCTTAAAATTGAGTGAGATTACAGCCAAGTCATGTGGAAACATATTTAGACAAATATTAGTTACATCTCATCCCCAGAAAGGTTTTTCCCTAAAATGTTAAGTTGCACTTCAATATATCCTGATCACTGGTGTTATCTTATGAATAAAATCCCAGCAAATGAGGTTTGTAGTGTGACATTCCGCACATTCATCATTTTAATTAGATTATTCAAAGACATTTCAGTTCAATTAGACACTGAGGAAGGACTGAAAGGAGACAAAATGTCATCGTTCAGGTTTTAAAGTACCACATCTGAACAACAGCAAACACCTTCTTACTTTCTTTTTTCTTTCTTAATGTACTCATTTTCCGAAGCCAACGCAGACAAGATCTTCTCGACTCTGAAGTCCGGCTTTCATTACAGAAAACCTGTCCCGAAAAGCCTTGAACACAAGAAATATTTACACAGATATCTTACAGAGGTTTTGAGCAACTTGTGGGCAGCCGACATCTGTTTGGTCATAACATTAAAGACAAACAGTCAAACTGTCTACGCTCACACACACACACACACACACACATACACACACACACACACACACACACACAAACAAACGCATACACACACACACACACGCATACACACACACACACACACAGTGTTTTAAAAGGACGATTTGAAACTCTCCGACATGCAGGCGACAGAAAAGGGTCAGGTGATCATTTCATCTGAAAAAAAAAGAGGAAAGTATGGTTTTACAGAGTTTCTGAGGTCATATCATTCCTGTTAGACGATCATTTCCAAGTAGTCCACGACCTCTCAGGACTTGGCAGAGGTGGTGGCGTGTATTTGTGTCCCAGCTGCTCACTTCAAGAGTCCTTAAGAGGATAACTGGCCAAAACTATAAGAGGAAGTTAAGGATAAAATAAATAAGGGTAAAAAAAAAAAAGCTTTCTTCACCAAAGCTTTACTGTGCCGCTGTGGCAGCGTGACTCGCCGCCAAGGAATTATTAGAAGAGGAGGAAGTGATGGATTTTTGGCTCTGACACCTGTAAAAAAAGAAGAAAAATGTCATAAATCTGATTTAAATTGTGAAAAATATCAATATTTTGTGTAAATTAGACACATTAATCGGATTATCAGCAGTATTGAGATTACAGGCATATGAGAGAACGAAAGACAAACCACCAGATTAGATTGTGCGAGGGAGGGTGTGGCTAATCCCGAATAATCCCATTTAGAGATGTATTGACTCTAAACGGTTTACAGCTCAGTCTCCGGGTTTGGGCTGAACACAGAAAGTCGGCTTCCTGCTTGGAGAATAAATTTGAACAGTAGCTGCTCTACAGTGACTCCCATGCAAAATGTGGATGACAAATATTGAGAGACAGTGCAAGTATTTATAAAAAAAAACACATGACTTTTTCCAGTTTAACTTTGTTCCAGATTATTTTAAGGATAATATCTTCTAAAACATATCTATATATCTTTTTATTGAGACCAAGGTTAATAAAGACTTACTCAAGGGATGATTGACGGAGGTGGATAAAAACATACATATTTATCATAAAATAGGCTCCTTCCAGTGATTTATTTAAGACAAATTTTAGATCAAATCAAACATAAACTAAAACTTTTAAAGGCCAAAGTATTCATGGGTATTTTATGATTTTCCCCATGAATAACACTAATCATTATCATAATAGACAATATAATAATTAATATTTATTTATGCATTTCACCATACATCATTAATTATTAGTTTTAATTATATTATTATATATAATATAAGATAAATAAGCTTAGAATTTTTTCAATGTATTATATAAAGTATTATCAAGAATTATATCATCATAAATTATATCACACTTTTATGAGTTGTAATTGTCTTGATTGAAGGAGAAACTTTCCCGGGAGTTTTAATGACCTTTGGATTTCTGATGTAAAACTGTTTTTATCAAATGAAGCAGCAGCTGTGTGATGAGCCAGCTCAGACTCACCAGGATCGAGACTTGCGGACGCCTTTTTCCTTGGTGGGAGAGTTGTCCAGAGACGGACTTTGGTTCGGGTCTGCCCCCGCCGAGCGATCCAGTGAGGTGTTGGGAGGAGTCACGTCCAGCTCCAGAAACATGATGTTCTCTGCCTGCATGTGGAGGAAAACACAAGAGTCTGCATCCACACCAACATCTCTAATAGCTCTGTACTTAAAAGAAAAAATATTGAATAATCATTAAAGAATTTCAACTAAAGTTTGTCTCTTTACGTCAAGATCTCCATTTTATCATTTTATGATTCAAAACAAATTTTTGAAGCGGTGCCATTATCTAGCTAATTTTTTATTTTTTTTTAACTTAAATACATAAAGAAAAATAGCATGCATGTGTTACAGGATTACAACAGTAATGTAGCTATACAGTTCAAACTATTTTAAGTTACTAATGTTTTAAGTATTTGCTGTTAATTATTATAGTTAATTAAACAAATTATACTAAAACTGGTTTTGGTGTCCTCTACAACACAGGGATGATTTTTTTTGTCCTTTTAATAGCTTTCTAATGAGTTTACGGACCAGATTAAAATGCTTTGTATAAATAACATCCACTCATCCAGCCTATAGTGGGCCATGTTGGGCAAGTTAAACTAAACTGTCCCAAAAAAGTTTAAACATTTGCGACATCTAGGCAGAATTCCTGACTTGTGTTCTGCAGATAAACAGCCATGTTTCCTTTTATTTTACAAGGAAAACGTACCTTTCATGTAGCCCTCTCTGGCCATCAACCCAAACCCTGAGAATGAGTCACACACATAAATTTACCCTGTATCTGGAATGAGCTCCCATGGCGATAGCAACCCTGGCGTACTGGCTGATGGGGCGCTTGTACCCGACAGCAGAGGTGGGCCTTTTCTTCATTTGGGAGGATTTACTGCACGGATTCACAGAAGACACAGAAAATCAACCGATCAATCATCTGCAAAATGAACTCAGTGAGGAGTGAGGAGTTCATTCCTCCACCTAAAACCATCCCCGACCTTTCAGCTGGAACTAGAGGCTGGTACTTCCACTGATCCTCCTCTTGGTCAAAGGTCAGCCTGTTCATGATCTTATTCTTTTCCTCTGGAGGGATGAAGTTCTCTATGATCAGATACCTGCGTAAACACAGCACACAGCAAGGCAGAGTTTTAGAAACAAGTCCCTGGAATTAAATGGTCTCCAATCTGGTCTCTACAGAGAATTTAACAGAAAAGATTTTCCGAGTGCGTCACCTCTGAAAACAGATGATAGAAACCTTTCTTTCTTTGGTGAGCCCATTCATTTCAAATTAGGAAAGAGCTTAACGACTTTTGACCCGTCTGCATTTATTCCATTGACCCAACCAGGGAACCAAACCAAAGCGACACAAATCAAGCTCCTGTTTATCATGATGCTGTCTCTCATTCGATGTGCTTTCTATGTACCGTTGTTCATGATGGTTTATGAGATTTAAAGTCAATGCGCTCTCTAATCTGAGATCAGAGAGGAGCGATGGTGTTACACATAAAGCACAGACTCTGTGTTATTGGAAATGTAATTAAGATAAAAATCTCCTTGTTTTCTTCCCTCTGGCTCTGCATTTGGACGCCACTTTCGGACCAGATCTGCTACTCCGGCATCAATAACGGGACGGGGAATTGAATTAGAGTTGAATTGAATTGGAGGTGGGCTGTGGGACTCACTTGAACTTGAGCTCTCTGGTGAGCTCGTTCTGAGTTTGCTCCAGCTCCTGCCGGTTCCTCACGTGCTCGTCGTTCACGTCCTTTATCTCCCCTTTGATGGTCTGGAGCTTGTTGTACAGCTGGAGACACACACACACACACACACCCGGGGGGGGTGAGAGGGGCCGAGTCGCTGACAAACTGGTCTCCAGCTCGCTGCTGCTTGGTTACCCATGGCAACAGCACTGGAGGCACTGGTGTCTGGAGAGCAGGCCGGCCAATGGGAGCGCACCGACCTCCTGCAGCCCCCCCCCCCCCCCCCCCCCCCCCCAACCACCTCTCTTTGGTTCACTCCCTCGCTCTCTTCCCTCGCTCCCCTGAGCATTTACTCTGTTTAGCTTCAGCAAAGTGAGCAGAAAAAAGATGATGAAAAATAATAGAGCAGCTAATTATTACTCCGGCCTTTTGAAATACCTGACATGCTATTTATAGGTAAAACAGCAGGAAGCTTTGTTTACACTCACAAGACGAGTCTATTCGGGTCCATTACGCTCAAATCTACGGACCGAATGAACAAGATCAGGGACACAAGAGGCTAAAATGGGATGCTGGACCTTAGAGAAGAGGTTGGGACTTGTTCTGCCTCCTGGCCGCCTCCCATTGGAGACATCACATCCTACAGAGTCAAAACGGGGCCATAACAGTAGTAGTCATGTCACCTGAGGTTCCTTCTAGACTTATGTCCCCCATATGGCTATCAACTGGATTCCAAGTAACATATCTGTACTCTCAGAGGACCTGAATGGTACACTTATGTTTCCAAGTGATACATTTCAAGTGTACAACAGCAGGACATGAGAAGGCATCATCCTAGTGAGAAATCGGTCACAGGGAGAAGACCCTGGGGTAGGCGCAGGATTAGATAGAGGAATTATATATCCCTCCTGGTCTGGGAATGTCTTGAGATCTTCCTGGAGGAGCCGAGAAAGGAATGTCTGGGTTTCCATGAATAGATGGAAATATAAGGACCCATTTAAATGCATGTAACTTCAATATTATTCTTTACCCTTTAAAAAAAACACATTTTAGTTTAAAGCTACTGCTCACATCTCAAGTTGTCTTTGAGTTAAAACTTAATTGTGCTATATTATAAGTGCCTGGACTTTTCTCCTTGTTTGCGGCCTCCCTTCGCTACACAGACAAGGATTTTTCCATGAAAGCACAAATTTTACTGGTAATCTAAAGCCAAAGTTTTCAGTAAACGGCCCAAAGTTTATCGCCCATCCAAACAGCTGGTTATTGCAGCCAGTGAGCTCACCAGGGTCAGCTTTGAGTTAAAATGAATGTTTACACCCAGTCTTATTCAGAAGTACAGCCTCATGCATGGAGAGGAGATGGCATGGATTTCAGCAGAGGATCATTGGTCTTTTCCCCTCTCAGAAATGACCGGTTCTGTGTTAGTTCGGCTTGTCGGATGCATCAGAAAAAAAGGAAGACTCTGAGTGTTTGCACTGGATGGGAGGTTAGTGTGGGTTAGGGTTAGGAGAGGGAAAGAACCAGGAAAGACAAGGGGCAGGCAGGACAAACCTGTAGGTACTGAAATCACATGTCCGAGGCATTGGTGTCATTAGGATCCAGGTCAATAATAACAGGGTTCAGACGGGGAACAAGGTGCAAAGAGGGATATTCTTAATTTAGGAACAGAAAAGGAATATGCAGTTTTGAGAACAGATAAAATACATAAGAATAGATTTAGACAACCTTGTTTACCAATACAAAAGTGTTCGCTTGCACATAAATGAGCATTTGACTTTTTCTCTTCACCAACACACTTCATCCGCTCATGTTTCACCTTCTTGAGCTTCTTAGTCTTGGCTTCGACCTCCTGCTGTAGCGAGGTGAAGGTGTCTCTCAGCTCCAGCGTCTCTTCGTCCTGGACCATCATCCTTTGCTGCATCTCCCTCTCACTGCGCGTCTAAAAGCACGAAGCAGAGAAGTCACCTTTGTGCCAGCTTCGTGAGGAAAAACGGAAGCAGAACAGGAAAAAAACGACGTGTAACAATCAAACGGTTTCTAAAAACTACCTGCTCGGCTATTTCCTGCCTTTTCATCTCGAGAATCTTCTGCTGCTCGTTGGTGTGATCTATGATGTTTTTTCCCCCGACCAGCAGTTTGCTCTCCATCGCCTGAAAAAAAAAAAAGACATTAACTGGATTTATATTTATGACCTTAATTTTATCTGATAACACAGAGAGAGGTAACACAAAGCTAACACTTATCATGAACATATCATCTTACTGGTTTCTTAAAAAATAGTGTAAAAACACACATGTAATACCAAATATTTGTGAAAAAAATCGTCTAATTTTTACAGGAAAGAAAAAATAATGGACACAGAAGGACATGGAGTTGAAAATTTGAGAAAGAAGTTGTGAGTTTATGGGGAAAACGTGTAATGTTTTTGGGATAAGACGAATTTGAAAGAATAGTAATAAGATCAAAAGAAATGGGATATAAATTAAATGGAAAACACCATAAAATATGTGAATTATGGCATCTTCAGAACAATTGTGGCTGTATTTTGTGATAAATCTGCTGTGTGGAGTTGGTACAAGGAGAAGGAACAAAAAATGTAACAGCAAACAGAGCCTGTTAGCCCTGTTAGCAGAGGTGTCACAGATGTTTTCCTGCTTCAACTCACCTGATTCAGATTAAATGGACTCTCCCAAATATTAAATTCTGCACGCGACTGTTAATGGTGCATTGATTTGAATCATGTGTGTTGAAGCAAGGAAGCATCTAAAAACTACTCAAGCGGTTTTATTTTATTCAGCTTCAGTCAGAGAAACGTGTTAAGATCCAGCCTAAGGCCTGACTTTGGTCGGACACAAGATTAGGCCGGATTTTTCCAATGTGGGTTATATGGTTTAGACAAAGGTTTGAGGATCAAATAGATTTCCAAAGATTAATGCAGGTTTCTGGGAGAGTTCTGAACTGGGACAACAGGTCTGATCACATTTGCTACGGTTACGACTCGCAACACATTCATTTTATCAGCCGCCTGTTGCGTATTCATGCCTTTTATAGAAAATATTTGCTATTTTCTGGTAGTCTATCATGCAAAAATTTTCTAATAAATGCAATATCATAAAAGGTTTTGCTGGCGTCGGTCTGAAGTGACCAATATGATGGATATAAAAAACAGTTTTGCAGGCTTTGAAGCTCCGGTGGGTCACACTGAGTTCATGTGGATGTTAAACAGTCGCGTCTTTGTGCGATCGGAGCAGATGCTGACGAGGCAGACGGACACCATGACACCGCACCGCCACAAGCTGAGACCCTGAAGAGCTCCAAGCACACATCAGCCTAGGAAGTGGGCCAGGACAGAACCGCACGCTATGCCTTTTTTCTTTTTTTTTTTTTTTAGTACAAGACACTTCCAACTGTTAAAAATCAAACATACTTTGATACAAACAAATATGTATTATTGTCTCCGGGCTCCTGTCCCGGGGGCAGAAACGGGATAGGCCGAGGGACCAGAGCAGAGCATCCAGAGACAACCAACAAATACCACTGATGTTGTGTAATGGCTGTATTCCAGCACAACAACAGTGTGCGTCTGTCGATTGTGCGCTGCATATACATTCTTGAGTGTTTAAGGGGGAGCAAAAAACTCACATTTAAGCGGCTGCGGAGCACAGTGGAGTCCCTTAGAGGGGATGCATCTGCTGCACAGAAAGCTTCTTTGTTTCAAGCCGTCTTTGTTCGGTGTGTTTATGGGAGTATGTGCGTGTGCATGTGTGTGTGTTTCTCCGTGTTTTGCTGCTCTTTTGTGTTCTGCCATATTCTTTCAGCCTCATTAAAGGGCTGATTCACGTCGGGGATTTTCCCTCCTGTGCAGCTCGTGTCTCTTCTCCCTGACGGACCGGCTGCTTTTAAAAGATTTTTATGATGCATGCTGTGAACAGGCGGCAGCTTAAGCAGGAAATCTGAGAAAACACAGGCCCACAGCTTCATTCACGGATAAAAAAGATCCACCATGAGGCTCCCAGAGGCCACGACACCACGCCAAGACCACAACTGAACTTCCACGGATAGAGCAGCATCCGATTAAACCCTAATAATGGTGGAGTTTACGGCAACTGCTGTTTGTTGACCTGAAAACAAAGAGCTGTTGATTACAGAGTTAAAAAGGGGAAACAAACCCTTTCCTCACATTTAAACCACCGTTTTATGTCCCAAAGAGATGTAAAAGACAGAGAAAATGCCTAAAAGTCAGATTTTTTGCAGGGTTGGCTGAACAAATGCAAACTTTAGACTGAGGGGTTACGTTTGGATTATTAGAGGCAAAATAACCACAAACTAAAGACATTCAGTACTACATTACTCACCCTGAGGATTTTTTGCTTCGTGGAGCAGACAAATCATCCTAAATAATCCTAGTTCTCCTTATATTTCTCTATATAACTGCCCCCTTTCTGATGTCTCAGAGCCCAAGTCCAGCTACAGTAATACTGGAACTGTTTCTGCTGATAATAATATGACTATAATCAAGTTGTATTAATCTCTCTTTCAACTGAGGTCAAGATGAAATTCAACCAGGATTCAAACAGAAAGGAGCTGGGAAATCTTTTGAATGACAGTTTCTTACAACAGAAACTCTATTTGTATAATAATTCCAGTTTTCCCAAAGTGTCCCTCGTGTCCAGTCCTCAGTCCTGGCTCCTATCCTCACGCTAGTTATTTTCATTACATTTTTCTAGTGTCATGTAAATGTAGAGATTTATCACTTGACAGCTACAATATGAAAGTCTAACGCCTTGTCTTTTTTTCAGAACCTCCTTCAAAAACAACCATTTCTGACTTTTCAAATCACAGCAACTCGATCTTTGTTTTAGGCTTGACAAAGCAGCTATTAGGTTAATATTTAATAATTTTGTTAATTTTTTTCATGCACTCAAAGTCATGGAAGATATCCACACAAAAAAACCCCAATATGTTATTTTTAAGCTGAACAAATGAATGGAATAGTTGGATATATAACAATCAGCCACCTAAACTAAAAGACCTTTAAGTCTGTGGTTTGAATATGACCCTAATAAGCTTATCTAAGCTTAGCCTGCAGACTGAAGAGGGAGACAGTTAGTCTGATTATCTGCAGTCTCAAATCCACCAGCATCTGACTGACTCACTTATCTGACATGTTGCATTCGTACACAAACAACTCCCTCCAGTGACTTCAGACACAATCACTGTTCTCATTAAGTGCTAACCATTAATATTAATGTGCACATTTCCACAAATCCCTGACTAATCTTTTTAGATCTTGCAGATATTAGAGTGTAAAATGTAACTTTTTGTTCAAAACCTCAAATCGTTCCAGCAGATGCGGTATGTAAATCATCCATTAGTCACCTAATTTAATCCAGTTATCACTCTGCATAATAACCTTATCACTGAATTTACTGCCTTGGACAGAGTTAAAGGTTCACATGATGGGATTACATCCAGTTTAGGACTATGGAGAAATCAAGCGATAAAGAAACACTATTGTGTCTATTTTAAATCACCTATTACTATGTTTTAGCTGAGCTGATAATGGGCAGCAATCAAAATAAGAACTGGAAAGAATGAAGGCAAAGAGACTCCAAATAACCTTGAACTCATCTGTCACTGGAGCCATTTTCATGTTTCCGGGCATCTGTGTTTCACGCATCATATTTCCATCAACTCAGAGGACATTATGCTGACTAAAGCATGACCTAGACAACACTCAGCTAAAAGGTTGAGTCAGGATGAACGTCTAATGTTCTTCAAAAGTACACAAGAGACAGATCTGACCTCCATGTTTGCAAAAACCTCTTTTTAAAACGGCTTTATGGTACTTTAAAGGCCTTCTTTAAGAGTTGAAATTGGGAAACTTACACCTGAAGGCTAGATGAGCTGAAAAATAATTTGAAAAATGAAGTGTTGAGTTTTATTATGTTATGTGAGTGTTCACAGTACATTTATAACATGTTTTTCATATCATAACACAAAAACAAAAGATTTTACCTTTCTTTTCATGCGTTAACTTTGTTTTACTTCTTTTATGTCACATTTTAGGACAGTTTGCCCCTTTTTCTGGGCCGTTCATGGGCATTGAAAATGGAATCTGTAAGGTTTTCAGGAAAAGACCCACTCTGAAATAACAACAGTGTATTATCTTTCATAGTTTCAGTCTATTTAAAAGAAAACAGGCCTGCACATACAAAACGGCAAAAATCAAAAGAGGCAGCTTTTGTCCCTGTTGATCAGGTGTGTTTTGGTTTATTATCTAATGTTAGGATGTTTTTTTATTACAACAAAGCACACAGAGAGCATCTCAGATCTAGTGATCAGATCCAGATGTTTGGTCTTATGCAGAATCCAATTAAGGATGGTGAAATTGAAAGAAAAACCCTTCAGAGTGAGTGCACGTTAGCCTGCATGGTGTTCGTGGGCACATAATCTGGCCATGAGTGCATGCTCAAATTCCTCTGGCCGTAAATGATCCATTTCCTGGTGGGAAAGTAATAAGAACGGGAAGTGTTGCATCTTGAGCTGGCTCGTCTGCACCAGCCAGCCAATCAGAGTGAGGACGGTCCCTGTTGGGAGCCAACGCGCTATAAATATCACCTGACGACGGCAGGTCCTGTGCACGGCGCGCGGGGACAGAGAGCTTACTGCTGAGACATGCAGGAGGACAGGGAGAGACCAAAGAGACATGCGATGCATCGAAGGAAAGACAGAGAAGCCCTGACCTTTATTCCTCTTTCCTTCTAAGAGTCGGTTTGGCATTTGTCCCAATCGATAGTAAAAACCACTTAAGCAGACACAATCTCGAGGCCTCAAATCTCATCAGTCCTATACTTAACAAGAAACGCATAGAGGTCCGGTAACCGACACGTAACCTATAGAAAATACCTTTTACACTTCCATATCTGTCCTTTTATACCTAGTTGTGCATCCGGATGAGTTCATATGATAAAATGAACAAATGGGTGTGTTTGACATTAGCTAAATGGCAACTATTTGTAGTTATGAGATGTTATAATGTAAGAAAAAAAAATAAAGAAGGCAGTTTTAAAGAGTTACATTTCTCAAATTGTGTTTACTGTTTAGATTTACCTATTTACCTTTTGGTGACAAAAGGTAGTGTAAAAATGGGACTATTCAAACGTTAAACAGCCTAAGATGACACCAGTAAATGACCTGTTTCCTGTATAACCGCATTTCTGTCGTTGTATGTCTGTGTCTGATGAAGAGATGTATCATTTAAGAAATGAACCCGTGGCATGAAGCGAGCACACATGGACTCGCGCGGCGTTCATCAATATTTCAGTGCTGCAGCTCTCTGCTGAAAGATGGAGCTCAGTGTGTTATCAGCTTTGTTCACACACAGAGCAACAGAGGCTTCTCTCTGTTTCTCCCTCCGTCCAGACTTTTTCCTCTTCTAATTAGACAGGAAGGCAGCCTACAAACAGGAAGCACCATTATTCTACGCTGCACATGTGGGTGCGTGATTGTGTACGTCTTTGTGTGTAAAAATACATGTTCAGTGCATAAACAGATGGAGGGCTGATATGCACAGTTCTATGAAAAGGTCTTGAGTCACCCTTGTTTTTCTTTTTGAGGAAAATAAGCACTGATGGTCAGTTCACTTAAATGTAAAGGACATTCTGCACACCATGCCTCTGAAGTGTCCAATAACACCATTTAAAACGTTTTTTGAGTTAATTTTTTGACACAACACACGCCTTTATATGCTTGATTGATTGATAGAGAAATATCACAGAAGTCAGGAAGTAAAATAGAAAGAAATAAAGAGTGGCTGAGGACTTCTGCACAGCGCTATGCTGACAACGTGTCTGTTTGCATGTATGTCCCATCTGATTATGCTCATTGTTGTGGATCATGTGTTCTGACTGGCCCCATTCAACTGGCAGGATGTCGGAAAAACCTGACTACGTTGCCCTCAGGACAAGCTCCCCTCCTCTGTTTTCCTATTCTAGCTCACCTTTACAAAATATTAATAACACAGACGGGGAATGACACCACAAAGTTAATTGGAGCATTGTGCCACAGCAGACTTTTTATTCTTGGAAGTCGCACATTAGAGTCACTCTCAATGTTCTCTGTTCCAAGAAGAGAAAAAAAAATCAACAGTCTTCTCATAATCTGCAAGTCGAGGTGGTGATATTTTTAAACCTGCGCCTGACACATTTACGCATTTACGCGAAGATGCTTTGGCGTCGGCTGGCTGTGCGGCTTCTCAGACCGAAAGCAGCACATTAGCAACTTGAAATAGCAAATGAGGCCGTCTAAATCAAGCCACAAAAGAAAACTTTGTTCAATGGCAACACAAACAAGATAAACTGATCATTCTAAGTAGATTGAGACTTGAATTTGCCTTGTCATGAAGATGATGAAGCTCATAGTTCAGAAACAGCAGTTATGCCCGCCAAAATGTTGCAGTTCGGTTTGGATTTAGGAAACTTACACCACTTATAACGTGTGATTTTCATCATTTTGGCAGCTGTCACCAAACAGCTCGTTGTTGTTCATTCTATCGTTGAAACACTGAAAGAAATGCACTTTCTTAAGCTCATTTGTTTAAAAAAAAGATGAACAACTGTATAAGGGTTTTTTTTTTAAGTAGGCTGAGGTCATGTTTAACATTCAAGTAAGTCCAAAGACACTTTAGGACTTATAGAAACATGGCACGAGGGGGACAGACAGATGAAAATGAGACACAGAAAGAAGCTGTTTTGACCCAGAAAAGTGGATCTAAGAATAGTCCACAGGAGGGTTGGACTGAGCAGCCTCTGGCTGAGAAGCTGTGGCTCCACATGAATCTGCTGTTTCATAACGCTGGTATCAAGCTCAGTGGTCAGCGTCGTTAAGTTTGGTTAACTGTCCACAAAGGGAATCGGGAGATGAGATTAAGGTGCAGCTGGAAGCTAATGCCGATTTGATAGAAATGGGAAATGTCTGATTTCTGGCAAACGGATACAGGGCTGATTGTTTGATATTAGCCTCCTCCGAGCCAGCGAAGCTTGTTTAGGTTCTGTTTCCAAATGATGTCCTGGATCACTGCATAATCAGTGTTCAAGGCATTCGTCCGTCTCTCTGCAGTAATGATTTGTGAGGAAACTGTTGGTATCTTGTATGTATCAGTTTCTATAAATTAGGCAAAAATAAACTTAGCGTTTTCTCAGTTTCTGTGCAGCTGCGTGACTGTTCCCTTAAAAATCGGCTCTACATAAAGACATATGACAGCGTTAAAAGGAAACACTGTCAGGAAATGACAGGTGTGAAATACACAACAGCTGAGTGACACTCAAGACAATTTAACAACGGGAGTCTGAGCTCAAGATGACCGAACCAGGTCCGTGATTCCTGTGGCCTGAAACCACCCAATAGTTCATAGATGAATCACCCCAGATCAATATTCCCAATTTCAAATAGGGCCTAATGCACTACGTTTGTGTGGAAAGTTAAAAAAGAAGCTTCAAAATGTTGCAGATATGACAGAGGAAACCTAACTAAATAGGATCCAGATTCATCCAGATCTGGTGAATCACACAGGACTCTGGTGAATCTGGTGAATTTAAAAAGATTTTCATGTCTGCTGATGTTCTGAAGCTTCCCCTCAGTCCGGTTTCACTCCACTCACCCCCTGCTTTTCTCACACCCTCCAGAGGAAAAGTGTGAAAAAACCGAGAGTGATACACACAAGAGGTCACAGAGCCACAACCAGACCTGTGAAGTTGTGAGCTTATGCGTCGTGACCCGCAGACACATGATGTCACGCCTCACATTTGGCCTCCAACAAAACAGACAATAGCTCAACGCGCCTCAGAGGCTGTTTGAACAGCAGCGCACGGACACAGCTGACCAACAGCCTTTCACTAGCTTTAATATTCAGGCTGACCGCTCATATCCAGGACCAGAAAGGACCAAGGACTTTAAAGCACCTAGGACATTTTTAAAGACTTTAAACTGACAGAATGACAGTTAAAGCAGTAAAAAAATCTGATGATGATCCCAAAAATAAGAGCACTCAGGTTTTAACAATTTATGTATGAATCAAAGATAGAAATCCATGGACTCAACATATGAATCAGAGAGCTAAAAGATTATTAATGCTTCCGCCCATTTTCTATACCAGCTAATCTAAGGTGTGTCGTGCATTTTGACACAAATTAATACACGCATCCAAATATTAATAAGACACAAGTCTATCCTTTTAAGACTTTTGTCGCTCAGACAAAAAAAAACATCCAATGCTTTAGAGAGCATGTTTGAGAAATGAACTCAGAATGAACTCCGATGGGTTTGTGAGAGCAGCGGTGAGTTCAACAGATGTATCTCAAACTACTTTGGGCAAAATCGGATGTCTGTAGAGCAGAGAAAACGAAGCCGGAAGCAGGTGGCATCAACGCGCTTCCATTCGATATTTCCGCGTTTTCTCTGATGTCTGAAACCGACAGAGAAGGACTGAGCCATCAAAGGCAGGAAATACCTCTTCCCCTTCATCATCTTTCACCTCAGGGCAGTTGGTGATTCACATCGCTCAGCAGCCACCAAGTGAAACATGCGGACAGGGCCAAAGAGCCTCTGAGGATTCCCCACAGATCGGCACTAAAGAGAATAAGCCCCCCTGGTCCTTTGGGGAAAAATGTGACAGGAAGAAATCTGAGCAGCTTCACAGGGAAATGTATATGAACGAGATTAGCTGTTTGTCGGCGGAGTTTTCCTCGCGTCATACGCACAAAGTGCCGAATCACAGAAATACAGCAAACACAATTGTGTTTACGCTGCTTTTAAAGTGCAGCATAAACCGTCTTACTTCTCTTCTGCCAATTTCAGGGATTTCAGGCCTTTTTATTCAGCTCTGTGCAGCATGGTACCCTCGACTTTGATTTCCACTGTCGAAAACCATTAAAAAATATATTAAATCAAAACAATTCCACAACCTCATTAACAGCCTCAGGAACTTTGGGACAAAATCCTTTTAAAGACATTTTGAAAAAATATCTGAAGCTGGTCTTGGTTAAAAAAAGCTCAGGGGTGGAATTGGACCTATCCAACACATTTTATTCTTTCTCTGTGTAAGTCATTGTTAATATAAAAATATCTTAATGAGATAAATAAAAGGTTTTTGTAAGCACTTCACATATGTGTTAACAAAGGTGCAAAAAAGATGGTGGGCCGTTATTTCTGATTTTTCACTAATTCATAGAGTAAAATTAGATTGTGGACATAAAACCTATCTTTGAAATCTCTATTAGCGACTGAAAAATGGTCAGTTTGTACTCTAAATATTAACAGCTTTTATGAGCTTTGATATTGTGTCATTTGTCATATAAATAAAAACATAAACATGACAAACACATCCATAATTGAGTTTTACACACATTCATCAAATCCATCAACGAAAAAGGCAATCGTCGACAATCTGGTTGACTTTCATCATTAATATTTCGTAAATGCATAAACAGTGGAAAGCTGTAACCTTTAAAAAGCAGTAAAAAAAAAAAATTGGTGTGTGTTATCTGCAACCACACTCCCACACAAAGCCAAATGCATCATGTTCAGCTCTAAAAAGGCTCTCCAGTGGGTTCAGAAATTGATTAAAAGACACATAAAATTAAAAGAAAACCATTTCATTTCTGTAAAAAATACAGACAAGATCCCACAGCTACAGAAACAAAGAAAGGCTTTTTTTTCTCCTACAAACAACAAACCTACATCTTGCCTTTCTACTGCCCCCCCACCCCCCCCTCCATCCCCTTTATCCTGACAGAAAATATCCTTTCCCATCTCCCGTCTCTTCACATTTGGGCCTCGGGCTGCTCGGTAAAGTGATCCCGCGGAGTCTCATGCTGGACGATCCCAGCTGCAGCTTACAGTATTAAAGAGTGCAGTCACTCAGTCATTCTGCACCAGTGACTTATTGAACGCATGCGCCCATGAATCAGGGCAAGTAATTAACACTGCTCTGATTCGGTCTTTGATAGCCGGCTGTGTGAGGGCGAGGGGGAATATGGCAAAAGAGACCTGACATTTCAAGCAAGGCCGATCACAGCTACTGTGTGAAAAACAGGAGTCTAAAAACTACAACTACGGCATCAGATTTCTTTTTTACTGTAATGAATATTTCAAGAGATTTTATTAGATTCATTTTAGGCTCATTTGTGGTACCAGGTGGCGTCCTAAACTATGACTGTGAGGTAAAAAATATCCCTGTCTGAGAGGCTCAGATAAAAACAGCTGCAGAGAAAGAAAAACAAGGACGATGCCTCCAAATGGTCACCAGGGTTAGGAGATAGAAGTGTGATCATAAATATCAGTTTTTTTTGCTTTTAGTCAGACACTCCTGGCTTGCAGATGTCTCCACAATATGGAGGGCTTATGGCAACAGGGGAGCTCCCCCAAGGAGAACAAATCTTTAAGGGATTTTCCCCTTTGGTTGCGCTGGTATCAAATCCTTCGAGGAATGCTGGAGTGGAGCAGGTGGTAGATGAGTCAAAAGGATGCTCTAATTCCTCTACAGCACAGAGGCTCCATGACACCAGGGCCTTCACTGCTGGGCCATCCCACCGTGTCTGTCTTTGTTATTCAGAGGCAAACGTCAAGAACTGTGGTTGTTATTTGCATTACCTGGAATTCAAACATTCATACTCTTTCATACAGCCACTGCCATGTATAGAAGGCTCCTTCTTTAGCTCCTTCGTACGAGCTAAAAAAGACCCTATTAAAGGATTTGGGAGATCAACAGAACATCTACTTATTGTGGCAATTCTCTGTATGCAGCTATTTCTGTTAATCCCATCACATATTCGCTGTTTCAGCACAGGAGAAGGAACCTTTCCAGGTCACATGAAGGTTTGTTTTGATCTCAAAGGAGAATCATTAGTCAGGCTTCAGACTTCAATACCTATTGACTGCATAGAAGTGAATGGGTCTTTTTATTTGCTGCTTTTGTGTTGCGTGCGTTTGAGGAAAGGCTCTTTGATCTCCTGAACTCCGAGTGTACTTTTGTGGCCTGTTATATGTGCGTTTTTGTGTGGAATGAATGGGGAAACAGCAATAAGACTCAAAGAAAGTCAACACATGGATAAACCCGCCGTGTTTGCTGACTGGACTCACCTTGTACTTGGCGGTCAGTTGCTCGGCAGCTTGCTGCTCCATCCTCAGATCCCCCATCATTTTCTCCTTCTCTCCCAGCAGCCTTTGCTTCTCCTCCGCCAAAAGGTATTGATCGTCCCTGATTGCCTCCTTCTCCCTCTCCAGCCGCTGCTCCTCCAGCTTCACGTACTCCTCCGCCTCCTTCTCCACCTCGTCCTCCTCGCCGTCCATCTCGTCTCTCTCCCAGCCCTCGCCGTCCACCGGCTCCTTCTTCTGTTTGCTCCTCCACTTCCTGTGGTTGAGCTGGGCCCTGAGACGAGCGATCTCCATCTGGAACTCACGCAGCAGGGCGTCTTTGGGGTCTTCGTTGACCCTGGGCTGGTTCTGGATGTTCTTGGCCCGGTTGGCGTAACGCAGGGTGGTGAGGGTCTCGTCATAATGCAGGGAGGCCGGGCCCAGCGTGGCGACCATGACGGTTTTGGCGTTCCCGCCCAAAGAGTCCTGCAGCAGCCTGGTCAGCTTTGAGTCCCGGTATGGCACGTGCCCGCTGCGCCCATCTGCTAACGCTGAGATCACGTTCCCCAGGGCCGACAGAGAGAGGTTAATCTTGGCGGCTTCTTTCAGGCGCTCTCCCTGGACGCCGGTCTTGGTTTGCCGCTCGCTGCCTGCCAGGTCCACCAGGTTGAGGCGCCCCACTCGAATGTGCTTCCTCCCATCTGGTCCGGGCTGGCTGCACTCCACCGTGATCAGGAACAAGGCGTGGGACCTGGACGAGTGCTCGTTCATGTCCGTGGCTCCCACCGCCCTCGCCTGATTGCCGACGTTCATCACCTCCTCGATCTCTTTGATGCTTTTGCAAACACAGGACGTCAGATCCTGAACGTACACCCCGGTGTCTGGACTCTCTCTGAGCTCCAGGCCCCTGGCGATGCCGTGGTTGGGATCGAGGAGGTCCCGGATCTCCTCTAGATAGATCTCCAGGTAGGACGCCCGGACCAAGTACTGCTTGTCGGACTGGGAGCGGGATATGTGCGTGAAGATGTGGTCGAAGGCATTGGGAATGACCCCTCGTTTCTCCGGGTCCAGCCACGCTCCCTGCATGGTGTAGGTCTTTCCGGTTCCGGTTTGGCCGTAAGCAAAGATGGTGCCGTTGAACCCAGCGAGCACCGAATCTATCAGCGGCCGCACGCTTTCGTCGTACAGGTCCCGCTGCTTGGAGTTTGCGTCGTAGACCGCGTCGAACGTGAACGTTTTCTGAGGCTCGCTTGGTGGAGCACGAGGGTTTTTGAGGATCACCTGTCCCAGGCGCAGATCCATCTGCACTATGGTCCCTGCAGGCCCGTTGGACTCCTCTTTCCGGCTCGGAGGACGGCATCGGACCACCACTTTCACTGACTCACTGCTCTTATTCTTAGACATGATTGGCTACTGTCTCGTGGGGAAAAAAGGCAACAGAATCTATGTCATCTAAATTGAAATAGATGAGAAATCTTTATGAAGCTTCCAGTCAGCCAACGTTTGATTTGTCCCTGATCTGTGATTTTTATGAATCATTAATAACCCATTCAGTATGGCTTCTTGATCATATAATCGCAATGGAAAATAGATACAGGGCCAGTGTCATGTATCAGAAAAAATTATGAGACACCAAGGGTTCTAATGACTCTATTTCTTTGCTTATCGTATGTAAAAAAAAATATATATATGCCCACAAATAGACAGTCAGCAGCTCTCACGCTCTGGGTCGACGCTCCATTGCAGTCCCCCCCACACACATCCAGATTCACTCGGTGAAGATGTAAAATCCAACAACGCCGGTATAATGACACCAATCAATTCACCAGCCATTCTCCGCTCGTCCTGGAAGAAAAACGTCCGGCGGCCGCCCTGCTCCCCGCTGTCCGCATCTTCTCCTCCTCCGCTCAAAGATGCTCCCCTCCTGTACGCAAAACACACATACACACGTACCCAGATACGCTCTCACACACTGTCATGCAACCGCCACACCCCACATCACTGCGGAGACACACAAAGGATCATGGGAAATTGAGTTTTGCCCAACGAAGGGGTGGATTATTGTCCAAGGCTGCCACCAGCACGTCGAGTGGCCTCATCGTTACTTAACCCGAGAAATTAAACAGATTTTCCGTTCTTATAAACACTATAGATGGCACTAAAAGATAAATATTTATTTCATGGTTAAAAATATAGTTTTTTCTATGATCACATTAATGATTAGAGGAATATCCATTATTTGTTCCTTATTTAGTACACCTGAGAGATTTAGTTATTTTAATATTTACCACTTTTACTCAAGACAAACATGTGACTAATACATTTAGAATTATATTCAACAAATGAGTGAGTACCACTGACTTAAACAGGTCAGTTAATGAAGTCACATGACAGACTGAATTTAAATAAATGTACACAATTCAAAATAGATACATTTAATGTCAGATTATTGTTTTACTTTGTTTATTTTGTCTATATGTACTTTACTTTGGTTTAACAATCAACTGGGTATATTTTCTTCACCGTGCATTTCTACTTTTAATACTTAGATCTGAAATAAAGAGTCCAGTCACTTATCATTTACTGCAGAAGCTTAAGGCATACTGTAACCATACAGTTAGGGACAATAAACTTACTGATGATCAAAAAAGAAAATCACAGATCCAACTATTTATTTTGTTTGTTAAGTGATAAATGTATAATGGACGGCCCAGTTCCAATGAATGGTAGGAAAAAAAACATTTTTCCCCCTGTAACTCTAATTTATGTTGGGGTGATCTCACCAATCACAACTTGTGATGTCATTTGTTCGGATTTATTGTCTAAACCAAATCCAAAAAGGTGATTTAGGATCAAATGTGACAGTATGACCTTATGTCTGATATTTCTTTTTGGAACATAGGAATTTCCCATTTTCACCTCTCAGTCATTGAAGGTGGCTTCCAAGTCCTTATGCAACTGTTCTTTCAAAGCGGTACAAACCACGGACACCAGGGGAAAATACCAAATTAATCATTAGACCACTTATTTAACGTCTTGGCTTCTCCAAATGCCACACAACAGCGCCCCCTGCTGGAATAACTGCGCTATACTTATTATGGTTTGACCTACTATGGGACAATGTCACCTCCAGGGAGGTCAGCACATTTTGGGGACAGAAAATCTCTCAGCGTCTTTTTATGCAATTCACTGTAACTAGCTGGAAACCACATTTAACCTTGTTCCTTCAAGAACATATTAATATGTTTTTAATTGTGGTTACAGATGTGGGTTTGAGAGGGGAGGAGTTGAGCCACAGGGGAATTTAGAGGAAAAGTGTGGTTTTTTTTATAAAGCTCATAAATGCAAAATACTTTGTTCCTAATCTTGTCTTACCTCATTGAGATGTTTGTACTCAGACTATAGCGTCATTTGTATACTTGGACAGTATTTGGGGAATTTACACCCTCTAAAAAACTACCCACAGTGCATTAAATGTTTAGAGCAGATCTTCCTACCATAGGTGCCCATGATGGCATCTTTTGTAACACAAAAGAGTAGCTTCAAACATGTTGTGTTTTGACTGTGAGACATCTTTGGAAAATAAAAAAGGGAAACAACAGATGAAAAATCTGAAATATCTTATATCTGATGTGGTTTATTAGTATCTTCTGTGACAAAGAAAAAAGCAACTAATACTCTAAAACAGGAAAATGATCATTTACGCTTAGATTAATCCCAACTGCTCTGGGATCTTTAATCATATCATACAATCCTCCTCCAAATACTCCAGTTTCCATGATTAAACCGATGCTTGACAATTAAATGCGTGTATATCTTATTAACTCTATCAATACTACACTCGTTTTAGCACCGGAATGCTTTTAAAAATGTTGGGTGCGGCTTTTTCTCACAGTTTAACATAAAGATGGAGAGGGTATGCATTTATATGCATACCACATACTGCTGCTCAGCTACACCTCCTTACCCAATGACCCCCTCTCCCCTAGTTGCCTATCACCTCCCAGCAGTCAAGCAAAGAACAAATGTTTCCAACACACTTTAAAGACTCATTACATTTGCTTGACAGATAGAGACATGTAAAGAAACTCTTCCCTCCTTATCGCTAGCTGAGAAGTGAAGAAATGTAAGTGGTGGCTGCTTGCTGGCTGAGCGAGGAAGATGAACCCCGGGGCCCCCTTGCAGCAAAATCCAGGAATGCGTCCTGATTTGGAAAAACTTCTGTGCCGAAGCATGATTTATTAGCGTAACAAAGGTTGCTCAACTATGAAGAAAAACTACAATGATATCTGCTGAAAGGAGAAAAAAAAATGTCTTTGAGTGTTGCTGAAAGTGTGAGATCATTATTTGGTTAGAACCACAAAAATAAACCCATTTTCCAGCCTATTTTTTCCAAGAGAAAGTAGTTTTTGTGTAGGTATCTGTTTCCATACCAAAAGAAGATTTGTTGCTGCGGCTTTTGGGTTTTGTGACTTATCAAGACACAAAAGAATCCTTCTGTGTCTATGTATATAATCGCTCTCTATTTTTCTTGTATTTCAGGAGTATTTACATTTTTTTTCTTTTACAGAATATCCCTAATTTCCTTCCTGTGGGTGTGTGCATGAGGGAGACCGTCGCTTTTTTTTGAAAAGCTGCCAGTAAAATAAAAGGGAACTAAGATCTTCCACAGGATGAAGCCCTGAAGTTTTTCCTTCTTGGATTCCCATGAATAAAGTATGCAACAGACCTTGTCAATCCTGACATACAATGTCAGACTTCAACGGTCCAAAACGGTTTACAAGTTGCTTGGTTTTTCTTTAGGGTGAGCTGTTCTCTAGTCTTGTTCAATCTTTCACTATGTGTCACCGTTTTCTCTCTGTATTTCTCAATCCTTCTTTCTTCCACAGTTTGTCAAGTCTGTACTTGGCGGAAGAAAGCAGGGCATACTCAGCATTCCTAAGGAGTGTCTGAGAGTCAAACTACTTTGACAGGCGGAAGGAAAGTTGCTTTCTCTCATACGCATTCACATACGCACACAACTCCAATGGACTCAGCAATGATCTGTGTAAACGGAGATAATCTCTCACAGTTTACAGTTATTAAAAGACTATGGGGAATAAATGATCTTGCAGTTCACAGAGCAGAGGATGTGGGAAACGCCCGTAACAAGCACAGAAGTACTCATATGACATCACTTTGCCTGACTCACAGCTGGGATAGTCACCGCGCCAAGTGCCAGCTTGCCATGAAAAACTAATTGAGGCTGCCAGGGCTCCGTTTGAAACTGGTCGCCATATTGGATCAAAAGGTGTAAAACATAATGGGGAGCAAATGGACCCTCAGCGCCTAAATGTCCGAACAACTAACACAGTAACAATTGCCCTCTCTGTCACTCTAAAGCACACCCCTCCACACCCGCAACGTTTAACATCTAAGCCAATGAGATTAGTAGAATGTTCAGAGTGACAGTTGATTTGACCAATCGGAAGCGCGTACTGTGACAGAAGAGGCGGGAGGAGGCGTGCCCACGGCTCTAGGGTGTCGCCGCGGTGGCTCCCATTCGAAGGCGACGGCGGTCGTCTGTATTTCGGTCCTAATCTCCTCTGCAAAAGCGAATTTACGCCGAACAGACAGCGATTTCAAACCCACTTTCATGTTCGGTTTATTACCCATTCTTGTCGGTCGAGCTTCTGGCAGGGCCCTGGAATGACGGGGTGTGTGGAGAATTTGAATTAGCTCGCCATTAGTTTGAAGAAAGAGTGAGTCGGGGTAGAGGCAGAGAGGAGCCATTTTGTCCCGACTGTGTGGGAGAAAAGAAAGAGTGGAAAAGAGGAATCACACGGGAGGAAATCCTATTTTTGCTTTCTGTTCTCATGCTGTAGCGGAGGAAAGAGTCGGGCTTGGGAATTTGCACTTCTTGGACTCGTCAACGGGCACGTTATTTGGGTGATATTTAGCCAACTAGCTTGCCAAGCTAATCAACAGATCCCAGATTGTTAACTGTTAACTGTCAGGTGGACTGGAGCAAGTTGGTCGGCTTGGCCAAGGAGCTGACTTTAGACTTCACACAGACGTGCTAGCTTATCGTTTTTTTTTTGTTACTGGGGTGAACGCGTACTGGTTTTTCAATGGCGAAAAAGACGTACGACTTGCTCTTCAAGCTGCTTCTGATCGGCGACTCGGGCGTGGGGAAGACCTGTGTGCTGTTCCGCTTCTCTGACGACGCCTTCAACACAACCTTCATCTCTACCATAGGTAAGAGGACCGGAGACTCGGCCACGGCTGGGTCGATGGTTACAAAGTGTGTCTGTGTGTGTTGCCTCCCTGTTGGAGGAAGTTTTGACAGCTGGGAGACTCACCAGATCCTACCCCACAGCTGGAAATGGAAGGCAGGACGTATTTGGTTAGCTAGTATGCTATCAGCGTGCATCGTATTTTAGGCCTGAACAGGCTTACTTGAAAGCCTTTTGTACTGGATTATACCCTCTCTCCTAACGCGTTAGAATCACGGCGGCGTTTTAGGAAACAAAAACATTACCAGGCTAGCTTGGCACCATCGGCATGTTAATCCGGGTGTCAGGTCAGTGGCTAACAGGCTAACTACGTGTTGGTGGCGGAGCAGGGCCGTGGGAGTTAGCATGGACGCCTGCGTTGGTTTTTTAACAACACTGACACCCCCCAACAAGCAGATACACATCCCAACCTGCTCAAACCCAGAGAACAAACGCAAGTAAAAGTACAGAAAGCAATAGTGCATCGGATCCACGTATTGATGTCAGGTAATGAGTCGCAGTACCACAAACCAGAAGTCCCCCCCGTGCAGGAAGTATGCAAACCTAAATCAGTAGAGCATTTTAGGAACCACAACAGAACGACAGATAACTTGATATGTGGTATTTAAGCTTGATTGCCACGGTATTGTTGCAGGGAAAGCTTAAGATGCTTTCCTGATGAGCTTCCCCAGGAGAAACCTGAGAGCAGATCATGGTTTTCATAAAAACTTCAGTGTATCTGTCAAAGCGATGTAGAGGAGAAGAAAGTGTAGTCTTCTGTCTTTGTGGCACTATGGGAAGATGTGTAATGTAAGAGGTTAGCACACATGCAATGTAATAAAAGGGACAAGCTGGTGCTAAATCTTTTTTGTTTTTTTTAGAGATATTGGAAATCACAACATCTGAAATTGGCTAAATTAGCATTTCTGATCCTTTAGTAGTGTTGTGTTCATATTCTTTCTCAACATTTAAAAATGGCCAGGTTTCATACAGGCTTTTGATTTGTAAAATGTAATAAAATAACTATGTTTCGGGGATTTTTATGTACTAAGATGTTGTTTTTCCGCTCTTGTTGTCAAAACACAAAACAATGCCAGTAATATCAAGGTTTTAAAATGACTCAGCGGGGGATTGTAAAAAAAACAGGGGGGACATTACAGAAACACCACGTAGGCATTATGAAAATGTTATGCCTACAGAAAAGATGATGGAGACTAAAAACATGCACCATGTCTACAGTGGTTTACTGTTGTTGCCACAACACGGGGCAACATGACTAATTTGATGATTTATATCAGGACCACAAATGCATATTAGGAGTGCAGAGTCGGTCCAGAGAGCAGTCCCCCAAAAACTGTCATGACATGATGGATCTTTTGAGTGATATAATAATAGTTCTCTGCTGATTTGTCAGTGGAACCGTTGCATTGCCTCAAATGCTCCTCACAGAGCCTGAAACGATCCGTCACCGTGGCATCATCAGCCCTTTTTCCCCTGTCCTTCACGCATGCGCTTCATGTCACGCGTCCATGAGTCAAGTGTCAAACTATGTCAAATCCCCGCACGGCCCAGCACTGAGGTCTCCATTTGCTCTGGTTGCTTAAGACCACTGCTGAATAATAATGAAACTCTAGACGTGTTTTGCTGAACGGCGTGAAGCTTACTGTTTGCAGTGCGTTGGCAGTATGGCCCTTGGACCGAGCTTCCAGTTAAAGCCCGGCTTTTTTTTCCCCCTTTCTTTCTGGAACTCGTGTTTCGTCAACTCATCCCGACTGTATGCCCAAAAACAGTCAGACATAATGGGAAACAGTGTTCCCAGTGGCATCCAGGCCAGATTAGATTTGTTGAGGTACAGACATGAACTCCTGCTCGGCTGCAGAGCCTGCTGTCACATGCAGGCTAAAGTATTTATGCGTTTTAGCTTTGCTTTAACTTGCAATGGAGTTTGAATATGCTTAGTATCGTTTCTTAAGTACAGGACTGAGCAGACTAATGGTAGCATATCAGGTCTCTTCCATTTCAGGGAAGAGATGTGTGGTGGTGTTCAGACTCATAAGGGAAAAAGCAGTCTTGACTAACAGGTTCCTCAGCATAGACCAAAAGCACCCTTTGCTCCACGCAGGGGTGTTTTCAGGGGCTTTCCCTGTGAAGTTGGGCCACAAGTCTGTGCCTGGAAGTGTTGACGTGTTTTGTTTTCATCAAGGGAAACTTGAAAACATCGGGAAGGTATTTCACGTCCACTGCCAGCACGACAGGTTTCAGCAGCACGTGGAGAAAAATGTGTGTGACTTTTAGAAGGGCGGTGGGGACTTCCGCCGATGTCATCCTGCCACGCTTTGTTTACACTGCTTATTCAAGTAAATATAGAGCTATTTAAAGTATGAATATCACCGCTGCAGTGGCCACCGACGCCATGATCCAGGCCGTTTGTGTAAATCTGTGCTGTTGATTAAAGATTCATTAGCCAGTCCGTGTTATTAGACAGAATAGTGGCTTAATTTTTGTCCTGTAAAGTTGTTCAACATTTCAAAAGCTCGTCTCTTTCATGTTTATTATTCATTCATAAACATGCACCATGTTGCATGATGAGAATATCTCCTGGAAACTTGCTTTTATATCTTCCAGTTCTGGACAGCAACTAAACTTTATGGCTTCATGATATGCAGCCGTTCAGAAAGTAAAGACATCTTTATTTTGTGCAGATGCCTCTGTTGTTAGTTTTTTTTTTTATGACTGTGGGATTTTAGAATAACTTCTGGTTCAAAGACAATTTTGACATCAGTTTAAGTTTTAATTGTTATTTTTTGAGCAGAAAAATTCCTACCCATCAAACTCAGAACAGCCGGTTGTAGACAGACTTCGGTTCTCTCTGTTTTTATCTGAACCGTTTCCTTTTGAGTATTCAGAAAGCCTTTTGTGTTGTGGTGAGAACGTCTACACACCTGAACTGAAACCCTGAAGACAAACCTGAGTGAGATGGCAGAACCAGGACGTGAAACAGCAGCGTGTTCTCTCTGTGACACACAAGTCATACCTTTGAAGACATGGATGCACAGCTGCTTCCTAAAATACCCCTATTGGACCCCCCCCCCGTCATTATCCTTCCCAGTCCTCAGTGTCCTTCTCTCAGCTCTTCCCCTCGGCCTCATGGATCTGAGAGCTCTTGGTCTGAATAACGTTGCAGTTTGAAATCTGTTTTCAGCAACCTGAGTCAGTTTTTTTGCATGGAAATTGGCAAAGTGCTGAAGTGGAATTCATCCTGGTGGAAAGAATAGATTCTAAAAGAAAAACGGCCATAAACCGCATACTTTGCTCAGTTCAGCAACCAGTTGTAACGGAAAGTGTTTGGACGAGTTTACCCCGTCTTCCCTCGATCAGGCAGCGGACCAGTGGTTTGTTAAGATGCACATTTCTCTGTGAACCTCAACATGGTTTCAGTCCAGGGGAGGAACAGGCTCCGTTTGGTCCCCGCTGAGCTCGATTTTGGAGAGCTGAACTTTTCGAGGCTGTCAGCAGAGCTCGCCCACCCCCACCCAAACATCGGCTCTATTCTTCCTGTTGCTTCTTCGGTCCAACAACATCTTTCTCTCCCTCTCCCTGGGGTGCGCATAATATTTAGTGAGTCACACTTTGGCGGCCATTTGCCTCATTATTCTACGGCTCTGCCCCACCTAAAACACAGCTGTTTCTGGGACTTTTTCACCAGCCTCAGTTTCTGACCAAAGCAGAACTGACATCTCGGAGCTAAACAGGAAAATGCCACTTGTAGGCCAGAAGTGAAACGGCAGTGAGTCACTGGTTTTACGTGGCCTTCGCCCGCACGGCCTTTGCGTTACTCAGCAATGATCACAACGCCGCGCCTTACTTCTTTTCAGGCTTTTACTGCTGTCCGATCTCTCCAAGTGCTCTGAAACGCTGCACGTTTTCAAATCAATGGGTTGAGTATGCAAATGGTACTGAACTGGTGATAAATGCCACAGCGGGAGCCCAGTTCCCAAGGCCAAAGGTGATGTATTAGTGGCCCGCTTTGTTTGACCAGGCAGGAAATCCTCCCGCGGTTGCAGTCAGCTGACTTCCAATAGAAAGCATTCAGCTCTGTTACTTTATTCATGTTATAAACATATTTACATGCATCCTCAAACGGCCGGTTTATCGGTTCAGTTGGTGAAACTCCATTTAGAGGGACTTAGAAAAAGGCTGGACCGAAACTGCATGGAAATCCCTCAGAGGAAGAAGCTAGAGTGAGAAAAGGGCAGTTTTGTTTGTCTTAGTCTCTGTGGGACGTTGATTTAACGCTCATTTAGGATCATATTTTATGTTTACTGCTTGTTAGGCAAATGAGTTTTTCTTGCTGAAAATCATAAATCAGCAGGTGCCAAAGTAAATCAGTTAACCACCTGAGAAATTAAATTTAGAACTTAATTTAAGTTCTTACTTTGATAAATGCAGGTATGAACAAAAGTGGAAGAAGTCCTGATGGCTGTCAGCCCCCAGGACCAGAGACACATGGCTCTGATTAGAACTGTATTTGAGCTTTTCAGAGAAAAGCAGAAATGAAAAACGAACCGCGCTGTGCTGCGAAGGCCAGCTTGTTGTCAGACCGGGAACATTTTGCCCTTCTCCTCTCGAGCCTGTCCCCCACTTCATGTTCGGTCCAGTTTCTAAAACAATGAGGCTTCAAGCAGAGCTCAGTAACGTTCTGTCTGCAGCAGCTGCCTTTCAGCCTCAGTTTTCCATCCAGAGACGCGCAGAATTTTCTCTTTAAATTGATTTTCCTCTGTGAGGGGCTTTGTATGTGGCCATTGTTGAACAGCTGCTGGCTGAACATCTGTCTGCTGACGGGCTCCAGGCCCGGGCATGACACGGCACAATCAGGAAGAGATGATGCTATTGTCTCCGATGGAAATACTTGCCACTCATTTTCCATTTCCCTCCTCTTTTGCTGAGTGTGACTTTAATAATTGCTTTGATAGCAGCGTCTTTGTTTGTGAACGTTCTCCATCCATCGTGTTCACGTTGTGCCACGTCTGCTCACATGATTCTGCTTAATACGATTTGTGCTGATGTGTACGTTTCACTTTACAGGAATAGACTTCAAGATCAAAACTGTTGAATTACAAGGAAAGAAGATCAAACTACAGATCTGGTGAGTCAGCGATTGTAGATCTTCTCTTTTCTTTATTTGGACAATAATGTCAACTTTTGTTCTGCGTATCTAAAGTGGAGGGTTCTAAAACCTGTGGGATATTGTGGGAATTAAGAGGAACATCTTCAGTGTGTGCCTGGCTGTATGGTAGAGACACATCTGCTTTAAATACCTCCCTAAAGCTCTGGAGGAGGAAAGAACGGGAAATGGTCATCGGCCCGAGAGGAGTTCTGATGAAGTCCAAAACGGCTGACGTTCCCCAGCTGGCTCTGACAGTTATGCAGCTTGTTGACAAAGTGGAAGACAAACATTTCATCACTTGAATCGGGACCTTTTGGTCGCGTACAGACTCATAACTGATGCTTTTTTTTTTTTCAACACGCAAACTGTTTAATTCTTAAAACACTTTGATGCTATGTTGAAATATACTGAAAAAAAGAAAGAAAAATCTTAAAAGAACATAAATGCTAATGGGCCTTCTCACAAAATGTGACTCAACTGTTGGACAAAGGTTTATAGGTCAGCGAGCCGACTGGTAACTGATACATGCACATTTTTATGGGTCTATTCATTTAAGTGTAATTTGTCACCGTTATCTCAAAGACAAAGACAAGACAAGACACCTACACATCCACACCCTCTGCTCTTTAAAGAGCTCAATAGACTCTTTCATGTCTCCTACTCAGTTTTAATCAACACTGGAGTGTAATGTTTCATGAGCCTGAAAAGTCTTTTTTGATAAAAAAAACAACTTTTTTGTGGTAAATTACTCATTGAGGAGAGCTTCATCACAAATGAGGAGTTAGAAATGTCTCTTTATGTCTTTGTCCTGAAGCATGTCAGTCTTCTGATTTGCCTCCGCTGTTAGAAATCTCACAACCTGCCGCAGACACTCAGCTTCCAGCTCTGTTGTCATCGAAGGCTTTCATTCTTAGAAAATGCAAAGCTCAATACTTTTTTTTTTGTCACCGAACGTGGATGAATTTGTAGGAAAGAGAAACAGAGCTGCCTCTCACTGAGCTACTAGCACCTACTTCAAACTCCGTAAATCAGCCACTCGGAAGCAAAACATTAAACAGGGACTCTGTCCGCGAATAGAATTAGATGCTGAGTTCAGAGTTTATCTGCATGTCCGCTGGTTCCTGCTCTGTCCTGTAAAAGCACATCAACAGTTTAGCAAAGTACCATGTGGTGACATTTAATGTTTCATATTTTTGTTAGAGTAAACTGAACAAAAACTGCCCTAAAAAAGGCATTTTGTGTATCCTGTCAGGATTTGTCCAGTTAAAGCTTTGGTCAGTTGGACGCGGTCCAGGGCAAAATGTGCGTGCTCACAGCTCAGAGCTTTTTTCTGTTTGCAGGGACACAGCGGGCCAGGAACGATTCCACACCATCACCACCTCCTACTACAGAGGAGCCATGGGCATCATGCTGGTCTACGACATCACCAACGCCAAGAGCTTTGAAAACATCAGCAAATGGCTGCGCAACATCGACGAGGTGAGACGCCACGTCACTGTTTGTGTTTTGTCTGGAGCGGCGTGACATCGGAGCCTGATGCCGTCTCAGGGTTTCACATCTGGCATGGGCTTTTCTGCCTGCCGCGATGTGTGTGTTTTGTGAGAGTGTGTGATCCAGATTCAGGTTTGTGCCGAGGTGTCAGTCTTTCCTTTATGCTGGCGCTTCAACTAATCTGAGGAATGCTTCATTTGTGTGTTTCATTTTGACGCAACGGATAATAACTTGAACTCCTGAGCTTGTGAGGATGGGTGAGTCTGGTTCTGGGCTGGCTGGAAAGCTCTCTCACCCTCCGCGTTAAAGAGAGGGAAGTGAACACAATGAATTTCCTGATAAATAAGGACTCGGCCTTGCTTATATTGCACCTTTGTCCGTGGAAGCTTATTGGCTCCACAGAGGCCTCATAGGATGCAGGGAACTTTCCCACCATGATGTATATCAAGATTTTTTATTCTTACGTCCTTAGAAAGCACAGTTCAGATGAGTCTAGTTCATTATATTAATTCAGAAGGAGTTTGAGAGTTGTTGGATGAGTGTTTGAGGGGCCCTCGGTTTCAGTCGCCTAAAACGCCTCAGATGGGCAGCAACAGCTTCAGGTGTTGTGGTCCCGTCAGAGAGGACCACAGAGTTTCCTAACAGAGACTTCAAATTCCAGATATTTTACATTTCTTTAACTCTGCAATGGTAACATCCAATCACAACACTACTCAGGTTAAATGGAACATATGGCTTCTGAATTATCTACAGAGTAATGAGAACAGCCGTCCATTCACTCATCTCCTAAATGTTTACCATGCTGGAACTTTAACAAACATTTCAGCAAGTTAGTTTGTGAAGTTCAAACAAAGAAAATGGAGAAAACAGGATATGAAAAATGAGAAAAAGCTCCTTTACAAATGCTAAAACTAGTAGTAGAGCAGTGACCCTCTCATGGTTTCAGGCTAAATGATTTTCATAGATGCAGAGAGATTTTTAAGGCATTTTCCGCCTCAAATAAAACTGATTCTGCACTGTGAAGGAACACATTTATCCCAGTTACAGTAAGCTGTGTGCTTTACTACTCATGCATTTCTGAATGGAATTCATTTGTATCTAACCAGCCAATAGTGAAATAGTGTAACTCTGCCCTTATTCTGAGTTCATCAGAGGGAATTTAGATAAAAATCCTAAATTATCAAACCCGTTTCTTTTTGCCACTTTGTTAAAATAAATGATTAATCATTTTGTACTTATAACTACAACGTTTTGTCACACTTGAATACTTTATTTTACTTGCTCCTTGTCAGAATCGAGTTTATTTAATCTCCAAAGTCCAGAAAACGCCCCCTTGTGGCGAGCAACGACTTTTAGACCTCAATACATGTAAAATGTAAAAAAAAAGCTAGTTTACTGTTTGCAGATGTTTTTGTTTTTTTAAGAGAAAAAAGATTGAAATTCAGCTGAAGTCTGAGCTGAAGCTGAAAGTTGCCAGCGCGAGAAAAGTATTTCAACAATGTGCTCTGTCTTTCCAGCATGCCAATGAGGATGTTGAGAGAATGCTGCTAGGCAACAAGTGTGACATGGAGGACAAGAGGGTTGTACCAAAAGCCCGGGGAGAGCAGGTGAGACGGTGTCTGCGTGTTGGTTTCACCTGCTGTGAGACCAGTGTGTCCTTTAACTGGTCAGTGCTCCAGCTTTCCCACCCGGACAGCCATTGATTGTTTATTGTGATTTAGATAAAACTCTTCTAAACAGGACTGTACGTTTTAATGTTTTTAAAGAACAGGAAAAGGCAGCTCTGGTTCGTCCGGGGTTAGAAGTATCTTCCCTTTTTGGGCCTCTGTCAGTAGTACAGTTCCAGCCTTCGGCGCTCCGGTCTCTCTCGGTTTCTTTTTCTTTCTGTGATGTCTTATCTCAGGTTCACATCTCTTCCCCTATATCTTGGCAGCTCGTTCAGATCAAACGGTTTCTGCGTTTCTCTGTGTGAACAGTTTCCACATCTCCAGCAGCACCTTTTCGTTAGAACGGTGACATCTGGTTAGTTTTTTCCGTACCGGAGCAGCTCAGAGCTCCTCGGCCCGCAGACGGAGCAGAGCTGCTTACTCTCAGACAAACCTTCCTGAAACCCGATCTCAGTCCCACGCAGGAGATCAGCAGCTTTATTTCTGGACCGGGACGCGCTCAGGCCACAGGTTCTAACTCTTTTTGTTTCCCCTGCACAGATCGCGAGGGAGCACGGCATTAGGTTTTTTGAGACGAGTGCTAAGGCCAACATCAACATCGAGAAGGCTTTCCTCACGTTAGCAGAAGACATCCTCAGAAAGGTACACACGCTTGTTTAAAAAACAAAACAAAAAAAGTACTCACTTTTGCTGCTATTTTCTGATTTCAGTCCTCTGTTTTTTTTTTTACTTCAATGATGGAGCCAAATACTCCAATTATGTCTCTTCTGGTGGAATGCTAATGAAAATATCAACTACAGGGGTCATAGGTCAAGTCTCCTTATTGTGGGTCCCAAACACTGAGCACTGCAGCTTTAAGAAGCTGCCGCCATCAAATGAGCGCTGAATGCTTTACTTCAAGATTATTAGGTTTTGTTTGTCTAAAATATCCTGTTTTCCAAGTAAACAGTTTGTTTGAGTCTGTTCAGTGTGTGGAACAACTGTCGAGTTGAAGTTTGACTCTGGCCGGTTGGACGAACACTCCTTTGTGCGATCACGTGTTCAGTTGTGTCTCTCTTCTGTGTTGTGCGACAGACGCCCGTAAAAGAGCCAAACAGTGAAAACGTGGACATCAGCAGCGGCGGGGGAGTCACAGGCTGGAAGAGCAAGTGCTGCAGCTGAACGTCTGCTCAGTCCGGCCCACACTAACGCACACAGTCACACAAAGACACACACCCTCTCTCTCTTTAACTGCTAACTCTAACTCTCGCCCTCTAACCTGTCTCATGAGTTTTTCTTGAACACTGACACTTGTTATCAGAATAAACCGAAAAACCCCTCATCGCCCCCCCCCCCCCACCACCATATTCCCCCACGCTGCATTTGATGATCATTTTTATTTCTGATAAAAAGAGAAATCCAGTCACGTTTCTTGTCATTTGTTTTAAAGATTAAGAAAAAAAGAAGAAAAAAAAAACGTGTGAACGATTCATATTTTTAAATTTTACTTTGCCTGAGCTCACCTGGTTGGACAGCCTCACCTGCCCCTTAAACCCCACCCACCAGAGCACGCACCGCCAGTCAGAGGAGATCCGAGAAAATCCAACAAAAAAGACAAATGTAGGATTAACATTTTGTACACTTAGTGAAGTTTCTGTTGTCTAACCGTATTTGGTCATTTCCTGTTTGTTACCAAGTGACAGAGGCGTGGCTAGCTCCTTTTGTATGTGGGGGTTATTTTGTCCTGTGCCTTATATGGAAGACAGGGGGCGGGGCTGTGTGGTGGGCGGAGACACATCCACCCAATGAAATTACAGTTAAACATTCAGTCGGTTCAGGCCGAGCTGAATGGAAAGAGTTTGAATTTCTTCTTCAGCCAAGAGAACGGCATTATTCAGTATGTCCTGTTTATCGATGTTTTAATTTGTTCTGTATGGTTTATTTTACTTTTTGAGTTTTTTCCCTTTTTTTGGGTTGATTTTTTTTTTCTTTTGTTTTTTTTTCCTGCATGCTTTTTTTTTGTTTGTTTGTTTTTTTCTTTTTTGGGGGGCGGGGGGGTTGGAAACGTTTCCTGTAACATTGTATAACGTTTGCCACTGGGTAACTGTGGGTGGGAGGAACACAAGTTCTCTCTGGAAATTCAAACAATTTTGCAGATCCATTAAAAATAAGCTTGTTTAAGTTAACTTGTTTGTCCTCAATCATGTGCAGTGTTTGATCCGATGTCTGGTGTTAACTGTAGTCACTCCTGCAGCCCAGGCCTCCAAATAAGAAACGTTCAAGAAGCCCTGTAATATCCCCTCTGTGTGTTAGACACAAACCAGCTGCTGGTTGTAAGTAAATGTCTCAAATAACTAAAAAATCTCACATTTTTCAGCCCAACAAAGTAGAACTTGAGGATTCTTCCTCTGTTGTTTCTTGTTGTTTGTTGATGGTAGGCGTTCAGCGTGTTTGTGATGTTTTATGATGTTGTAGCTGATGAAAGCCGGATGGTTTTCTGATGCAACATTGTCAGACTGGTTTTAAAATTTCAGTAACGTTGCCAATGAGTCAGAAGATGTGAATGGAAAACAATCTGCAACAGTCAGTGATCTACATACAGAAATGTTTTTACATCTAAAAAAGCAAAGGCCTACAACACTGTCAGAACTTAAATATAGCGTTAATAAAACATTTGAGGACTCTAAATCTGCACAACAGCTCATTTAAAAAAAAAAAAGCAAAATGAAATATGCCTGCCCAGAGGAAAATATCAGTGTTCAGACAAACCTTTATAAAACTAATTAAATATATTGGTTACATTTTTTACACAAAATCTACTTTTTTTTCTCCCTCTAGCTGGGTTCGGTTATAACTTTCTATGCAGAAGTTCCCATTTCTACACTTTACTTCTTCGTGTGCCTGCGTTTGGCGCCCCCTGGTGGCCGCAGCTGGCTGGAACCGCCTTAAAACAGCCACTTCCCATTTATGTTTAATGTTGGTTTAAAACTGTTAAATGTGATTTTGACAGTTATAAACGTAAACTGCTTGATTCCCATGTAAATTGTGCAAAAGAATTCTGGAACTGTAATGTTTGAACATTCAATGTAATGTTTAAAGCGTATCAAACTTGAATTGTGCTAAAATGAACATTAAAGAAGCAGAACTTTATTATAATTTGTTGAAATTTGACCAATGCAACATAAAGCTGTCATTAGAAGGGTTTGTTAAAGCAACCAGTGCATTTGAACAGTTTTAGCACAAAACAGTTTAAAATCAGTATTTTAAATATTTAATTGAATTAATTATATTCTGGTGTCCACACCATTGGGTCAGGGGCAAAGTAAAAAACCCCCCACTGATTTTAGATGTTTTTCTTCATTAAAGTCAGGATTAAACTTTTAGATTTAACATTTTAAAATGAAAGTTGATCTGAGGGACATGTAAATGATATTTTCACATCAAACCTGTTTTTCCCCCATTCTTTATTTATCACCCTCTTCCCAAACCTCCCAAAACAACAATGTACACAAAAATAAAATTCTCTCACGATGAAAACAAAAACCAGTGCAGAATGACAGTGGTCACCATTAAGTCCACAAGAACTACATTCAGATTCTTCCTACACACAGAAAAGTACAGCGGGTAACAAAAAACCAAAGAGTCCAGGTTCTCCTGTTTTTAGAGTCCTTACGGGTGAACAGAGCCGGGTGGTGTCGTCATTTCACAGTGATCATCGCTTCCTAAATGAGGGTTACGAGGAGGGAGAAGAGTCCAAAACCCTCCTGTTTAGTGCTTTGGTTGAGGAATGAGACTGAAGTGAGTGGCAGAAACAACAACAGACGTCAAATTTAACTCAGAGCTGTGAATTAGTGTCAGAAAGTACCAACAGAAGGCAGCAGCAGCGGACACCGGCGGGCCTGCCCAGAGGAAAGAGCCAGGAGAAGAGTATTTACATCCACTGTATACAACTTAATTTATAAATACATTTTAGGTATAAATTAGAAAAATAAAACGGGAACCTACTGTAGTACAATCAGCTACTTCTACTCATTTTAAAATGCCAGTCCGATTACCCTTTTAATATTTGGTGAAACACACAATAAATCAAAAAAGGCACAGCATTTAATCAGAGCGATTTCGCCCTGCAAACATCTACCAGCCACAACACTAACGCCCCCCCACCCCCCCAAAAAAACATTCAAATATAAATTAAGATGATTTCTTTTTCATTTTACCGATAAAAAAATTAATAAGTCCCACACTCAAGCAGCGTCTACACTAGATTCAGCGGATTACTTAAATAAATTAAGGCTTTATGGGGCTTTGCAGCGAGTTCTCACAGCCAGCTCGGACTTTTTTTCCCTCTTGAAACTTGGTTTCTTTTCTTCCACATCAATCGGTACATGTGCCGATTCAAATCCAGAACTGGTGAAAAGGACGCGTGGAGTTGGAGGCAGAGGCTGAAAGTGGCGGCAGCTCCTCAGCCAAGCTGGAAAAAGCAGCTTCAGAATAAACCAAAGTTCCCCGTCCAGCACCTCCCAAGTCCCACCGAGTTTGGGGCCGTTTGAGCAAACGGAAAAAGGGAAAAGGCTCAGCTCACTGACATAAAAACCTCAGATTTAGGGCTGGTGTGCGCTGCCTTTGGAGGAGGATTTGGTTCCATCTGGACAGAAGGAGCCACTTCCAGCTCCACGTTTCCACATTTCCTCTGAGGTCATAGTGAGTGCTTCCCCCCCCCTCCCCCCCCTATACGTACACCAGGTCTCGGCCCCGCGTTTCCTCCTCCTCTTCCGGCCGCTCGCTGTCGGCGGGCTGGTCCTCCTCGTAGCCCTCGTAGCGGATGGGCTTGGGGCAGCTGTAGGGGTGGCCGTTGTCGTCGAAGAAGCGGCGGAAGGTGAACTCGTAGAAGGCGTGCTCGGGGTGCTTGCCGTTGCGGAACCAGCAGGTCAGCGTGTCGTTGTGGTTGCCGTCGGCCTCGCAGCTGCGCAGCTTGTCCGGGTCCACCGGGTCGAAGTTGGAGGTGTCGGTGGAGTGGGCGATGGTGGGCACGTAGGGCGCCGCCTGCTGCCGCAGGTCGCTGGAGAAGTCGGTGCTCTGGAAGAAGGCGTGCGCCTTGATCTCGTCGGCGCCGTTGCGGCCCAGCCGGTCCTCCGGGCCGCGGCACAGCTGCACGATCAGGTCCGAGGCCTCGGCGCCCAGCTGGGCCTGCGGCGGGACGTGCAGCGTGCTCTTCCAGTTGATCACCTGCGCTCCACAGAGACGCGGCGGTCAGCGGCGGTCAGTGGCAGTCAGTGGGGAGTAGGGTTGTCAAAAGTATCCATACTCGAAAAAGTATCGATACTCATTTTGATTAGGTCACCAATAGGAAGATCCCAGGCAAGAAAATCCTAATTGCTTCATGGCAATATAGACATTAATTTAAAAATAGTTAAATGAATCTTTCAAACACTTAATTAAACTCTATACATATTATGTTAAAATAGTGTATATTAAATTGGTTTGTACAATAAGTCCAAACAAGTTTAACCCAAAAATATTTTTTTCTCACAATTACGAAGGCTGGAGGGTTAGGATCAGGGTCATTAATGTGGGCCATCAGTAACAGGTCAGTTTGAAATGAAAGACACAATTCAGTTCAATTTTGGGGTCTTTGTTTTTATCCTTGTGGTATCGAAAATGGTATCGAGTATTTTCCTGAGTATCGGTATCGAGTTGAACATTTTAGTATTGTGACAACCCTAGTGGGGAGGGGGGTGGGTTCACGGCGGCGTACCTTCAGCTGCGTCTCCAGGGGCGTGGCGGCCAGGAACGGGGGCTGACCAACCACCATCTCGTACAGGATGACGCCCACGCTCCACCAGTCGCACAGCTGGGTGTAGCCTGCAGCCACGCAGCCACACAGCACAGTCAGCCCTGACCCCTGACCCCCCTCCCACACACACACACACAGCAGCAGCCCCCCCCCCCCGGAGACACACCTGTCCGCAGCAGCACCTCGGGGGCGATGTAGTTGGGCGTGCCCACCAGCGAGTGGGCCAGGCAGCGCTGGTGCTGCCGGGCCTTCCGCCGCTCCAGCGGCTTCAGCCGGTCAGTGCAGCGGCAGCTGGACGCGTCCTCCCACTCCTTACTGAAGTCCATGCTGTCCTGCCGCACGTGGTCTCCTGCCGAGCACAACCCGGGTTCAATTAGCCGGCCGGACAACGTCTTGCACCAAATAATCAACAAAAACACACAGACTCATCTGTCATGTACTCTCTAAGACAGGGGGGTCAGAATCCAGTCCTCGACGGCCGCTGTCCTGCAGGTTTTAGACATTTTCCTGCATCTGCACACCTGATTCTTATTAACTCATTGACTGCCAGCCATTTTCAGAACCGAGTCCCATACTGCCAGTTTTCTTAGCATGTGCACACAGCATTTTGACTGATTTTCCAAGAGCCACAGAATAGTTTGTGCTATGACTATGTAAACACCGAACACACCAAAAGAAAGAGTAGACTCTCTTCTTTCATCAGGAAATTTTTTTAGTTTCTACCTTATTCCGATCGTCCCCCAAGCCACTCGCGTTGAAAAACATAAAAGACGTCTAGAGACGTCTTTGGCAGTCAACGGTTGTATTTTAATTGACGTCTGTAGACGTCTTTGGCAGCCAATGAGTTAAATTGGATCTCCTCTGGACATTGTTGAGCTTTGCACCGGTCTAATGGCCTTTTGATGTGAATCAGGTATGTTGAAAAAGGGTTACCTCTAAAACCTGCAGGACAGCGGCCCTCGAGGACTGGAGTTTGACACCCCTGCTCCAAGCTCTCTGTTATTTTATGCTATTAATACTCTTAGAAAAAGGCGGCTCCACTTCCACTAAAAGCCCGGACCCTCCCGCTCGGCCGGCGGACTGGACTCACCGCTCTGGTAGTACTTGGAGTCGTGTGTCCAGCGGAAGCCGGTGCAGAGGCCGAAGTCGGTCAGCTTGATGTGTCCGTCCCGGTCGATGAGGATGTTGTCCGGCTTGATGTCGCGGTGGATGAAGCCCATCTTGTGGACGCTCTCCACGGCGCAGGTCAGCTCGGCGATGTAGAACTGGGCCAGTTCTTCCTTGAAGATGCCCAGCCGGATGAGCAGGCTCATCATGTCCCCCCCGGGGATGTACTCCATGACAAAGTACAGGTTGTCCTTGTCCTGGAAAGAGTAGTAGAGCCGCACCACCCACTCGTTGTCGGCCTCGGCCAGGATGTCCCTCTCGGCCTTCACGTGCGCCACCTGGTTCCTCAGCAGCACGTCCTTCTTGCGGAGCGTCTTCATGGCGTACAGCGAGCCCGTGTCCTCCTTCCTGGACAGGCACACCTCGCCGAAGGCTCCGATGCCCAGGGTTTTGATCCGCTTGAACATGGACTTGTCCATCTTGGCGCGCTTGAGCCGGATGTAGTTGGATTCCTTCTGGCAGAGCATCATCCGCATCTGCTCCTGGGCCTCTGAGGACAGGCCCACCTGGGGGGCAGAGAGCGGGCGGTCAGGGCCAAAGCAAGACTTGTAGCTCAGGGTTAGAACCAACAAAAACACTGATGGAAATGCCACGAATCCCAGCTAAATGCATTCCAAACCAATCATTCCCCCCCCCCTTAGCGTTAATCAGCTTTGAACACCAAAGTCAGTGAGATGGAGGCCATGCGTGCCCCTCAGAGGCCGACATGCTGTATGCGATGCTCAGACATGAAAGTGTTCAGACATGAAAACACCAGACTCTTACACCTTACTTGACTGAGCGGTGCGTGCAGCTGGGCAGACTTAACGATTGATTACCTTTTAGGTCAGCTGTTAGCGACAGCCGGGAGAAAGAGAAAGAAAGAACAGCTGAGAAAAACAGGAAGGTCAGAGAGATAATCCAGTGACAGAAAAAAGCTCAGAAAGAAGTGGACAGCTGTAAACCGACGGGTGGGTTTGGAGCCTTCCACTGACCCTCTGCATCTCGCTCTCCAGCTGCTTCCTCCGGCGGATCCTCTGCTGGTGGTTCTTCAGGATGTTCTCCACGTGCTGCTCCATGAAGAACTTAAAGGCCTGCGGGGAGTACAGAGGAAGTCTCCCGGACTCGCCCCGCCGCTCCTCGTCTTTCTTGTTCCGGCGGACGGGGACGGGCGAGGTGGTGATCTGCTTCCTCTCCCTCTCCGCGCTGCTCTCGGGGCTTTCCGGCGCCTTTCCTCGCCCGTTCTCGCCACCGCCGCTCTCCTCCTCGGGCGCCTCCTCCCGGCCGGCGGCGGGCCTGGCGGCGCCGGCGTCGTAGGCGGGGGGGCCGGGCGCGGCCTGCTGCTGGAGCAGGTGCTTGGGGTAGGGCGGGGGCGGGCCCTGGTAGCTGGGCGCCTCGGCGGCGGCGGCGGGGATCTGCGGTGGCGGCGGCGGGGGGGGCTCCGTGTAGGCGGGGGCAACCGGAGGCGCCGGCTGCATCCAGGGCGGGTGCGTGGGCGCCACGGCGGTGTGCAGCTCGGGCTTCTGGACGCGCATGCTCTTGACGGGCTGCAGGATGGGGGCCTGCGTGATGGCGGTGACGGTGGTGGCCGACGGCTGCGAGCCGGACGGGTGGGCGGCGCGGCCGTTGAGCTGGTGGCTGTTGAAGGAGTTGGAGCGGACCGGCAGGTTGTGCTGCCAGGAGGGAGACAGGTCCTGGTTGCCGCTGGCGCCAGAGGAGGACTGGGGCTGGTTAGGGGCGTGGGGAGCCTGGGACCAGGACTGGGGAGGACCCAGGTTGTACATGTCGAAGTTGTGGCTGTTGCGGTTGGAGACCATCAGGGACTGAGGCATGTTGCCGCCGTTGAGGTAAGACGGGGAGGACGCCGGTCCCCCCGCCTGCTGGTCTGTGGGGCTGTGCCGGCTGCTCTGACCGACGGGATACGGGGGGGGCGGGGGCTGCCTGCTGCCCCCGGGCATGTAGTCCGACTGGGGGTTGCCGTTCTGAGTCCAGCTGGAAGGGAAGGTGAACTTGGTTCCTCCTGAGCTTTGCATTATGATGGGTTGGTGGCCCACGGGCCCGGGGCTGATCCCCCGCTGGGCCTGGGCTGCCGGGGCAGAGTAGCCATCGGGCCAGGCCCCCTGGGGCACCGGAGATATGCGGGGTGTGAGATACTCCAGATTCCCAGAATAGGGCTTGGTTGATGGGTTGCTGTCCCAGGAGGAGCCAGGAGGCATGGCCCCGCGATTCGGAGGAGGAGTGACACTGCGCATCAGATGTGGCAGCGGGGCGTCCTTAGAGCCTTTCCAGCTCGGCCTTCTCAGCACAGCCTGCTGCATGTGAGAGGACCCTGAAGACCCACAAAGACAAGGCAATCAGTTTATGAAAAATCAACTTGAAATGAATAAACAAAACGCGACACTTTACCCTCTGCATGCAACAAACCGCCACAATTCTTATTAAGCGATTAGTCATTCAAATACGATCAAGACTGAACGAAGAACAGCAAAGTCAGTGGGCCGGATACGTACCTGGAGCTTTCAGGCCAGAGGAGTTGGGGTTGGCGAGACCCGTCTGCTCCCTCACCGCGTCGTGATAGTTCACCTTTACCATGTAGTCTGAGGCATGCGGGACCCGGCGGCCGTTCGGCTTGAGGGGCAAAAACAGGGAAAATGAGTTTGAAACGCTGTAATTAAGTACCACCAGAGGCTGGGATGACACCTCTCAGCATGTTCTGTCTGCTCTGTTCACATCAAGTACAATCACCTTCAATAGAGATGCCGTATTTGCACTTGGAGAAGGACATGAAATATAACAATAAACACCTTCGGTCTGCCAGCTACAATTTTCCCTGATAACTGTAGACACTAATCACTTCACTTTTCATACCTGAAATTTCTACTCTGAACAAAGTGAGCCTGGTAATTACACACAATTAAACAGGTATGAAGACAGTGACAGCCTGTCTTAATTAGTCATAAGAAGAGACAGAAGAAAACAACAAAAGAAACCCGTCCAGTACCTCCTCAAACCCAGGGGCGTCCAGCAGCATCTGCTTGTTTATGTCAGGGCCCGAAGTGCTGGACTCATTATGCAACGAACCGCTCACTTCGAAGGGCACCAGAGACTTGCGGATCTCCTGCAGGGCCTTGTGGTAGGGGTGTTTGGGGTTACTGCCGCGTCCCTGTTGCCTCGGATCGTCTGGGATTTTTCCCTGTGCACCCGCGTCCACTTTAGGAGGGTCTGAGGGTTTGGACAAGTTGCGCAGGCTGTTCCGTATCTCCTGCAGCATTTGTTGACTGTTGCCGCTGTAATTGCTGGCGGGGAACGTCTTGGGTCTCATCTGTCTGTGCCCCTCGGGCTTCTCCGCTCTCCTCATGTAGGATGGCAGTGAGGGGGACGTAGGCAGTCCAGGGTTGCAATGATAGTACGAGTCTCTGAATTCTGCCCTCACATCGGCATGCTGCGGCTGGAAGTGGAAGAATTCAAAACAAATGTGAGATAAACAGGCAGCCAAAGTACATGTCATGTTACCAAACAGGTTGGGCGAATGGGACTGAGAGGAGTAATTAACAGAATACCAGATAGACAACTCACACCTGGAAACTATTTCCATAACAAACATTTAAAAAAAACTTGAAGTCATATATTTTACTATAGCTTTTGAGGGAAACTAGAAAATATTTTGTGTAATAAATAATATTGTCAAAAAGCTATGACTACTGATGAGTAGCTCTTGTTAGCTGTATTAGCTCTGTATGCTAACAGCGCTACTTTGACGCTAGCTCTCCAGCGTCAACTACGGTAACATTCAATACTAAAGGCGTTTGCTGCCAATATCTGAATTAAATGAACTATCTGACGGCCAAATGGATGGAAGCTGTGGGTTTTATCATTCTAGTCTTGGCTAAATCAATTGGTACATGAGTGCTTACGCGGCCCTATGTGTTAAAGGCATCCATTTGCTGCTATTCAACAACAGGTTACGAATTAGCCTGTTAGCTTGGATCACAAATTGTAACGGTTAGCTTTGGCCGGACAACTCACCGCTTTCTTTAGCTGCTGCCTTACTCCAGACTTTTCCTATTTCAATGAGTAAAGCTGATAAGCTGACTTTCTTCGGCGTCACGGACGCGGTTTAAGTCAAAATGTCCTTGTTGTTCGTGCTAGCTGGTTCCTAGTCGTGTTGAATTCCTGGGATGTCTGAATGACAAGTTTAACACCAACAAGCTAGACATAACTAACAACGCCCGTTTCCGGTGGCTGCACCATTCATAATAAATGTAGGTAATTTGTGATCGCTGACATGGCCAAATGTACATGAGTGTTTTATTTGACAAAAAAAAACTTCGAATCAAGGGGTACCAGCAATTTTATATTTCAACATTTACTCTGAATCCCAATCCCTCCAAAAATCATATGTATATATATTTGTGAGTGTAGCAAAAGCTATCTTAAAAAGTGATAACAAGATGGAAGAGTTAAATTAATCCGAAATTAGTGAATAGATATGCAAACAAAGTATTATGATAAACTATTTCTAAAAATGTGATCCCGGAACTTTTGCTGTAAATGAAAAACCGGAAGTGCCCTGTGGGATGTTGTACCGCAAAACATAGCAAACTTTATGCAAGTTACCCGGATGAGGCTTGTTTTTTAGGCAGGCATGTATTATAATCACAGGAGCAGTGGGACCTGAAGGAAAAATAATACTCTAAAATGTGTTCTGTACAAAATATTTTATTTAATTGAATAATTCTGCTTGGAATGTCCTAAAAAAAAAAAAACTCCACTCATAAGGATACATAAAGAAGCAAACACTGTACCATACACACACCATACTTTGGATTATCAAAAAATGATCTTCAGTCATTAATTGAATTACCAGTAAAAACATATTTTTCCACATCTTGTAGTGCACACACAAATGGCTCTTAAACTGGGACCTGTCTGTTGACAAAAATAGCCTCTGTATCAGTCCCACAGACTAAGCACTGGCCAAGCACGTCCAAGCTGTTAACAGACAACGTCTGGCTGGGCAGCATGTGCGTCGTCTCCAGACGGCCTTTACTGGAGTCCCCACTGAGCCAGGCGCTGATGAGAGAATGGTTCCCTCCAGCAGGAGCCATTGCACTGCGAGACATCAAGCTGCTGTTCTTACCACCTGACAATGCAATAAAAAAACAGACAGTTGTTTCATTGTGACTTCAAGAACATTATCACTGTTGTGCTCTGGACAGTAAGAAAATGAAAAAATACACACGCAAAGTGGTCAAAGTGAGCATTAAGTAAAGTTTGATCTTGTGTTAAAAGCAGCAAAGAGACAGTCTAACACTCATAAGCTGGGGCCTTTTGACTACTCTGCATCATAATAAAAATAAAAAATATATACGAATCCTGGAGATGATCTCAAAGGCACTTCATTGCAGCCTATTCTTTACAGTACATAGTGGCACTTTTTAATATATCAACTGAAAAAAAGGTGCAAAGTAATTTATCGAAATAAATTTGACTTGCCTTGCAGGAAGGAGGGCATTTCTAAATGAGAAGCAGTCTCCCAGTGCAGCAATGAGCCATCCTCTGAGCACGTGAACAGATGATCGGGGTTGGTTGGGTGGAAGTGGACCTCCCACACTGCCGCCCAAACAAAGAAACAAACAAAACAAATAGAAACTTTGAGAAAATCCATAACTTACTTTACACTAAGAGTAAATCTTATGAAAATAAATCTCACTTTCAGCTGAGTGGGCCTCCATCAGGGACAAGGGAGGGGTGCCCTGTCTTATGTCCCAGACACAGAGCATGCCGTCCTGGCCTCCCGCCGCCACGATGTGCTGCTGGTTTGGATGTCTGTCCACGCAGTGCAAAGGAACCCGATCTCCTGACCTGGGTGACAAACAAATACACAAAACGTACATCAGCAAATGCTAAAAAAATTAATAATTTTAAAAAAAAGACTGTGTGGGCCAGATCTTTTTAAAGAGAACTCACAGGGCTAGAATCTGGGCCGGTGAGCTGCTTTGTTGTCTTAAGTCCCACAGCTTCAGCTGACCAATAGAGTTCACCGTCAGAATCTCTGTAGTCCTCAGGTACGTCACAGCATGAATCGTGCTGCTGTCTGCATTCTCTAAAGCAGACGAAATATTCCAATAGTCACGTTGACTTCACATTCACCTGAAGCACAAAACAGTCTATATTCTGCATTTTGACCTCACCTATGGTTCGAATCACTGCCTCTTGGTCGGCTCTGAGGATGATGATCCTGCCATCCTCCCCGACTGTTACGATCTCAGGACTGCTGCACGCCACTCCCGTGCAGGGAGCGTTGTCACTGGGGTAACTGTGAGCTTGTGCCCAGTTCTGAGAAACCGAGATCGTCTGAGGATCAGGCAGAAAGGGAAAACGATATGAAATGAAATGGCACAATTGAATCCCAGATATCCTTGAATGGGATATTAACATTTGTAATGAAGATGCATGATGATCCTCCATTTACCTAAACATCGCACCTCACAACAACCACGTAACTTGTGTCGTATCACCTGACTGTACCTGACTGTTTTGGTGGTGCCGAAAGATTGTGACCGCCCCTGTTGACGATGCTGTGACAATTTTGTCTTGGTCCAAGAACTGCAAGAAAAAATTTACATTAGAATAGTCGTGTTGCCATTCTTCCTTTAATTTGGCCTTTTGACACTGACACTTGACTGATTCAGCAGATTTTATACATTTTCAAGCAAGTGTAACATTTACAGACTTTGGTTAATTTGGTAAATTTTCTAAAGTTCTGAAGGCTAAATCGTAAACTTGGTCTTTTTAGTGATGGTCCGTCAGTTTGGAACAATCTTCCACATGACGACAGACAAAAAGTGCTCTTAAATGAATGCTCAAAGCCCTGTTTGTCCATTTATTTTCAAATGTAATATTCTAATTTCAATGTTATTCCATTATATCTTGTCTTGAGCCAATATAAAAGCTACAATAGAGGTGTGAGGCATACTTATAGTAGTGTGAGCTTAGTTAGAACTAGTTTTTACATTAATGTTTCTATAAATAAACATAAATTATTTTGTACCAGTGTTATCAATTTCCATTCACATGAAGGTACACAGGGAATTAATAATGATTTAACATATTCACATTACATCCATTATAACTCAATTTCAATTTCAACCAGGCCTCTTACTTGAAGGTCAAGGACATCTCCATCATGCTTGTGCTCACAGAGAAGCTGTGGATCTCCTTCAAACCCATCATCCATACCAGTGCTGCCATTACTCCCAATAGACCAGAATGAAATCTTGTTGTCCTGTAAGGAATTTACAGTGAGGCTTAAATCGCACCTGTCAAACGACTTCTAAAAAACTTTGTCAAATATCAGTTATATTCTTTCTAAATTGTGATAAAAGGCATAGTTACAATCCAGATCATGCTGTATTTATGAATTATTACATGAAAAAAATACCACAGTTATCCTAAAGGGATAACAAACAAGTATTTTTAAGTTACTACTGCCACCTGCCTATGCTTTAAAGGCGTACTGATATAATACATAATATTTCATATTAAGTCTGGAGTCCTATTTCAATAATTACTAAGTGTGCAGGTGTGCCCAAACAGCCAAATATGTAAAACTGCATATTTTTAATATTAAATCTAGGTTAATTCAAACGAAGTCAATTAGCCTGCCAACTTGCCCAACCTCGTTGTCCCACGATCCAGTGGCAAAGACTTCTGGTTGTTGTAAACTCGAATACGATATTGGGCGCCATCTCGTTTTACTAACTTTTTGGGACACGTATTTAGCATTTATACTCTCCATGGAAATGGAAACTTCTTCTACAAGTCAAAATATACAAACTATTGTCAACGTTAGCTTAGCATTCATACACAAGGCATTTATACGCGCCCTGTTCTTCGTACGTAACTACGGCGGGGCAGTAAGACCAAAAAGCTAAACTGCGTTTCCTCACGATAACCAATGAAAAGTGTCTCACGCCACCTAGCGGCAAACAACTACTGCGGCAAATCTGATAAAGCACTGACTGACAGAGGAATGTGGCTTTTTCCTATTTCCGCGAACATTGGCCTCGACTCGTAACTGATTTAATTAAATTTGAATAAAATGATGCTGTTTTATTTCAGAACGTGTGCATGAAGCACTGCGGTGAAATTATTGGGATGTCTGGTGACGTATCCGCGGCTCCGCCGTCTGCTCTGGAGGTTGTCAGCTTCGTGGGTAAAACAGTTGGCGCAGGCGCGGCACTGACAGCTGCTGTCTACTTACTCCGCAAAGTCTGCTTAATAATGGCCTGGAAATCTGGAGGAGCCAGTCATGCAGAGCTTGTCAACAATCTCCGCAGTAAGTCTGAGTGCCATTTTAAGCGGCGGCACCGACGTCTTCATCAAAGTGTCGCCGGGAAAACTACGGTTTGGAGGCTGGGGTTAGCGCGCGGGGCGACGGTTAGCTGGTCGCTAAGCTATTTGCTATGTTGTTGACCCACCGTTACCAGTTTCTCCACCCCTTTTCCCAAAGCACGTTTACGCCCCGAAGGAGATGCTGGGGGTAGTCATTGCAGACATAGAAACGATTAATAAACCCCATAGTTATAGCGTTTTTTTGCGCCGTAACAAGTGCAACACAGCTACTGTCTCGTGTTAAGTTAGCTTAGCCTGCTAGCTGTATGTGCGTCATTTGAGACGTTGTAGTAGCCGCGCGGCTAGCCCGGTGCCCTGCCCACATCCATTGACGGCAGCCTGTTTCAGTCTGAACTTTCACGTGAAAGACAATGACAGCTGTGAATGTCAGGACAGTTTTCGCCGTGTCTTTGTTGAATGAAGATATACGAAATTGCAATGTCACTGCTGCATTGGGTTATCGGGTGCTGTAAAAGAAGAGTGACTCGATGTAGCACCCTTATACAAGGTTCTTAATATGGTACTAAATCAGTTATTATGATCCACATGGTTTAGTCTGGTTTGGTATCAGTCTTAATCAGTTTCTTTACTCATTGCAGAATATATTAAGCAGGGATGGTATCTGCAGAGTCAAAGTCCACTTTCACTATGAAGTATCTGCCAGGTCTAATTATATTCTGTGAAGTCCAGTATAACATTGCAGACTGCAAGCATTCTGCCAAAAGCTGAATCATTTGACGGGGTAGAAATTACAGTGATCTGATCCTTTATCTCAGTTTATCATTGACCGTATGCTGTATTTATACATAGGTAAAACAAAACTGCTGCATACATTTTCATGTTAAACGAGCAACCAGCATGCAAAGCTTGTTATATTTGGCTTCATGTGTGGCTAGAAACAAGAAAACTCAATCTGATTAGTGTTGGTGACTTTAAAAGTGAAAACCCCCTAAGTTTCTATATATAAAGCAACATCTGCCAAGCATCAAAGCAGTAACATAGTTAAGGTTTTATGCGATCTTATTGGAGAATGACCCTGTTTGGACACACAAATAGGTTGGATGTTACCTCGAGGTTTTATTATCTGCCTTTAAGCGGGTCGCATGCAGATTGCATGCTAATTAACAGTGTCCTATTGTCCCTGCTCTCATGGTCAGAGCTAAGGACTGCTAGATCTAGACACCAGAATCTGATTAAAATCTCAAATATCCCACTGATTGTTCAATGATATACTGCAGAAAAGAATAGGATTCAACACTTAATTTTATGATTTCTTCTTCATATATCATTCTGTTGTACCAGGAAGGAAGAAAACAACTTTAGGTGTACTTTTATTGGCTATTTTGATCCAAGATTTCAGTTGTCACTGTCCATCTGGCATCTTGTGTGATTTATTTGTAATGTTTCCTAAAGTGGAACATAGCTGAGGGGAGCAAAAAACAAGGGCCAGCTGTCATAGGCTTTTCCTGCTTTTGGCACAGTTCTGATGGAACTGCTGAGCAGGGATTATAATCTGGAGACACCGTCCCTTCTTGGAGATATGGCTTTCTGTTTCTCCCATGATGATAAGCGTCAGCACTTCAGTTCTCGCTTGTTTGCGCGACATGTGCGTGCACAATGCTGCAGTCTTTGTTTGTCCCAGAATATTCTCAGTTCTGTTCAGAGGATACGTCGTGACTTGTACTGAATCATGCCATCATTTCTGTTCACATTTTAGAGTGCTTTGGTAAATCGGTCAGGTGGCATCATAAATTAAAATCCTTTGAATATGAATGTAAATATATTTATTGCAAACAGCAGAATGGCCGGTATGTGTTTTCTGTGGATATTTTCACCCCTCCGACAAACGCATGCACGTTGATTCCCTCATTTTTTTCTACACAGTCTTTATTATTAGTTAGTTACTGTTACTTCCAGCTAATTATAAAAAGTAAGTTAACTTGTCATTAATTATTTAAATTGATAGGCAGGATTTTCTAGTTAAATGTCTGATACATCACCGCAGTAATCCAATAATATAGAAAATCCATTTTGCTTTAGTGTAGCCGTGCCTTTTGAGCTGGAAAATTGCCCAAAGTGGTGTAATAAAAGGAATGTCAAACAGGGGTCTCTACCAGCTCGGATGTCTGGGAAGATGTTCTGATGTATTTCACACTAATAATGACATTTTATTTGTCGTGTTTCCATCATATATAGTGACACAAGTTCTTTTCCATCCACAGAAAATGGCATTATTAAATCCGACAAGGTGTATGAAGTCATGCTGGCCACAGACCGAGCACATTTCTCTAGGTGTAACCCTTACATGGACTCCCCGCAGTCAATAGGTGGGTTTCGCTCACACCATCGTAAAAGTATTCAGACAGTGAGGCGAATTATAAACTAACAAAAACTCTGCTTTTCTTTTTACCCCAAAGGTTATCAAGCAACCATCAGCGCTCCTCATATGGTATGAAATTCCAGACATTTCCACACCCTGTAAATCACAACCGTGAGCAGGTTTTGTAAGCTTCAAGACATTCAGACATTTTATTTAGCCAGACCTTATCAACTATTTATCTGTACCTGCTGTTAGCACGTTGGTTTATTCATGTCAGAGGTCAAAAGTTCAGTAAACAGAGAGAGAAAGGAGGATTTATCTGTGATGGCGGTCATCTGGGGGCAGATGCTGTGCTGACTGGTGGGTTGTAATGCCGTTTTTCTCATTGACCCCCCTCCCTTCCCCCCTCCCCTCTCTCCATCCAGCATGCCTATGCTCTGGAGCTCCTACACGACCAGCTGTATGAGGGAGCCAAAGCTCTGGACGTTGGCTCGGGCAGTGGGATCCTCTCCGCCTGCTTCGCACGAATGGTGAGCCACACATGACGGGTAAAAACATACAACTTTTTTTGTTGTTTTTTCGTTGGTAGAATTGTGTTGTAGCAATGTGTTTGACAGCGTGACACTTCTGTTTGAGCTAAACACACCTTCCACATGTGCTTTCCAGGTAGGCCCTAAAGGGAAAGTTATAGGAATTGATCACATCAAAGAGCTGGTAGATGATTCTATAAACAACTTGAAGAAAGACGACCCCAGTTTGATAACTTCAGGCCGAGTCAAGCTAATGGGTAAGATGTTATGGGCACAGGGCGGGTTTATCATTAGTTTCTGTTTAGATTGTTGAAAAAGGAGGAAATGGATTTGGAGTTTTTTGAGTAATGCTCTGTAGATGATATGCGGTTAAACAACCTGCAGCTCTGAATAATTGAGCAGTTAGTTCCTACTTTCACCCCCCTGAGGGATGGTTTTAGTGCCATTGCAACCAGTTCATTAATAGAAGTGGTTAGACATTTTTTTAGATTTTGCTTGTAGATGTTTTTTAAACTTCAGTATTAACACATTATTGAATTGTGTTATGCCTGTAAAATCTAGATTATAGTTTTTCTCAGACATATTTCATCTTATTTTAACCCTATCTTTAGACAATTGAATTTGTATTTAAATACCAAAAAATTCTTCTGCGTTTTTGGATTTTAAATGTGGTCTGTATTTTTTTAGATTAAAGCTTTAATTTTTTCAAGGATAGACATTTATTTTTTGTACTATTCATAGATGGGGGAGCTGAGTTATTTTTACTTTGTTGTCATTCAACAGATACACCACAGGTGCACATGAGGGACATTTTTTTGCAAATGTCTGCAAACAGTTTCAAACCGGGCAGCAAAGCAGGGAAACATAGAGGTTGATGAAGTATATATAATGTGGAATTGAACAACGTGGACAGTGTAGGGTGTTCAAGGGCAGCGTCTGCTGGCCGGTCGGTGACGCTCTGCTGTGTTTCAGTGGGAGACGGGCGAATGGGCCACCCAGAGGAGGCCCCCTACGACGCCATTCACGTTGGTGCCGCCGCACCCACGGTCCCCCAAGCTGTGAGTCTCTCCAAATGCTTTTAAATCTTGAATTGAGTTTGTGTTGGACAGAGAAGGGATGAATAATGTGCCTTGTGCCCCCCCCCCCTCAGCTTTTGGACCAGCTGAAGCCCGGCGGGCGGCTGATTCTACCCGTGGGCCCGGCGGGGGGGAATCAGATGCTGGAGCAGTATGACAAGTTGGAAGACGGAAGCACCAAAATGAAGCCCTTGATGGGGGTGATTTATGTGCCTTTAACAGACAGAGACAAGCAGTGGTCCAGGTGGAAGTGACTTCCTTCTCCCCTTCCTCCCCCTCTCTCCTTCTCACAGTGGCAAAGGTGAAATGGTGTGGCTTGGAGCAGGCAATGGATCACAAGAGGCTGATTTCTGCTGCTTGTTGACATTTTTTGCTTCTTCCATACCATACCAGCAAGCTGCACGTTTCCTTCATCTTTTTTTAACACCTAATTCTAAATTGGTGCGATCCAATCTGCCCGACTAATGCAATCAATTTAGAACGGAGCCAAAATGAAAAGGAATGCAGCCTTTGCTCTTGAAAGCATGACTTCCATGTTAATTTGGATGCTTAGCAGAGTATAAAAATGTAACTTTTCACCTATTTTGTTTGATCTTCTCTGTGAGATGCAGAAACAAACCAGCCACTGTGTGACATGTATTTTAAAAATGAACCCAAATGGTTTGCATGTGACTAACTTCTCTGTTAGCATGACAGCAGGGTGTAACGCTTCTCTCGTGCTCCATTTTCTAACCTTCGTACTTTCTTCTCACAGGGATGAACTTTGAAGAGGAAAGCAGTCCATAATCCACCTTTAAGTTTGAACCTGGAGGAAATCTGGATGGGATCAGAGAGCCCACGACATTTTGTTTTAAGCATAATACAACATGCTCTTTTTTGTTTAAGTCTAATGAGGGACTAGAGTATGACAGCGATGACAGCCGAGGGGCGATGAAGAAAGACTGATCGAAGCTCAACACAGAAGTTCTCGGGATGGGCTTTGTTTTTCCTTTCAGGCCTGCATCTTTTTGGTTATACACAGTTTAACTGCTGGATTTTAGGTTTTGTTTTTTCTCTCGTGGTTTCATCTTTTGAATTGCAGTCAGACATTTCTTACAGCGCCACATTTCAGCCGGATCAAAGCTGAATGTCAGAGGACGGCAGGGCAGCGGTGGAGATTACTGGAGCCTCATAGATAATTCACCTAGCTACAAGTGTGCGTGTGTGTGGATCATCTAACCGTAGACCCTTCTGCTAAAATATGAGCCTTTCTTTCCCCCGCCAGAAGTATTAGGAAAAACGCACACAAACAGGGGGCAGCACAGCGGCCGATGTAATCCACTCGACCTGTTTGATGAGCTGCACGCTTAGGTCACGTTAAGCATGCTACACATTGGGTCCATACTGGCCGTAGTCCAAAGACAGCAGGGCACGCGCACCACCGACACTCGTGCATTTACAGGGCCGTGCTTTCCACTTGGTGATGTGTTGCTTTTCTGCAGCTGGTTTCCATTCACAGCCTGTGCAGGCTCCTCTGGTGACTGACACTAAACGGGAGAGTCACTGCTTTGCCAAAATAAACTAACAATATGAAGCAAATGAATGTCTGATTTCTTGAAAAAAACAAAATGGCACAAAAAGAGAAGCGCACACAAATGATAAAGCACGTTGTGGGTCATATTTGGCTTTCACAATAACTGGAATGGCGTATAAGAATAAAGCAATGCTTATGTTTTTGTCTGCCTTTTATTGTATTTTTGTGTACAGGCTACAACTTAAATATATTAACAGGCAGAAATGTCGGGTATTCAGAAATGATTTGTAAAATGTTGTAATTTGAAATCATACAGTATTTGGGACTTTAATTGTACAACTACCACACAGCAGTATAGATCAGTAGTAATATGTATAAACATTTAAATATTTTACAGCTGTTCTCCCTTTAAAGGAAGTCAAACTAAGAGATAGCATAGGATTTATCAGCCATGATTGAAAACCTGCGTTCAGGTTAAAATCATATCCATATAATTCGACGGCTGTCAGCTCATGACCTCAGAGCCTCGGTTGTAACTTAAAAGTGAGAAAATATATACATTCATTGCCAGCATACCCCAAAATGATTTCTATTTCATTCTTTAATAAACTAATATCACTTAAAAGACAGAACTCTGAGGGGATACATCTATACAATTTGCATACTACTTTTGCTTGCTAAGTAAAGGAAAATATTCATTTAAAAGATGATAAATCTTTTGTATGGCTTATATGATTCAGACTAAATTCAGAGAGAATATGTTGTATGTTGTTAACAGGCACCACTGCTCTTTATATGTTCTTTCGGTTGAACAGAAGTAAAACATGCAACACAAATTTAGCACATCGGTGACACTCAGTGGCTGAAACAGCAGCACACAAACGCCTCATAAGCAGAGTGTCGGGGACTTTTGAATCTTACCAGAAGGAATGAAAGTCTTTTTCTTTATGTGTTAGTGTTCATTAAGGAACAATGATACAACAACAACACAAACATGACTGTCTGGATATGCATCAGAGGCTGAGGGAAGCGGAATTCTGACGTTAATAACAGCAGATCGTTGGTGGTTTGCAACCGTAAATAAAGACAGGTTCGAGTTGCTGAGCTGGAAGTGCAAATTCAAAGCATCCGGACCTGACCTCGGTGAGGTCAGCGTTGTTTTCTGGCCTCTCTGCCCGGCCGACCGGCTACAGGTACATGCCGTTGATGAGGTAATCCGACTCCTCTGTGGTGAGGGGTCGCGCTTTCTTCATTTTGTGGCGCACAAGCTTGAGGCGACAGCCAATCATAAGCAGCAGCAGAGCCGTGATGAGCAGGCCGAGTGCCAGAGGGAGGATTGCACCTGTTGGAGAAGACAAGAGCTTTGTAGAGAGAGAGGAGGACGCCTACATCTGCAAAAAGTCCCATCTGGAACCACCGATAAATCAGAACGATTAAAGTTTAGAAAACCACATGTCTAACCTGACTCTGGGACTGGGTGTCCTCCCATTGCTGGAAAGGGTTTGGAGATGGGGTTGTTGGTCTTTGTTTGGCTTTGGGAGACTTTTGGATCAGCTTTGAAACAATTCAAACACGCTTACGTCAGAAAGCACGAGTGCAAATGTGTGAATCTCCTTTCTGTTTTTAAGTCGGGCTTACCTGGTTTGGTCTGCTCTGTAACTGAGGGAGCTACACTTGCGGGTCTGAAAGCTGGACCTAAAAGATCCATAATCTGAAAGTTACCGCAGCATTTGTAAATCATCTCATGAACAAATGGACACAAAGCAGGTGCTTACTGTTCTGTATACATTCGCTGACACAGTCAGATTCCTGCAGGAAGTTGTTATGGTTTCCCTGGCAGCCACCGTACAGGAAGTGTTTGCAGACCCCCGCCTGCTGGTCATAGTACCACCTCGGGAAGGTGCCTTTGCACGGCCCCACGACTGGAGCAGATGCACACGGAGCTACAGAAACAGACAAAAAACAACCTCAGTACATTTGACATTTTGAACGACACCTTTATGAATTCTGCAACTGTTTGCCTCTAAGTAAACAATCCACAGGGAGACCAGTTCTTGTCCCGTGGGACAGACTGATACACTATAATAATCCTGTCAGCAACCGTGTCGGCCATCTCTTTCAAAACCATTTCCATGACATTTTTTTTCCTGCCACTTCTTACGACAAAGCACAGACTCCTGCCCCATTATGGCTCAGTGAGTAGCACGGAGGAAAAAGGCCCTTTGGCCAGCCTGAGTCTGGCCGGAGGATCGGATGACGGAGGGGACAGAGGAGCTTTGTTGCAGATTGGAGGAGATGCAGGCAAAGACCTGTTTTTTCCCAGAGAGTGCAGAGAGTCCCTGTGGCTCTGCCAGCATTTTGAGCTCCGTGCCATGACTCAGCGGCTGCCCACCGGCTCCATCTGCCTCTGAGTCCGGACACACGCTAAAACACCTTGTATCCCCTCATACAGAAGGAAGCGCTCCAACAACACTCGAACACACGCTCAGGCTGTGAGGCATCATAACGGGAGCAAGTGAAAGGCTCCTCACATTCACACTGCAGCATATCTTTTAATAATAACCGCTCTGTACACAGCAAAGCCTCCCCGTTATTTCACATGTCTTTACACGATGCCTCGCCGCCCAAACAGAGACAAGACGTCCTCAAATGTGTGAAGCAGCATTCTTCTACTGATGGGTGATAATTATAAACGCGAGGAACTGCCAAATGACAAACACAAAAGAGTCTGTGGGAGGTTAGCCCGAAAACAAAACCGACTCTGAAATGGAGGCTATCACATAAAATTTGTGGATAGCATTTAATTCTTGTTTGAAATAAAAAAAATCTCTTCAGTTTTGAGGGGAAAGACTGAAAGAAAGCAAGAACAGTTCATCCTAGACAGCGGATTGTGAAAGTCTAATTAAGTGCAAACACTTTAATTACATACAGTAACACAAATCATACCTGGGAAGCATAACAGAGGGAACCCCTGAACATATACAGTATATATATAAGTAATGGAAGAACTGGATTTGATCCCCTTTAGCTTAGTAATATGAACAAAGATGGCGGTGAACGCCTCCCTACCCTGACCGGCTGGAGCCTCCTGCTGACCGGGACTCTGAGGGGGAGCCTTGCTCCTGTCCTGTGACGCTACGGTGGTTTTTCTGGATCCGGCTGGGACCGCGGAGGCATCCTCAGACTGCCCGTCCTGGTCTCCGGCCCTCTGAGGACCGGAGGGGTGGCTCACTGACTTTCGGTCGCTGTCAACTAGAAAAAAAAACACACACAAACACAAACAAACCGATCGGTTGTGAGCAAGTCTGGAAGATTTCGATCTGGTTTTCCTGGAGCGGAGGTTAGAAAAGACGCGAGGACCTACAGTTGGTGCAGAAGTCTTCGTCGGAGCGGTCTGGACAGTGCTGCGTCCCATCGCAGGCGTAGGAGATGTCGATGCAGCAGCCGTCGTCACACTTGAACTGGTAGTTGGAGCAGTGACCGGTGCACACTGTGGACACACCAGCAATAACCCCACGTCGTCCATTACAGCTAATAACTAACACTGAATCAGTGTTGGGCTCTGGAAGGAAAAAAACCCTGAAATCTGACTCAGACATATTGGGTAATCACCTTCTGCCTGGTGTTTGGGGGGCAGAACTGTGATGGAAACGTTGTCTGAGCTCTTCTGTCCAGCCGTGTCGGTGACCGTCATCTGAAAGGTGTAGACGCCCTCCTGCAGGCCGCTGACCTTCAGCAGCCCTGGGTGAGTCGCCTTCCGCACACAAAGAAAATAAAGCCAGAGAACAGAAAATCTGCTATCAGATTCTCATTTTTCCAAACAGAGTTAATCAGCTTTAAGCACCAAATAGGATATAAATTCTAAAAACAGAAAAATTTTAATAAATAGCAGTAATTTAAAGGATGTCCTAAGAGAAACTCAAATAATGTGGAGCTCCGGGCTCTGGGGAGGAGTGACTGTTTGAAAATTCCTTTGTTTGTGTTCCAGGAGTTTTGCTTTACTGTCAATCTGTCCTACTATCAGTATTTTCACTGACTAAATGTGTCTGTCAGTTGCTGATAACGAAGAAATGAGAAGCTAAAATTAGTTTTTTGCTAAGTTTTCTGTTATGTACAGACTTCAGACCGGCTCATCCCTTGAGATAGAAATTGTTTTACGGTTGAATGACTTGTGAACCAACCAAAAATGAGTCCGACTGAAATTAACATGAGCTAAAAAGCAGATAATGTCTAAAGGAAACTTTGTAAGAGCGGCAGAATATCTAAATAAGGAATAAGCCGTATAGAAAATGGATGGATGGATTTACGGTACTCATGTAATGTCATTTGACTTGAAAATTATAGGCAGTACATGCTGAGCAGCATCTTTCATTTAACTATAAGGCGGCTTCCATGTGGGCGTTACGAGGTCTAATCTCTGTTGATAAAGCGAAGCAATGTGGAACTCTGCACACAGGCCGCCCTGTTGACTCAACTAATGGAATTATTCTAATGCATTTTGCTCTGTGTTGTCTGCTAGGACTATTCATGGGGAAAGAACAAACGATCGCAACAATCTGGGGAGATTAGTGGAGCTGGGCATTTCATGCTGTGTTTGCTTTCAGCCCGGCGCAGCGGGTCCGGCCCTCTGTTCCCACCTGGACCACGATTATGAAAACAGGGCGCTGACCATCATTAAGGGAGTAAAAAAAAAAGTCAATAAGAGCAAACGCAGACCTTCATGTTGATGGCTGTTTCCCCTCTAACCAGAGTCCACTCGTAGTGGCTGATGCCCTGGTCGTCCAGACTGTCCCGGCCGTCCAGCACGGCCCAGTCGGTCGGCAGCTGGATGACCACGTCCTGACCGGCGTCGCTGCGCGGGGGTTCGTCCACCTCTGGAGCAAAGAAACCACCGTCAAACTGAGGATGCACAGGCATTGACTGGTATCTTAAATTGGATTAAAACAGACACTTTTGCAGCTGCTATAATAATTACATTTAACAGAACTCTTTGTGATTAATAACTATATGTTAAATATCTGTAACTTTGAATTTCAGATCCTAAATGACATAATAATAATGATAGATACATTTAGAAATTATATAAGTGATATAATCTTGATATAAAAATCAAGATTGAACATTCTCACCAGTATTTGCCTAAATTTCAAGGAACAGAAATCTTTGAGTAGAAGCTCATATGGGGGTTATACTTATATGACACTTTCCATTATAGTCATTCATTATAGCCAGTGTTAGCATCTCCATAAACATACAAATATTTGAAAAAAAAAAACATTCTCTGTGTCCAGTATCCATGAAGTGACACATCAAAATTGACGTCACCTGTGTTTTTTTTATTTAAATTTTATTCAAATCCAGTCCAGTCTTTCCTTTTAGGCAGAAAACAGACCTGTCCTCTCTGGGTTTCTATTTCTGCTGCATTTTTAGATGTGACCATTGAAGGTTTGACCTGTGAGGGTCCAAAACTCAGAACTGTCCAGTGCTGATGCTTCAATACCAGTAGGCTATTATTCCTAATAAACCGAGTTAAATGTTTCCAAGAAGGTTATCTTACAAAACCTTACATTTTCTGAAAACTGGACCAATTGTTAAAGGTACTGTTTAGCGCTCCCACCTTGTGTTTCCCCCCCATCTGGAGGCTCCTCGGCGGGTCTCCCGGCTGACCCGGCCGGGTGACCCCGGGTGGTGTTGGGGGTCCGGCTGTAGGTGGTGAAGCCCGGCTGCGGGGCGAAGGAGCAGATGTTCCTGCCCCTGTAGGTGCAGTTGAAGAGGTAACAGCCGAGGCTGGCCCCGGCCTGGCCCGGGTCCTCCTCCTCCTGCTCCTGCTCCTGCTGCTGCACCACGGCCACGGTGCAGTGGGGCTGCGCGCAGCACGCGTGCACGCAGTCCTGCCGGCTGTGCACGCGGCCGGGGGCCAGCAGGAAGGCGGCCCCCTGCTCGATGGAGGCCCGGGTGCGGATGATGCTCTCCACGGCCGGGTCGAAGTCGCCCACGCAGGCGTCCGCGCGGGCGGCCCCCGCCCGGTACGCCTGGTCCTGCTGGAGCTGCTTGCGGAACTCCTCCAGGAGCTCCTCCACCCCGGAGATTTTCGACTTCAGGTCCGAGATCGGGGAGGCGCGGCCGTGGACGCGGTCCGCGACGAGGAGCAGCACAAAGAAGGCGATCAGCAGCGGAAGCCGGGGATGCTGGAGCAGAGCCATGTTGTTCAGCGTCTGGCTCAGCCTCCGGAGGGCCTCACGCGCATGAGGGGGGTGGGGGGGGGGGGCGGCTCTCAGCAATGGAGGACTCCCCACATCCAATACTTCTCCCCTGTAGTAATTCTAAATAAGAGATTTCATGTAGGAACCCCGAAGAGCGACGCAGGCAGCGGACGTCTTCTGGCGATGCTGGAAATGAGCGGTTGTCATGGTGAGGGAGGGACGACCCAGAGGAGGGGAGGGGTGACGTCACGCTGATGTACAAACATGGCGAAAGGCAGCTCACCTGCCCCAGCTCGGGGTTTTTTTCTCTCTTTTTCTCGCTTGTCATAGGGAGGAAAGACCTAAAGAAGAACAATTTAGTCTGAAAGCAAAATATTACTTAAACTGCTCATTAGAATAGATTTTGGATGAGTAATTTGTAAGAAGTCATCACTTTTTTGGAAATGTTCTGAAGTTTTTTTTTTGTTAAAATCTGATACCAAAAAGGCAAAATGATTTAGATTATTATATTAAATATTTCTCAAATATATCTCAAACCATGAAAATATGATACCTTGAAATGAAGCTACTTCTTTAATAAAGAGATTAACTCATTTTAGTTTTTATCCCAGCTTTAAAGCTGTAAATCATGCTCGTGCCATAAGTGTTATATGTTCCACCAAACCTTTCCAAAAAAAACAGAAGACGTTCTTGTCCACTTTTTCACAGCTTCAAGATGATTTTTTTCGTTTTATTTCAATAACATGACACAAAATCTTGAATAATTTCAGATATGAAACAAAATGTACACACTGCTTACGATTAGTTTTAGCATTGCTGACATCATGGTTAAAAGAAAAAAGAAAGAAATTTGTTTGCATTTCAGATTTCTCAGTACAACTTACATCAGACTGAAGGATCACGAGGAGATAAACACGATTTTGTCAGTGTACAACAGTAAAACAAATGGTATGCCGATGCAATATTCATCACCAACTAAATATCATCTTCTATGATTTGTAACACTAGAAAACACAATAATGTACAATAATTTTTTCACATGTGTTCATAATAGACTTGGTCCAATCCACGTGGAGATATAGCTTTGCGTAGCGATGTCTTCTTTAAAGTACTTCGGGACATCTAATCACGTGAAAATGAATGCACAACCCAAAGTTTGAGGCATTAGGACATAATAAAAATGATCTGGTCCTTATCACATCTTAATATTAAGTCAATATAACCTCAGATGAACAATGTATGACACCTGACAACAAAAACCAAATGCAGGTAGTGTTGTGTGATCATGATCCAACAGCTTGTAGAACCACAATCATTTCAAGGAATCATTTTCCGGATGACCTTATTGGTCTCTCATTGTTGAGGGCGGAATTTCTCACACACTGCTTCGCATTTTGGCTTTGCTTTTGTTAAAAAAAAAAAAAAAAACGCTGGAATTTAAGGCTGTTTGGAATCCTAAAACCTGGTCAGGATTCTTCTTCATGATGTCCTGATACATCAAACCTTTAGCGTAAAAGACAATGTCTTTTCTTTTTCACGCGACCGTAAATATCAATCACATAAAATTTTAAATCACAATATTTACAATAAAATAGTCTTAGCAATAACTCTGCTTCATGATTTATAACAAAGGAAAATGTGGAAAAAAACATTAACTTTTAAATAAGTCTCAGTTTTAATGATGAAACAAAATGAGGGCATGCCCCACATCGTTCAGATTTAATAAGAATTAAATTAAAATATATTAAATAAAGTAGTGATGAGCTCCTATGATAAAAATATGAATATAGATGATGTCAAATGTAGTATTTTGTATCTCAGGCTTGTATTAGAAAACGGTCAGTCTCCAGTTTTGTAAACATTACATTTTGTAAAGACACAAGTTTTCAGAATAGTTTATGCCCTTTAATGTCATTTTAATCACACACGTAACAAAAGCTGTGCCGTGTCCCTCAGGCATAACAAAACGAGTGGCACTTCTTAGCAATTGTGGTTTTGCAAATGACCTAAAATCTAAAACCCTTGTTTTAAAATTCTGAAATACTTCAGGGGATTCTTCTGTGGTAGGAAACCTGTCCTGCACTCAAAGTGAGCCCGGGATCTTTGCAGAAAAGTCTTGTCCCTATAAATACTGAGGTCCGAGGAGAATGCTGTGTTGTTGGTTTCGACCTCAGGCCGTTTTCTCAGGCTGGCTTCTGCCTGTAGTCTGTGATGGCCTTCCATAACTTACATAAGACCCCACCTCTGACAAGAAAGACAGAGAAAAAGGCTTTTAGTTTAAAGTATACACAAGTTAAAATGTCACCGTTACCAACATAGTCATCTTTACATGTGATTTCATCACCATCATTCCATTTCTTACAAGAAAAAATGTAAATGGATATAGTTTCATACTCAACGAACAAATGGGATAGAGTCTGGCTACACAATATGGTTTTGAAATCATAAAAATACAAAAAGTTAACAAAGACTCAGCAGCACTTTGGATGTAAATGTAACTGAACATGTAACCATTTATGACGAAATTCGGTAGTCAAAGAAAACATTCTGGACTTTATTTTAAATCAGTGCTCCTATAGAACCTAAAATAACATAATAAATAATACAGGTGATCTTTAAAAATTATACCTTTCATTGTAACATGGGGCACCTTAAGCTGGAAAAGACTGAAATAGGCAATTCTATGCAAGATCTAATGAAATGCACCAGTCAGGTACAGCTTTCTTCACTTCTCTGTCCAGAATACCATTATATAGATTTATAATCCAGAAAAAAGAGTTTACTACCTCAGTCTCAGACTCTTCAGATCATCTCTTGTTACATCGTGGAGGATGTTCTCCAAGGTGTAGGCCTCATTCAGAATCTAGATAGACAAGTGAGGGAATCAAAGACTTGCTGCTCCTTTATTTTGAATATATACCAAATTGTCAATCAACCAATCCTGCAACCCCTCCTCTGTGTGGTCTCACAACAGGACAGCAGCTCTTGAACCCAGAGGAAGACACCCACCCTGTCTATGGAGTCTTGATCAGCCCCGTAGAGCCTCAGCCAGTTGCTCAGCTCTGGGTCTTCATGTCTCTCTGCAGAATGACTCCTCTGTCCCTGCAGCCCATCTGCTGATGCCGGTTGATCTAACAGGAGATGCAGAGGAGACTTCATTAGCAAACCTTGTGAATTCTTAAATATCATAGTACCCTAAATAAGCTTCTGAGATGATCTGTAGATAAAAGTTTTAAAGTCTTTGCTGAATAACATAAACTAAATGTTAATCTATTATTAAGTCCTCATGAAAGCTTAACTATATTTATAGCAAATCTAGGGATATTTATTCAAAACAAGCTCCTGATTCTGAACAAATATTCCCTAAAAGCAGTTTTGGGCTTTTCCTGAAATGCTTTGGAAAAAAGTAGATGCAGAAGCATGAGCCCGATCAACTTCAAATGAAACAGTTTTGCCTTTAAAAAAACACTAAATCAATACAAATTTCTAGGTTGGTCTGATGTCGAGTTGTGTTTGCTTCTGTGTCACTAGTACTGGTTTTCCAGCTTCTTTTTGTTACAGAAAAACACAACTCTATCCACTATCGGTTTCCACAGAAAATCTGTGATATTTCAGTGATCAGATGTTTTCCTTTCCTTTTTCTCTCCTCTGTGCTGATGAAATACAGAGTGCTGACTCATGATTCAGCTCAGCCGAATCTCAGTGAGTCGCATTTGTTTGTGAAACGAAAAAAGACAAACTGAGGTCTTTTATGTGGGCACAGACCTGGAGGCTCAGATCGCATCCTCAGCAGCCGGATTTCTTGTTGTCTCTCCTCCAGCACTTGTTGCAGGATGGCCTGATACTCTCTTTCCCTCTCCAGCAACTCCTCCAGCAGCCTGGAGTCAAAACCACAGAAAGGATAATTGGTTTCAGAGATGATAAGGTGATTTACTGGGGGATCTTCCAATCCAGTAAATATAATTTCAATTATTTAAATGATTAATTTAAATTATTTCAACTTCTAAGATAGATCTAATACTCCAAAAATAAATTTCATGATAGAATAATACATTTAATAATTGAATAATAAATTGAATAATTAATTTTTTTTTAAAATGTTGTTGTAAACCTGCCTTGCCTAATGCTTGGAAAGTTCAATTAGACAAGTGGACAGGAAGTTTTCTAGATTATTCTAGAAGACGTTTGGCCTTCTTCAGCTCTGCCCTGCCTAGCGTGTGGTCAGCACAGGTGTGTGGGCCTACCTGCTGGTCTCCAGCTTCATCCGGCCCAGCTCCACGGTCACCGAGCGCTGAGCGCCGTGCGACTCGTGGGACACGGTGGAGCTGAGCGTGCTGACCCCCGAGGTGACCACCGTGTCGTCATGAGCCGCGACGGCGGGCGCCCGGCTCTGGTGGGCGGAGCTCCGTCCTTGCTCGCCGTCGTCATCGTCCACGTCCTGATGGTCAGCCGGGTCGCTTTCTGAGGTCAGGCTGAAGTGAGGCCTCAGCTCTGGACACAGAAACAAGGTCACAGTGGATAGAAACACGGAGAGAAACCAGCGCATTCATGAGCAGACTGAACATGAACACATATTTCACAGCGTTTATAACCGAAAAATTCTACAACTTCAAAATAGGCCACAATGAGTTTTGGTTCTTAGAGACTCTAGTCCACTAGTTATCACTTTTGCTTACTTTATAACAAATAAATCACAAAATAACTGACTCAGTCCAATCCCATTTTCACTTGACAAACACTGAATAGCTTTAATTAATGGTCAATAGGTTTAATTAATGGTCCCTAATGGTCATAATTGTATTTCAGGGGCATTTCTCTCAAAATCAGACTAAAATTCAATAGTTCTTCGAATATTTGCCCTAAACTTACATACAGAGTCAGTTTCATTTGATTGTTTTAGTTCTAATTTTAACAATGCATAGGTTTAAGAAGTTTTTCTAATGGTTAAATTATTTTCTTAAAATCATATCTAACTAAGAGAAGCACCTTTAAAATGTTGTACTTTCCTGCATTTGCTTCTCAAACTGTGAAATTTAACAGAGGACTATCAACACTTAACCATTATAGCTGTATATCTCAGAGGTCAGTCAGAAACTGATGAGGTAAGGCGGATTATGGCTGAAACTTTGGCTGACTCAGGCCATTCGGACATGTTTCTGGGCAGTATGTCACTGTTATGTCTGACGGCGTCTTCCCTGGAATGTGCTTTTCCAGATTAAAAACCTGATAACAAAAGCAAACATTTCCCCCGCCGGGTGAAACTAAGGTCCTGCTAAAAAAAAACTCAGCTTTAGCTAACCATAGCCCTTATCTGATGCCCGGTTGATGATTTAACCAGTGAAGTATCTGGCATAAGTACACACACACACACACAAACACAAATCGCTCTATTTGAACATTTTAAGAGCTCCTCTGATAAAACTCTCAACTCCCATCAACTACCAGTTGTTCACTGAGAGAATTGAATGTGTTTTATAAGCAATAAGCACATTTTTCTGTTCCTGGATTTACCAGTCAGTCATGCCCTGAGGATCAGTCGCTACTTAAATCGAGGCGCTTTGCTCGAGACACTGATGATGCTACCTGGCACAAGGATGGTGATGGCCGTCTGCACAGCTTTGCGAATGATGTTGTCCAGCGCGAACATCCAGTGAGGCTTAATGTTGTGGTTTCGCAGCACTTTGTTCACCTGGAAAAGTCAAGAGTTGCATACCTGAAATGTGCAGTGCCTTCAAATCAGCTCATACACTCTGACATTCTCTTATTTCTCTCCTGTTTTTATGCACTCTGCTAATCAGAATTCATAAACCTCACCAGGCGAATATAATCAAACATTAATAATATTTGTAACGCTGTGCGCACAGACAACCAATAGGGGGCACCAGCGCGTCATCTTTCTTTAAGATTATGCAATCCCCTTTAGAGAGATGAAAACCACTTGCTCTTGTGTCATTTCTTCTGCATAACTGATGGGAAAGAGCAGATTAACCTTTTTATAGAAGGTTGCAATTACTCATGACAGATCTCCTCTCTCTTATTGCCCGGCTCAAAGCATTTCACAGCTCCGTCTGATCTGTGCGGAGAGGCCGCAGTAATGAGGCGGCCCGCTGCCGTCTGCAGCTGCTGTAACATGACAACGCTCACACCGGAGCATTCAGAGCGCGTGTGTTTTATGGAGGGCTGAGAGCACCTCGGCTTCCAGATGGGAAAAGATAATAGACAGGAAGTCACATGACTCGGACACAGAAGACTGTTTTTTTCCCTCCTCTGAAATTTAAAATGAAACCAGTAAGAGACGGTGCTTCATAAACTGAGCATTTGTCATGATACGTGTTATGTGGATGTCATATTTCGGCCTGCGTCTGATGTTTGAAATGCACTGTGTGTCTTCAGATGTTTGGTGCCTGACACTTACAGCATCTTGGAAGCTGAACAGCATGACCTGCAGCTGACTGATGGCGGTGCTGTCGAAGTCCAGCTCCAGCTTGAGCTGCGACAGAGTGTTGGCCACGATCTTCCTGTCCGCCATCCGCACGAAGTCGGCCAGACTCGCCACGAGGGTGGAGATGTGCTGAGGTTTCAGCTTCATCTCCTCCGAGCCCTGCAGACCAACCGCGGGGAGACAGGAAACGGAGGTTTAAGTCTGAATAATGCAAATCCTCCTGCCCTGCTGAGGCTGTATCTCGTGGCACAAACCTGTGTGAGGGCCTCCATCAGGTTGCCCACCACCTTGTCCTGGTCTTCGGTCATGATGCGGTGCAGAGTGGCTCGCCGCTCGCTGTCTTTCCGAAGCATAAAGAAGCCCGAGTCTTTCTCATCAGGAGACGGAGGGGCGCTGTGATCCTCGAAGTTTTCCACCGGGATGCTGAGAGGAAACAAATGTTCAGACAATTTAGGGTCAAGTCTGAGTTTGGAGCCAAACTGTGTTGTTTGTTTTTCATCGTGCGTGTAGTTAATGAGTCATTTTACAATATCCTTGTTGACAGATAGAGATGATGTCATGCTCTTCTGCAGAGGCAGAGTTCTGATGTTTTCATGCTGCGGTATCTCTGCTTTTTTTTGGGTTCGACTGAGCTTTGAAACACATTTTTCTGTATTGCTAACTTTGCCAGAGGAATGGCAGCTTCCATCCCTCCCTATTAACATGTTTAAGTGCAAACATACAAAAAAACAAAAACAAAAAACAAATAAATTAAGGTTCAATCCCTGGCTTGACTAAAACTTTTTTTTTATTTTTTGTCAAATCTGGGGTAAAACATCTGTCCATATATAAGACAGATGATACCTCACAGAGAAAAGAAGCTAAATATTCAAATGTCTCTAATGTTCTTTGACTTTTTTTATAAATCAATCTGTATATTGTCAATCCGACCTGAAGCAAAGCAGCTCTTTACTGTGACTCCATTCATTTAAAAAAAGGCTCCACTTGTCATACCTGAGGAAAAGGGACCTGGGCCCCTTGACATCTCTCTCGCTGTAGCACTTGACGCTGGGCTTGAAGATGAAGGGGTTGGTGTTGAGGTCGTTGTCAGGGGAGACGGAGCCGTACTCGCTGCTGCTGCTGGTGTCCTCCACCACCACCGGCACCGGCAGAGAGATGCTGCGCAGATACTCTGAGGCAGACGCACAACGATTGACACACAACCACGGAGCCCCCTCGTCTCAGCACAAAACACAAAAATAATAATCTGAAGCCGCGCCAAGACAAGCTGCATTTGATGAGTCACGCAGAAAGTTAAACTCTCCGTTCAAGGAACTGCAATCGCACTCTTGTGAAACTCCACTTCGAGTTCTTGGAAAGAGGGAGTCATACATAACAGGAATGCGTGAGGAGCAGGAGAAAAAACGCTGACTGGTCTGGGTATGTGCTGCAGAAGCGGGCAGATGTTTCATGGAACAGATAAGCTGTTTCAGTAGAGAAAGTAGAGTTTTGTGTGTAATAACAACATGACTCACCTGACCCTGGGGACAGAGCTGCAGGGGGGGAAAAACAGAAAAAGTGCGTTAAACAGGAACAAAACAAAACTGCATTTTCATTTAAGACTGACACAATAATATTTTCGAGCCGGTGGCTTTCAGAGGGGTTTCGTAATCTTTTGCGCTGTTAGCAGAAAACATGACTGCGCTGCTGCTTTGGGGTGGAAGTCTGAGGAGAAACTGGGCTGTAGGGAAATTCAAATGATGAAGATGGTGAGCGTGTGAACGCACCAGGATCAGAAAAACATGAGCACAGAAACATGATTTCAAACGACGGGTTTGTGGTGCATCTGAGGGCAGTCACATGTTTTCAAAACCAGGAAAGATGCCAGGCGTCAGATGATCAGATCATGGATCAAGATTTGTTGGTCTTTAATTCTTCATTAAAACAGAACAAAGACTCTAAATCAATAACACCACAAGTTGTTCTAAATGGTGGCATAAATACAAAAGTTTGTCCGTCCACACAATCTCAAAAATCTCAGTGTGTACACTGAGTTTTCCTCAAGAAAAGGACAACTAGCTGCTGTATGATTGTTTTAAATGTGGAAAAGCTTCCTCTAAAACATAACTAAACCTAAACATTAACTTTGCACAGTAGATTCAGTCTACAGATATGAATAATGTCAATCCTTTGATCTGAATTCCCCATAAGAAAACCCATAAAACTTCAGTATCTTTAACAAGTGCAAAGAGAATTAACATAGCTCAGATTTTGTGGAGGCAAGCTTTCCTGGGAGAACTGAACCCACCGGTGAAGCTGGTCTTGCTCTTCTTCTTGCGGCTGGTGACGGTGAGGAACTCGTCGGTGAGCAGGTCCAGGGCCGTGGCGCGCCGGTCTGGATCCGGCTCGAAGCAGCGCAGGATGAAGATTTTGGCCTCCGGCGACATGGAATCAGGAATCTCCGGATGGATCTTAAACATACCAACCTGCAAACATGTCCACATAGATCAATACAGACGTTAAAGTTCGATAATAACACTAATAAATAACAAAACAGAATTCAATCAAAGTCCGTCTGTCAGTTATTTTTCTCTTGGGGTGAATTATGCAGAAGTATTTACACAACGATGTCTGATCCAGGCTTTGCGGTTGAAGTTATACTGTACGACTAATGAGTACGACAACACTAGAAATTCCAGTCGCAGAGGCTGGGGAATGTTGACTTAAGATTAATAGGAGATGCCCCTCCCTTGAGACATTCCACAAGGAAGCGTGAGGTGAAGAGCTTTGGTGCATAATATAACTGCACACGAAGGAAAAACATGAAATCCTTTAACAGATGGCGGCGATGGCCAACTCTACAGACCCAGTGAACTTTATTTTGTACTCAATCAGGAATGCCGTAATGTCTCCCAGACTTCCAGCCACGGGCTGCACATGGGCAGGAATCTGCTGGTGCTGCGTGCTGAACATTTCCATCCAAAGCAAACGCGCTGTGTAAACTGTGTGGGTAAATAATCCAAACACGTGCACATGGAAGCTCTGCAAATTCCTCCCAAGGGGCCACACATGTTTGCTTGTATTCAAACAAAGGTTCTCACATGAATGGTTTTTGGGACTTTCTAGCGGCTGATCCACTGGTTTTGTTTTCATAAAAACAGGCAACTGACAATTGGTATGACACAAAAGCAATAAATGATCGAGCTACTGAAATCGTATGTCCATGTGACTATTTAAAGTTAGTGGGAAGCTAGATAATCCTGTCTGTCACCATCATGAAAAAGGGAAATTTCATACTTAAAACAGCCAATAGAAACGCATATAGAACAAACACACTGTTTTACTCTTTATTTAAGAAAATAAGTTAATAATACCCAAGTTATTCTAGAATTTTGTCCAATTTAAGGTAAAATGGTGATTTCAAACAATGAGAAAATGATGTCTGATCATCTAAAAAATGTTTGTAGGAGAGTATCAGGGTACAAAATGCAGATTTCTGAGCACCTGAGAAAAGATTCTCACATATTTGAACTTAATTTTCACACTCAAGAAAATTGTAATACTGTTTTCCCTTTGGAGTCTTTCACTACAACTGAGTTAAATGGGCCTCTGTAGGATGCGGTGTGCATGGCATGGCTCTGCTAACAGACACTGCTGACTGTCTGCAGCTTTTAAAAAATCCAATGAACTGTGAAGAGCTCTATTCTGTGGGGAAAACGTCCCGCGCTCCCCGTGTAACAGCCTGTTTATCACAGACGCAACAAGCGATTCTGAGTCTTACAAACGAAATCTAAAAGAAAATATCAGATAATCTCAGGCTGAACAAGAGAAAGCAAACATGTCGCTCTGAGGGGAAAAGCTTGAAACAACCTCGCCCGACTCCATTAGAGCTGAAGCTGAGCCCTGTGCGGAGGAATGAGCTAACATTTCCTGTAAGTGGTTGTTCAGGACTGATCAAGTTACTGGAGATGTTGCACTTAGCTGCATTACTGCTGCACAAGGAAGTCAAGTCAGATACGGGAAGTAATAGTCCACAGACCTGTACCACTTAACTGAATTGTTTCTCTTAATTCACTTTTAACCATCGAGAGAAAATCTCGTATATTTTGTTCTTATAAACTTGACAACTATCATGTGTTTTTACAGGTCTGATCAGTTTTGGCGGTCTCCTGTCTCTCACCTTGAACATGGCAGCTTGTGGTTCTCCAAGTTCATAGAAAGGTGGTTTACCAGTTGCCATCTCTATGATGGTGCAGCCCAGGGACCAGATGTCCGCTGGTCGGCCGTATCCCCGAGGACCCTTGTCAATAATTTCAGGAGCCATGTATTGCAATGTGCCTGACATGAAGATACATCAAAATATTAATAATGCAGGAAAAACAATCCATCAAATACACACAGGTAAATATTCAGTGTTTTCAGCCTTTAGGTGAAGCTAAAGAGACGATAACTTTATTTATTCATCCAACAAGACTGCTTTAGAACCTAAAGCTGCATTTTAATAAGACAAAGCTCTTACTTTAATCTAATTTTATTCTCAATAAATAATATTATTCAATATATTGAACTTAACTGGCGGTTCGTTTTGACTAAAAGCTGTTTAACCTGTCTTGTGACAGGCCAAGAAAGGCCTCACCTTTTGTCTCTGTTTGCCACAAACATTCAGTGAGTCCACATGTAATAACCTTTTAATAGCATCTCTGATTTATGGGATGTGTTTAAATGTTCAACACCGTGGCAAAAGGCCCCACCGGGTGACAAAGAGAGCCAAAAACAGGTCAGAGGAGTGATGTAAATGCCTGAAGTAGCTTTCACTGGGAACAACAACAAACACTGAAAGTGCTGACACAATTCCTGCAGAGGACCAATCAGGGCAGACAGAGGTGACGGCCTCCAGGGAGGAACGGCAAAGACTCACTGCATCAGCTAATCCCAGCAGAGACCAAAAATAACATTTTCAGATCCCTGTGAAAGGACTCTTCTGTTCTAATAATAACCAGCTAGCTGCTTATTAGCTGTACTTAAAGGCCTCGGTGCTGCGCTAAAAACAGGCCCTGGTGCATTTTTAGAAAGTCTCGTCTGTAACAAGGAGTAGCCTGGTTTCCCGGCCCTTTCAGGGTAAGTCCCTGTCTGCTCCAATCAGCGGCCAGACGGTCTGATTCACGAGGTCAAAGCTGAGCCGTGCTCGACGGCTGAGCTGAAGACATCACAGGGCCGCATACCAGCCTAATCTGACCATAACGTCTCATGCTAAACCTCACACCTCTGAAAAACAACACCAGACCACTTCCTAACAGGAAGTCAGGCAGGGTAACTACTCGTTTCATGACCTGCTTTATATCTGGCCACAACTGATTAAGGTTAATCCCTCAACCGGTATATCTCGGTAAGATAGGAACCTCTCTGAGGTTATTGTTTCTGTACGAGAAGGAACAGGGGGCAGTACCTGTGAAGGTTTCAGTGCAGGGGTTGATCCCAGCCAGCCGTTTGGACGTGCCAAAATCTGATATCTTCAACACGCCGCTGTAGGTGTTAATGAGGACGTTGTCACCCTGAGGATTGAGAAGACACCTGTGAGAACAGGCACACCCCGGTTGGCTGCAGAAATTCCAGGAGGCTGTTGAGATAATTTGAGGTCTCCGAGCCAGCTCTGACACCTGGTGTAGGCGGAGGACGAGGAGCCCCCGACCAAAACAAAGTCATTAACATTTACGCGGTGCTAACGGTGCCTATATGGCCGGGCTGTTCAAGCAGACAAGTGTACACTAACGAGAGTGTTTGCAGGAAATGCCACCAAAGCTGAGATCAAACTTCATTATTGGATTCCTGACAAATCAGAATTGATCATCAAATAGCGAGGGCAGCCTTTTCCGGGCGTAGAAAATGCCTTCGTTCACTCACCTTAATGTCTCTGTGTGCTATCTGGTTGTCGTGCAGGTACTTGAGTCCCTCCAGGATCTGCCGCGTGTAGAAGCCGATGGTGGGCTCGTTGTTTTTCAGGGGGCCCCACTTGGACCTGAGCAGCGCAGACAGACTTCCTGCACATGACAGGAGAAAGTACAACAATGAATAATTCACTTTGAACTGGGAACACTGGCCGAGTGTGTCTGCATATTCAAAGCGAGTTTGTCCTCAAAGGCAATTTCCTTCATATGAAAAAAATGAACAGGTTTCCTCTTGTGTGGGTCATTTTGCTAAAGCATTCCAAAGTGGGGGAGGGGGTCTCACCTCCAGGCACCTGCTCCATGAAGATCTTGATGAAGCCATTCTCGCTGATTGAGCCCAGGTACTGGACGATATTCTTGTGTTTCAAGTGCTTGTGGAGGGCGATTTCCTCGTGGAGTGGCTGAGAGTATCTGACAGGAGAAATAAACACATTGAAGTTTAGAAGAACGGCTTCCTGAAATAACCAGAAAAGTGGGAAGACGTTTGCAGATGAAGGTGGAAAACCCCCAGCAATGAACGTATATATTTATAGAATATATATTTGATATATTCTAACATCATCAGTGATGTACAATAACATTCAAACTGTGCAAAAAGATCCTCCGTTTATTAACCAAGTGGTAATTTAGGGCACAAAACATTACCGAGTCCGCAAGAGTGTGGAAATGTACCATTTTGTCCAGATAATATAGTCGGAAGCCTTTAAAAGCGGCTAAGAATGAACCCTTTAAAGCCAAATCCAAGAAAAAATGGACAGAAATTTCATTTTTTTTTGCCTGAAGATCCACTTTGTATATTTAACATTCATAGCCGTGGGACATGTAAAAATAACTGTTGTGTAGTCTTCCTACCGCTGGTATCATGTTTATCAGAGTTGTACAACAGGTTTTTGGGCAGAATCTTTTCCTTAAAGTGATGCAATGGTCTCTGATACAAAATATTTCAGAAACGATACCAACGCGATACAGGCGGCATTATTTCACAAAGGTTTCTGGTTCTGCAGCAGATAAGAACAAAAACATCATCAGATTTGACACGATAACCTGTGAGAAACCGACTCTGAGGTCTGCAGTGCAGCAGGTGCATTTGCAGACATTTCAACAGTTTTTTCCTTAAAGTGACGAGAGAAAAAAAACGGGGGGAAAAACAACCACTGAACAAAATGTGAGCCGAACAAAAAGGTCCCTGTAGGTGGGAGAAAAAAAAAGAAAAAACGCCTGCCAGTGATTTTTTTCCCTTAACATTCAGCTCCCTGAGAGAATGGCCCCCTCTCTCTGTCATGAGACTTCACTCCACTAATAAATAATTCACGCATTCTTCGCAGCGGAGCGCCCTGCTGACTTTCTGATGTGATTAGTGGAGCAAAGTGTGGCAGCAGAATCCTCTGGTCTGGGAGAGGAGTCTTTCAGTCTGAGATGAGTAGGTGGAACTATAAGGGGAGACAGTGATAGGCATGGAAGGCGGGGGGGGGGGGGGGGGGATTTCCTCTAACCACCGTTCGCTCAGCTGGAGAACTGAAATCCAGACCTGTGAAACCTGTGAGCTGAGAGCCTGATGCCACCAGAAGCTTTGCTAATCCACGACTGCACTCTCATTCTGAGAAAGGCAGCGTATTTCTTTATGGTGTTCGGCAGAAGCTCTGATTGAGATCAGATATTAACAGCCCAGATACGCGTTAACATTCAGCCTTTGCACAGAGTGATAAATAGATTGGTAAGTACTGCTAAAAATGTGAAACGTGTCCCGAGGGTGGCTGTAATTTAGCCTAATATACCTTTTGAAAAATGAAATATACTGAGGTAATTTACAGCACTCTTCCCATTCTATTATTAGATATCTTTTAAGCTAATATGACATTTTGATTGGATGTTGGCGCCACAGCAAAGGCGAAAGGGTCACGAAAGACATTAAGGTTAGAAATGTATATACAGCGACCCTTTTTCTGACCTGCTATCTCGTTCTGGTATTTCTTTGATGGCCAGCCGGACCTGGTTGCTGAGGTCTCGGCCCGCGTACACCACTCCAAACGTGCCCTTTCCCAGAATCACCCTCTCCCCATGTTCGTCGTACTCGTAGTCGTACTGCGGAGGAAAAGAAATGACACAAAGAGGTTTGAAACTGATCTGCAGAAATCGTCACAGTGAGCTGTAACAGTGGACAAGAGGCCGGATCTCCAACGTCAACGCGTTTGGCTGCTAGTCCCATGTAATCTGATGGTAAATCTAAAAAACAAGGTGCCAGTGACTGGCGAGGCTATAGTCCCGATCAGAGCTAGAATTGTTGTACGACCTTTATGGTCATCATCATCATGTCTCTCATGAAGGAACAAAATTAAGAGCAAAAGGATGAGTTGTAAGGTTAAAAATAGGGAAAAACACAAAAAAAATTGCGATAAAATGAAGATGTGTATCAATAAATATGGGAGAGATTATTTGTTTTGTTTACACCATACAAATCAGTATAGAAGTAATTCTATAGTGGATCTTTTTTGCTACTTCACTACTCAAAATTTCCATCTCCCTCCAAAGTCACAGTTTAGTAGCTTCTGTTTTATGCTACTGCTACTGTAACGCAATCAGACTCTTTTAAAACCAGAAAAGCATACCTGTATAGTGTTTGAATCTATAATAATAGTGTTGTTCAGACTAATATCACTAATATCACCCTAAACCCATGACACTGTCCCCCCAGAAACATGTAATCCGTTCTTACTTTGATTACAGCTGCACACACAAAAAAACCCCTCTGAGAGAAACCTGTTAGTCATTTGATCTGTGCCACGCCGAGTGAAAGAGGGTGCGGCAGCGTTTTGAGTAATTAGCTTTTCTTTTCCCTCCGCTCTGCCGGGAAGACAGGTGAATGTGACAGCAGGTGTCCGTTCTGCACTGTCAAAACACACAAAGCCCGCACGAAAAATTCAGGTCTCATCCCAGCGGGTTTCTGTTCATCTTGAAGCTGAGTTTCTTCCCAGTCGTTACAGCGCCACTAACCACCGACTGAACGCTGAAAAAGTTAGCAGAGATGCGGCCCTTTGGTGGAAAATGAAACAGTAACATTATGTTTCTTGTGACATTCTAGAAGCGGGCAAAAAAGCCCTTTGGAGACACAACAGGATGCAGCCAGAACAAAATCAGGAACTCGGCATTACAATATCAAATAGATTTGTGTCTTTGATTGAGATCTTCTTCAGGAAATCCTGTTTAATATTTGTTTTCTTATTAAGAAGTACCCACGCCACCCTCCTACAGAAATATATTCAAAAGTATGAAATACTTTGATATTCAAGACCAAGCCCCTGCAAAAAAAGTTTGAGGTCATTCCTAAAACAAATTTAAAAAAAAGTGACGAGAAGAATATTGGAAAAAGGTATTTTTAAATGCTAAAAACGGATATACGAGTCTATGATTGGCTCACCTCTAAGGCATCAGTGTCACAATCTCCTTCTTCTGGGCTTTTCCAGGCTTCCTCTGTTATGCTGTTGACCAAATCACAGAATCTGCCAAAGAAAAGTCTTGTTAAAGTCCAAGTACACATATAAAGTGCAGTCATGTGTATCATGCTATTAAGGTAAAAACATATACATTATGTTCTCTGATTACGTGGAAAACCACCTGTTTTTGTTTAAGGTTTAACTTCAAAACCGACAGCTAACATATGAAACTGATAAGAAATGTGGACTTGAGTGTTAATGCAGAGGCAGTGTATCATTTTTTTACTATACAAATTTATTAGCATTATTATATAGAAGATAATCATGTCTAGTAAAAAAAAAAGTATTGAATTTATTTAGAAAAAGCAGAACCATGTGAAGGTCTCAGGGTGTCGAACACCTTTAGATTAAGGTAACTTTTAGGTTGGAATTAGAGCCTTTCCACACAGGCAGAGGAGCCCTGAAATATTTCAGATATGCTCCACACATGTGACATGTCAGGACAAAGACGTGGACAATTTTTCCTGCCCGGCCTGCAAGCAAAATCCCCAAAACAACCACTGAGAGGGACAACGTGTAAGCAAATATCTTGGAGCTGCATGTCTGTGCAGGGCAGAGTTTGTCCCTCCTGCTGACCCGCATGCTGCATTCCCGTTTATGGTGGGTTTGTACAGAAGCATTCAGCACTCATATCAACACAGTGAGGAACCTAGTCTGCTGTTCTCAATGTGTTGTGAAGCAAACACAGTGTCATTTCTGCATCGCAGGCTTCCTCCTGCACGGCCCAGACAGCCGTTCCCCACACCTCCTTTGCATTTAGAGCTGGCAGAGCAGAAAGCCCCCTGCTGTCATGTGTTTGTGGCGACAGCATCAGAGGGAAAAAGGCTGGATCTCAAATTGTCTGCATATTATCTTGACCATCTCCCGTGCTCATGCATGAAAATGGCTTTTGACTTCATCCATGGCTTGTGAAAAACATACCAAATGACCTCTTAACAGCATATTGTATCCTGTTCAACCTCACAAAGCCTGATTAGAGCCGGATCCATTGTAGTTCTGAATCTTATGTACATAAATAGCATTTTTCCCATTTAAAACGGACCAGAATTACCGTTTTGTGCAGCGTGTGTCTCGTCTTTAAACACAAAGCTGGTAATTGTGTCACTCACACACAACTTCCAGTCTCGCCCGAACCAAAACAACTAAATCGATACACAATTTTTACACATATCACAAAGAATTAAGACACAAACTCTATTAACACAGTGAGCAAACAGCAGAGATCCATTTAGCACGCTGCGTGTTCCCGTTCAGTGATTGCTGATCTCATCCTGAAGGGGTTACAGTATGTTTACATGAACACCTCCCTCGCAAAACATACACACACTGACCTTTACCGCTTGCACAACACACAAGCTGTGAATTAGCACAATGCCTCATCACACCCTGCATGCCTGCAAGTGTTCATCCAATACACTGAAACGAAGCAAACTCACGCTGGGTTTCTTACTTTTCGGACCCCCTTCTATCTGTTCCTTCCTACCACTTTGCCTTTTCTTACCCCTCTTTCCCCAACCTGGCTCCTGACAAAATGAGAGCAGCATAATAGCAACAGCAGGCATGAGTCACTGACTCTCACACTCCAGATAATGGCACCGGAGGCCTCAGATGTGAGAGTCACAAGTCGGAACGCACTGCATCAAAGAGCAGCCGGCGAGGAGAGGAGCGCGGCGGTGGCCAAAAAACCAAACCAAGGTGTGCTCACGGTGGTGGAAACGTGAGATGTTTCCCACCACGGCGCGGTGCTAACAAGGGTGCTCGGACTGCTGAGAGAATGGAGATGGAAACAGGGAAGAAATGCACTCACTATGGCCCTTTTCCACACACGAACTCTGGATCGAGCCCAGAAAATGAAGTCTAAAGTTTTCCCACCTGTGCAACAGGCATCTGGTCTATGAATCTTCTGTCCTAGTTTCACAGAATGACCATTTGATGTCGTTGATGTGATGTTGCAAAAAGGTTTTCTTTTGACATTATTAGCAGTGTGTAATAAAGAGATGAAAACTTAGCATATAGCATCTCTCAGCACGGTGCGTCCTTAAAATATTGGAAGAAACTGGACACGTGGAGAACAAAAGAAGAAGTGTCGGGCCTAAAAAAACTTTTTCCAGGTGATGAAGAGGATCTCAAAGTGATGTCCTTAAGATTAGAAAAAAGAAGAGCTTTGGGATGTCCTTCAAGAAACCTGGAGAGTTGCTATTGAAGACTCCTTAAAGAAAGGACACAGCTGCTGCCACAGTGTTCAGAAATGGAGAAGAAAGGTGCTCAGAACAAATATTCTCTTGAAAACTTTAAGAAACTGCACGATTTGATGCCGTGTTCTATTATACTAGAAAAATTCTGAGTCTTTTTCCCTGGAAAATATAAAGAAATGAGAGGAGGTTGAAGACTTTTGAGTGTTTGTGGAAACACACGTTCAGCTGTCCTGTGATCTGGTGGAGCAGAACCTTGACAACAGCCACAAGCGTGCACGGTCACACACGGTGAACTAAGATTTCATTTTCGTGTCAATAAAATGTAAAGTGAGCACTCATTACGCCGACACCATGCTGTTGGGCTCCTCTGTTCCAAGTCACACACAGTGAGCAACAGTTCAGCGTGCCAACACGGCTAGTGGTTAATCAGGCTGCAGATACTGAGGCGGCCGCTGACCCAGATGATCCAAACACTTCAGATTTATAAATGATTGAGTGGAGATCCAGACTCATTTCATGCAGTGTGATGCTAAGCAGAAATGACCACCAAAGAGCCTGGGAAAAAAGCTAAAAACTATGAAATTGCGTTTGCCAATTGGTCAGTTTTGGGGGCATTGTGAGAAATAAAAGATGAAAAATACACATTTGTATTTTTACCTTTAATAATATTCCCAGTCTGTGTTTGTATTGTGTTTTTTTTGGTTTGGAAGGCGGCCGCCCTCATGAATGAAAAGGACATGGTTTAATAAAAATAATAGCCCTGCATCTCATTTTAATAAAAGACAAAAAATGAAACTAGACTTCTTCATTTTCGGAACAGCGAAATGTCAAACGGCTCATTTCTATTCTCACCCTCAGCTGAAGGGGTTTCAATCACTTTTTTTGTTGAATATATCATAAGAATAAACCCTTACATTTTTTTCTAAATGAATTTATTTTAATCAACACATTTGACAACTTGTGCCCATCTTTCCACTCTAAATTTAGACAACTGAGTTTTAAACTCAAAGAAGGTTATTAATCACATCAGGATGTGATTTTCCTTGCTGTAGCTCTGAGTGAAAAGAGGCAGACCAACCTTTTACAGTGCATCTCCGTGCAGAAATAGATCTGGAAGTCTTCTGCATTATGAAGGACGTAGAGAAAGGCACTGCGCTCATCAAACTTGGAGATGCTGGAGAGAGAAAGTCCAGTTATGTGAATTCTAACCACATGAAAACAGATATGAATCAGCATGAATGAGGCCTTTAGCCAGACAACGTTATACGGCAAAATGCAGAATGTGTACGTCCTTTATTCTGACAGGTGCTTCGTGGAGAGTTGTGGATATAGCATGCAGTTTTTTTTGCAAATTCCCCCAATAAATGATGCACAATTACTGCAAAAAAAGATGATTAATTAAACTTTTATCCAGCAAGATGCTGTTGAGTCATTTTCTCAGGCTGCCAAGGGCAGATCTGCTGAGCCATGCTGTCTGTGTGTGTGTGTGGTCGTATTGTAGCTCGCAGAGCTGCCATTGTGTCCTGCAGACTGTCTGCAGGCTGAGTGGGTACAGAGAATGAGTTGTTCCCTAGCAACATGCGAGCACAGCCCTCCACTTCTCTCCGATCAGACACTGAATTCCTTTGAGGACCGCGGAAAAATAGGCACAGAGCAAAATCACGCAAGCTGCCCATGGTGGACTCGAGCACTCTGATACTGAGGCTGCAAGAGAAGTGATGGCAACGGGAAGGACATCATCTAAAAGCTTCATTTATTCATATGCTATTTAAGTCCGAAAACATAGATAAAGGTTTTTGCACAAAGTGCATTCAGCTAGGAATAAAAACAATTATGTTGCATGATTTTAAATTACAGGAACGTTTTCAGGTCTTAGAAAATGATCAAATAAAGGGAAAAAAAGTCTTCTGGCTAAATAAATCTCTTACTCCCTACACAAACAAAGGACTAATGGGCTCTGTTGTGCACCTTAAGGCTCTACTTTGACATTTCATGCAATATGATTGCTTGCCCGCACCTCAGAGAAGGTGCACTGACTCCCACCAGAGTCTGATGATTGATAGGCAAAATCACGGTGACACACAAAGCTAAAAGGACCCTCATAATGTGAGCAATAAATTCCCCAAATTACAGCAAGTCTTCCTCAATAACGTCATACCCCTGAGATTTTCACAAGAACAGGAGTTCTAGCTAAAATTCTTTTAATCTTCAATTTAATTGAATTATTCAAAAATGCTCAGACTCTCCAGAAATCTTGATGCAATTTGTAAACTGAAAAAAGACCAATTCTAATGATTCGACCTACTTTTACTGGGCTCAATGAAACATGGATAATGCTCTAATCCTTTATCTTTAATAGTCCTGAATAAGGCGGCAGTCTCTGGTGGTGTTAATTCACTGCTAATATGCCCGATCCCTCATTAAGCTCATTCCAATCAGAGGCCAAAACCAGGAGCAACACAATGTCCCACAGAAACTCATCAGAGGGCTTTTGGCACATGGAGAAGGAAATTGTTGAGGCATGACCAAGACTAAGATGTGAGCTACCTTTGAAATAAAATGGTAGGCACCTACCTGACACCCCGGACAGACGTGGCACTGAAGTTCCACTCGTGTATCCCCTTGTTCTGTGAGTAATTAAAAAACGAATAGGTGATGTCATATAAATATCATAAAGGCATCAATGATCATTTTGATCTGAGGAGAATTAAAGATTCACACAGTGCTGAAAATACACACATGACAGTATTGTGATTTGATGCCAGTCCATAAAATGTAAAACATGATTTCTACACACAGAGTACTGAACGTAACCAATGGGAGGATTCTGAGGAGAAAAACGAGCTGAACAAAAGAAAGAAGATTCAGCAAAAAATGGAAGTTGAAAGGCGAGTTGCTCACGCAGACAAACACCCACCTTGTCATCAGGAGCAACATGCCAGATGGACACCGTGTTGTCATCCACGTCTTTGTTTATGGACAAATACGAAGGCTGGTAGACTTTAGTAGGCTCCAAGATCAACACCTGCGGGAGTAATTAATGCATCCAACACGTTGAAGAATCGGCCCCAGTTTGCATTTGTTTACGCGTAAATATTTGGGGTTCGAAGGTCACTCACGGGGAAACGAACAGAGGAGACGTCTTTTTTAGTCGCCTCCACTAAGAAGTCCATCCAGAAGTCCACCAGTTCCTGTTTGGGCGCCGGGGGCTCCGTGCTGGGCTTCTTGAAGTGCTGGTAGATTAATATTGTTTCTACCACCAAGCGCAAATACCTGAAACCCCAAATACAAAAAAGCAATGAGGAGGAACCTCAAACTGAGACGATTTCGGTCTTATGCTGCTGGCAGTTCACGACATTCCTCCACTCCTATTAGATCTGATACTCAGAGTTCCTATGAGACGACTGTAATCACCTAACAGATTACTTGGACTTTAATCCTCCACCATCAATGTCAGTAATCTTTATGGCTCTTTCTACATGTCAAAAGATGCCAAAATCTGCAGGTGATCCAGCTTCCAAACCCTTTTAATCTAAATTCCTGGCCATTCCTATGGCGCAGATTAGATTATCTTTAATCAACCAGAGCAGTGCAGTTAAAATAATGGAGTTTTTCCCTTTTTGATGTGAAACACAACAATTGAACCCAGAATGGCTCCAGATGGCTGCCGCAGTTTCAGGGGGTTGACAGACGTAACTTCGGATCTAAAATGTGTTTTTTACAGCAGCTTATCCGCGTCCTCACCAGATGGGGGCTTTGAGTTTGAAGAGTTTCTCCGAAGCCTGGATGACCCGGGTGTTGTCACAGGCCAGTATGCTCGCCCCCAAGAAGAAGCCCACATCCCAGTAGCTCTGCAGTTTGTCCAGGCTGCCCTTTTTACCCAGCAGGCTGCTCAGCTTAACTCCTGGAAAACAAAGACAGAAGATCAGAAAAGTGTTCTTTGTAACAGAACAGGGGGTACCTGTAATCATGAACCCACTCATAAACTGTGTTTTAGCCATCTGTCACGGGCAGATGTTGTTAGTGAAGATATCTGTTTTTACAGCCGAACAAACAGGTGCCCACTCCAACATTTGTAGTTCGGTGCAAAGCAGCAAACTCCCAGCTGTTTGCCAGGCTGGAGGCTTTGACATCTTATGATGTAACACTGAGAAAGAACTGCAGCTAAACCAAGTACCTTCAGACCCAAGTTCATGCTGGAAACAGAGCTAATGTTTGAGGTGGAAGAGAACAATAATAACTTTCTATTTCCATTTATATAGTGAGAGAGTCTTCTTTTGTCCACACTGACAGTAAAGTCTTCAACTTTCAATGAGAAGCTATGATAGGCATGAAATCTCTGCAGGGTGGCAGTGAGTCATTAAAACCTGATGTTGTTTATAAAACAAATTCAATTTTCCATTAAAATCACTTGACTGTAAACTGATTTTTGCAGCTTTCAGCTGAGCACCAGTTTGTCTTAACCAAAACTGCTTAACATGTGTCAACTGGTTTCATTAACGGAATTCAATATCAGCTTGAGTTATATTTTTCCAAACACCAACATGGTTAAAAAAGGCAGAATAAGGCCAGACTTATCCCTGGCATTGAGCAATTATCTACTTCTGGATACTACTAGGTTATTAGAGGTTGTAGGTTATTAAAGGTTGCTAATTTCCCCAAAAAATCCAGTCTAATCTGATAAAACAGCTCTGGTGTTCATTCATGTTGACTTTAGTGATCACCTATTCAAAATGTGTGAGTCTATTAACTTATTCTGTATTTTTAACCAGATTTTATAGATGGCTTTGGTTTTATCTACTTCACAACTTAATTAGAATTGGTCATTATTGCTAAAATTGCTATCATTGTGAGGATTGTTGTGTAATAACTTGGATCTCTTATGGGAAAAAGAGATCACCATTTAGCGTGACCCCCACAGAAGAACATAACTGCTCTGTTGGACTTGGTTTGAGATACTGGCCTCAGGTTAGAACACACTAAATCCCAGAAAAAAATCAAATTGAAAGATGCCAAAACACTCTTGGTACAGTCAATGACAAAGTCATGATCTCTGACACCAAGTGGTTGTAAATTCAATCCATAAGTAATATTTCCTTGTAAGGTCGTAAATGATTAAACAAAGTTAGGGTAAATCAGTTATTATCATCATTATTTGTTCATTCTTTAACAAGGTGAATGATATAAAAACAGATACGCAATATCAGTAGCAGCACAACAACTAACAAAGTTGTAACATCTGAAGAATACTAATAGAAGAATTTTCACAGGAAAAAAAGAGGTCAGGCTGACATACAGAGGAAGGAAGCAGGAGTGACAACTGCTTCCCCTGCAAAACAGCTCACTGAATGGCTTATTCAGTTTAAGTTTAAAAAAAAAAAAAGAGCCTAAACTAAATGCCAGGGTTGTGTTTAAACATCGCAGTGACCTCAGACTCAGACTCACACAGAAATGAGCCAGTTTTCCACCACGTACGTAAAGATCGTGCGTGTTTATTTCCACATCTGGATGCCAACAGTCCCTTTAAAGCAGATGTTCTGTGTGAGACTCCTTGTTGCAGCTCAGCGGTGCGTGAGGCGGGGTACTCACCCACTTTGCGGAGCTCGAAAGACGTGTCGAACTGGTGTCCGGCTGCCAGCAGGAGCACGGCGTAGTTGATTCCAGAGTGTAGTGTTGGCTCGGACTCGAAGCCCTTTTTAAACCTGCGAGCAGAAGGAAAGAAAAGCGACGAGATCAATAAACGGGGTTCTTCCAAGAAATGCGTCACTCCAAACCCATCGCAGCTGCGAGATAACGGATGGCCCCGCCGGGCTCCCCCGGCGATATAAGACACTCCGAGATGGAAAAAACAATTACAGCCATATTGAGCTGGGGCCACACAACGCCAAACAGCGACCGGGAGCACCCCCAAAGAAACCAGAAATGTGATTTATTAAATGACCAATCTGTCGCGTCGTGAAAACGACTGTGAATGTTATTAGATCCGAGTTGTGGCATCGAAATGAAAATAGCAGCCAGATGGAGGCTTGATTATCCGAGCAGAATTTCAATAAAGCAATTAAATAAATGCGATTTGGGGATGACGTTAATCAGAAAGTCTTCTGTTTTACGCCAACGCTGATCAGCTAAACTTTGCTTACATGTCAAACCTGAGTCACCCCCCCTCTTTATTTCCTATGTTACAACCAAACTTTACATTAAAGCTGCAAATGTCTTTAAACAAGGATTTAACCCCTGAAACATCCATCTCACTCACTCCCAAAACCTGTTTTATATGTTATTTGATTCTTTATTCCAAGATAACTTTAATTATTGTATATGAATTCAGGTATATGCATAAACTCTTTTCCAGCAAGCTTTAAGATAATGCATTTTATGTCTACAATGAGCTCTCTCATCAGCCTAACATGAGTGTCAGGACACAGAAATACTGTTTACATGGTATTAAACAGTAAGGAAAACAGTCAAAAGCAGGAAATCGTTGATGAAACTATTAAAAACTAGTCAGCACTGATAAAAAAAAAGCTTTAGTTTGTTTTAATGCATCTAAGTTCAACTGCAGGTTCACATTTCTGCTCAAACCACTGGGAAAAAACACATAATGAGGGGAGTCAAGAAGATCAGACACAGTGTGGTATAAAGCGACAGAGAGAGCAGCAAAACAGAGAAATTATGAAGCAAGCTATTTATCAAAAATAGATATTGTTTTTTCTTAAGATGTTTTTATTCCCCTTACGTCATATGTACAAGCAAATAAATATATCGTTTTTGTGGTTCTTGAGTATTTTCTAATTAATTCCAGAATTTACCAATAAAGAAATAAGGTTTTATTTTAAAATTATGCTTTTCTTAATCGGAATCAAAGTATTTTGGTTTAAAGTTGAAATAGACTGGCTTGATCTTCAACAAAAATAAGGTGAATCTAAATAACCTAAACAAGCTCAGACTCTCAGAAGAAGGAGGTCATGCGGCACACTTGAAAACTGCAAGAGGAATTTTTATTGTTGTATTAAAAAGTGTCAAAATACTGACTGTCCTTAATAAGTTTGGTACTGAGAATGACTCGGTTGGGCACATTTGCTTAAAGATGTGATCATTCCTGCAGTTTTTAATGCTTCTTTCCTTCCAGGCGCCTGTCTGTTTTTTTTGTGTCGTTTGTAATTTTCGTTAACGTCATATTGCCTCTTGATGACAGCTATCATGGAGTTTTGTATTAAAGGGACCATTCTCTATAAGCTCCCAGTCCTATGGAGCCGTTACCCAGTGAGTCAGTGTCTATTATTCATCTTGTCCTTGGAAGCAGTTTTTTTTTTTTTTTCTAACAATATTTAACGGTGACTCAGTGTCTGGAAGGCCGAAATGTAACACACACACACACACACACTCTCACCAAAGTGTGCTGCTGTCTCTGCTCTGTGCGTCTGTGAAGTGGGACTCCAGGAACGTGTCCTTATAGATCCGGCCCACCAGGCAGTAGATGTCCGACGCCACCTGCTGATCCCCCTCCACCAGGGGCAGCATTATGTCCAGGGCCTTCTGTCTGTCCCCCTCCAGGTTCCTCCTACACGCACACACACGAGGAAGACGCAAAACAAACATCGGCTTGTTAGGGAGGGAATAATCTCCTTCATCTGGGTTTTGAGCAAAGATCCAGGAATGTAAATAGTTTCACGGATATTAGCGATTGTCACGCATTCCCTTAATCTCTGAGGAGCCTTAATCAATTTTTGACGGCCAACGTTTGTATTCACACCAGATCTGTAGACAAATGTTTGAGTTTACTGTTCCTTCAGTTTTGGTCCTCCATCATGACCACTAAGTCACACCTTGCTGGTTTTATTTCCATAATGGTTACGTTCAAATCAAAGCTGCATTTCCACCTTAATAGACATGATGTTGACAATAGAAATGTAAAGCTGACTGATGTTCCGATGATAAAATAAAAAGAACAGATATTACATAAGAATAAAGTATTTTCCGCTGTTGGTTTAATTCCAAAAACAAACACACCAAAACAACAAAGGAAAAAACAGCAGGACAGAATAATTGGCCCATTTAACAGATTATTTATGACTGCATTTTGTGGTTACATTAAGAAACACAAAGACATGCCATGAGGCTCTTAAAGTGAATTTGTCTTAATGTCTTGCTTTCTGTTATGAAAAACAACCCACACAATATGCATTTATTTTCCTTCTTTTTTTCTAGTACATAGCAATAATGCAAAACACCTGCGTTATTTAGCAGGAAATTCAACTACCAACCCCGTATTATTACTATTGTATATTTGTGGGATAATAGCAGCAAAACGAGTGTGCAGATCACATGATATTAACAGCGATGTTTCTAAATGGACGTAACTGGCCAATTATTTTGCAGCAATGATTAAATTCTTTTAAAGAATGGCCGCTTTTCTCTTTGAGCACCGTGAGCCTCCACTGCAGGGATCATTGAGGTGCTGCAGGGGCTGATGCAACGTACAGCGAAGAAATTATGATTAGAGTCTCCACAATGAGTAAGACATTAGCAAATAACAACCAGACAAGAAGGACTCTTGCACTATAAAATGAACTGTAACCTCATGGGAGATTAACTATTTCGACTGCATAACTGGCTGCCACTGAGAGGCTTTTCATCTCTGGTTTACTACATCTCACAAAGCAAAGATCTAAAGCCTCTGCTTCTTTAGAAAAAAAGGCAAACGTGAGAAAACATGGGGACAAACAGAATCTACGAAAAGACAACATATATCTAGTTGTGACTCTGTTCAGTTAGAATCCTTGCTATAAATCTATGATCTGCTCGAACATGGGATCAACCATCGAGTACAGTGCTGCCAAATAGTAGAACATTTCTTTTCCAGTAGAGTATGAAGATGTGCTGCAAACAGGGAGGTCTGACCGAAAACTCAACGGCAGACGCCAGACCGGCTTGTTTCGCTTACTTTGAGGGATTTATTGCAGATTATTCATGTTTTGAAAGAGACTCAAAGGAAATCCTGATAAAACTGGCACGTCTGTCTTTCAGGGTGCAAAAGTTAAATACGCCTCAGGAGCTGACAGCTATTACCATGGAGATGATCCAGAGGGAACGGCACACAGGGCTTTTGGATCTCTATTTCCTGCTTTCCTCTCTCCGGAGAGCCGGGGCATATTTGCATAGAGACATTCTTTCCTGGCTCCTGTCAGGCATTCAGCAGCAGGTCCGGAGCAACAGGCTCATTGTTTAACCCCCATGTGCCTGAAGCTGCGCCCGAATGGCCCCGCAGATTCATCTGAAGCAGAGCACCTACTTCAGATCAGTGACGGAGCTCCTATCAAGGCTCATTTTTGTTCGTTTCAGATCTCTCTGCAGGCTGAATGCTGCTGAGTCAGAGCTCTGTGAAGCAGCCTGCGTAGTGATTTACATAACATCACTCTTAAGAGAGAATTCATTTGTATTTCCATTCAATCACAGTATGCCTTATTTGACAAACTATCAAAGTTGCAGTCGAGCTCCGAAACACAAACTTCATCGATTGAATCAAAAAGAAAAAGAAAATGGGTTCATTTTGCCAGTCTGATGCAAAACTCATGCAAAACATAAAGGTGAAAGGTCAGCGTCTGAGTGTGTGTTTCCAGTTTTTTTTAAAATGCTGCTAGAATGCTTTCAGAAAATAGTCCTGAGCATATTTCACTGTGAGCCTTTGTCATGCTTCTGAACTCTGGTGACATTGACAGGAGCCTACTTCTATGTAACAGTTCACTGGAAATAACTGGGATTTGCACACATCTGTCTGAATGTAAAAGAAGCCATGAAGCCTAGAGTCATTTCACATAATATCATTCAGACAAGATGGTGCAAAGACACAAGTCTGGAATAGGATAGAAGAAAAATATTCCCAGCAGTTTAAGTAGCCTCTATTGCTCTAAAACGAATGACGTTTAAAACTACATGAATCATTTTCAGACCATAACAAGATCATTCTAAAATCTGAGTTCAAATGAGTCTTGTGTACTGGACAAAACGGGTCTTGGGAGAGACCTGAAAAAAGAGCCAAGATTAATTTGGAACTTCTAATGACATAATAATAGAAATGACAGCAGAATTTTTACACCTTCTAATCATGTCAGAGCTCAAGCTGCTTTCCAACTGATGTACGACTCATCTCTGGGCTCGCCAAATGACTTTTCCTCCTTCGACAGAGCTAAAGCACACACCTCTAACAGCTCCATCTAACAGCTACCGAAGGTGAAATGAGTCATCCCGCTTTGTTGAAGCAAACCGGCGCATCAGAACACACAGCTGTGTCTCTGCTCGCGTCGCTTTGTTCCAGTTTAGATAGTTTTCTCTCATTAACATTTACTCTTCGACACAAAAAGCGTGGCCGTGCTTATCCCGACAACACAAACAGAGAATAATCGGATGGGAACGGGCCAGACTTCGGCGCCTTGGCTAAAGCGTTTTGCAGTTGCTGCTAAATTAAAGAGCAGCGTGCTTTTTGGGTTTTTCTGCTGATGGAGGCCGTTGCAGCATGAAAAACCGCAGGAAGTTTACAAGAAAAGCAGCTGGTGATAAACAGGCAGCCTGAGCCTCCTGTGATGCACATCTGTCTTGTTCCTGAGCTGAGCAGCACGAGACACACCAATAAAATCCGCTTAGGAGCAAGAATTTGCTGCCATTTAAAAAGAAAAAAAGAAGCATCTTGCAGCAAAATAGAAAACTCCAACCTGAAACCTCTTCTATTTAAAAAGAAACATTTCTGTTCTTCTTAAAAATGAAAAAAATGATATTCTGTAACGCAAACTGACATCAGAAGTTATTCATGATACAAGTAAGGACGTCAAAAGACAAAGAAAGCACATTATTGTGTTTTTCAGGACAATTTGTGTGTAACTGGTTTTATATGAGCGGCACTTAAGGGGAAAAACATGCAGTCATCCTCCTTAAATTGGCTGGTAATCGTTCATTCATAATTTGACAACAGGACATTAAAAACAGGGAGAATTGCCACCATATTATCCAAATAAAGATTCTGCTTCCGATTGAATTATTCCAACTCAATAAGACTTAATCAGCTCACACAAAGTGCATTTGTGCAGAACACTGCAAAACATATTAATGATGCTAATGATGAATATTGATTTCTTACATCTAAATCAATAAAAGGGGGTAACAAAAAGAGTATAACAAGCCTGGTCACAGCAGATATGTGTTTCAGTGTGCTGACAGGTGGCCAAAAGACTCGTGCACACCCTCCATCTTACCGGTTCAGTGCAAAGGCGTAGTGGAACTTCACATGTTGGTGAGCCATGGGGTCAAAGGTCGGCAGCTTCTCCAGGGTCTCCACCAGCTTCACGATGGACTCATAATCCTTCAAAGTGTGCAGAGAAAAAGCTGGTGAGCGCCTCTTTTCCCACTTTCCCTGCCGCTCTTCTAAATGTCGGTGCAACCCCTGAGGAGAGCGGGTCAACATGTGCTCCCCCTCATCAGGCCTCTGAAGACCCTCTGAGACTCAACCATCTGCTTGACGCCAAAACGAGCTAAGTCACCGAGCGGTCCCTTCACCATATTGGTGTTCCTACACAGACCTCCATAGTCACAGCACGGACAGCAGGCTGAATAATTCAGGACATCCTCGATGCCTGTTGTTGCTAATGAATGATTCATGAGGCAATGCACCGTCTTCGGGAAGTGGGACAAGGAAAAGGTGGAAAGAGCAGCAGATTTTAAAAGGGTGGGCCGACAAATCTGCCTTAAGTTCTCAGGAGGTGGCCTGTAATGGCCTCTATTAAGTGGTTTTAGAATACGGCCTGTTAATGGGTTGAATGCTAATGCTGAGGTGGGGTCTAACTTCGCCATGAAAACCAGGAGCTCTGTTTGTGCTCAGCGGTACCTGGATGTCTCGGTAGGTCAGGAGCAGGTTGATGACGACGTCCACTGAAAGGCACTCCACGTTGTCCAGCCGCTGCTGGATTCGGCCCAGCTCGGCGGCCAGCTCCACGCCAGAGTAAAGTTCCCGGGCTTTGCGGATCTCATTCAGAATCGTCTCACGGAAATACTGACTGGAAGGCAAAAAGAAACACACACACACGCCTCTTAGAGTGTGAGATAAACTGCTTAAGAGTATCTCCAATCCACCTCTGCTGCGTTACATCATGATCCTCTGAAAAGAAGCCGAGTTTCTTCATGACAAACACCATCTGAACAAAAATGCTCCAAACACCTGTGTAATTGTTTCACAAAGCTCAGGATTTCCTGGAGGAGAGATTTTTGCTTGATTAGCTTTACATAACTAAGATCCCTCTCCGGTGAGAACAGAGCTAATTTCTTTTCTCCATTTCAGACGGTTTCATGAGCAGATACTTTAATAGTCGTCAGGATTTTGTAGAGCTGCTCATTTGACTTCACTGAATTGAGTCACTAATGACTTTAAAACTGCCAAACACAGCACACGGAGAGCTTAAGATTGTCGAGTCTATCACAGGTCAGTGTGAAATATATTGAATAAATTAGGAAGGGGAAAATAGTTGCTCTGTGCCAACAAGCTAACAGGCTCAACTTCTTCACATGGAATCTTCCTCATCTTTCAGCCAGCTCTCACTCTGGTTTCCATGAACACATAAAGTTACATTTTGAACATGGTTCCTTCTTTATAATAAACTTGAAGATAAACAGAGAAAGGAAGGAGGTTTTTGAAAGTCACACATACATAACGGCCCTTTCACTCGTAACCTGATGTCAGATAACATGAAGAGGAACTCTGTGTTGACAGAAAATGCTTTGAATAGATTTCTTGGGCTTCCTCTTACTAAAACCATTGCTTTGCTGTCGGTGCTTATGTTTCCTCAAAATTGTTGTTAGGAGATCATTTTAAAGCCGATTAAACTCCCAGTCATCTCTATCTGGTATTTCCTCCACTGCAAAACAGCTGGTATTCAAGAGCCTTTCTGGATTTTAATTGATTTAATTGTGTTTTCTTGGAATTTGTGATCAAATGTACTTAATTATTCAGTTTTCACACGTTAATGGACTTGTCATTGTTTATTTACCTAAAAAATCAAGTCAGATTTGATGCGATTTTGTTGCTTCGTGAATCACTCTGCAGCATAAGTTTAAAAAAGTTGACAATAATTCCGAAAGACTCATAAATATGACTGGATTTAAATGCCCCGTCCAACAAAGGGGCTTTCAGACTGGTGTCAGATACAATAACATCAGCGGTTTGGCGCCTTGTTCTTTTTTCTGCTTGGGAACCGACTTCTGCCAACAGCCCCGCGTGAGCGCGGCTTATTGTAAGTTGTGATCGCACCTCTATTTACATTGCTCCGAAACGGGTCTACAGCTACTTCTCTCTTTCTCTGCACAAAATGTCAAAACTAGGATGTTGGTATTGCCCAACGTAGCGGCCAACTGCGACGCAGGGGCTGGATTTGTGTTGGCGTGTGTCAAAAAGCAGAGACGCACAGAGCGATAGGGATTAGAGGGGAACGACACACACAAACACACACACGCGGTTTACTCACTGGGAGTTGCCCTGCGACACTTTGAGCAGCTGGACGAAGCGGTCCAGCAGGGGCATGCAGATGGGGCCCAGCAGCATCTCGAAGCTGGGCTGCATGAGCTCGGTGAGGCCCTTCATCAGGCTGCTCTCACAGCAGTACACCTTGTTGTGGGGGGTGACCATGTACGGGATGAAGGTGTAGTTAGCCGGACACGTCTGTGGGGAGAACAACGGGAGCAGACTTGGATTAAAAAACGGCCCTTTACGACCACGAACAATGTGTGAAGAAGTGGAATTTAGTCTGAAACGCACTCATAAATGGTAGTACCTCACACTGTATTTACTTTTCACCTTTGTTCTAAAAAAAGACAATCAAAAGATACATTGAATATATAAATAACTAACAGCGGGTGAACACAACTGGCCGCTACATGATACGGGAACCCCTCGATTTGGTCATTATCTGTTTTTGCCTTCACACATTCGCAGATCTTGATGCCGATCCAAAAAAATGTGGGCCTCTTTGTTTGTTATCAGGCATGACACACGCACGGCTGATTTTACAGGCGACGTGCTGTAAAACAGCTCATTTGCGCAGGGAGGAAGCAGATTGCTTGAAGGAAGTCTGACCCGTTTCCCCCTCCCGTTTCTGACAGTTTACAGTAATAAGAACACAAAGCTTCAGCTCCTATCTGCCGGCAGAGAAAAGGATGTCTACGGGCTGGTGGTGAGTCAGTGTCGTGGACAGCCGGCAGGAGGGGGGGGGATCTGTATCAGTGGTGAGGGCCCCATTAGATAGAGATGCAGTTTAGTCTCAACCACAAACGCTTGCAGACAGATGTGGCAGGTTCCTACAGCTCAGTGCACGAGGAAATCCAGCAGAAAACCAGAGCTGGGCTGCTTTTTCATGCAAAACTTCAATCATTTATCACCAGCTGTGGCACTCAAAAAGGATAGTTTATTTCACTGCAGAATGAAAAGCATTCTTTTATTTACATTTAATTCCAGAAATGTGAAGTTTCCTATGCCTCCTGAATGCACAAAACAGCGCCGCTAAAGCTCTGTTCTGTTTCCAGACAGCTCAAAGAGAAAATGAGATGCAGAAAAACTAACTATTTATATCCTAAAGAAACGCTTGTTTTCAAGGAGAGGTGTTTCAGAGATGTCAGATGTGCAGCGACAAACAACACGAGCATCTGAGGGGTGGCTTTGCTGCAAAGCCAGCTGCATCCTGTGTCTGACACCATCGTGCTTTCGGCTTTTCAGAAAACCTCGGAGAAAAACGCGCCGCCGCCGCTGCTGCTTTCACTGCCAGCAGAAGAAGAGAAAAAAAAAAAAAGAAGTGAAAGGAAAGCTGGGCGTAGAAGCGACGAGAGCCATCCGAGGAAAAGCTACTTCCTCCTGAGCGCCGCTGTTTATGACATCACCGGCTGCAGCTGCTGCACGCCGTTAGAAAATAAACACCCGGCCAATTCTCTTCCTAAGGTGCAACAGGTTGCAAAATACCACGGCTATTATTAGCTAACCCTGTGTGCGTGATTGATGGCATAGTGGGGATCGGTCGGCAGGTTTGTTTTCCCAGGATCCTGCAACCGGTCATCTGCAGGTAGGACCAGGCCGAGCGGAGGCATATGTGACAACCCGGGCTCACCGGGGAGGGATGGGAAGAGGGGATCTGGTGAATGTGACTTAGAGTGAGTCAGTTATTTAGTCATTTGCCGTGCCAGCCTTGACCCATCTGTCCATCTGCAGGGACAGCATGAGGAGCATCACTCACCTTCACACAGACTCCCACAGCCCGAGCACACTCCCCCGTTAAGACTTTATTAAAAATGAACGCCGCAAACATTAAATCCCCGAGACAGAAGTCATGACCCGGCCTCTTCTAAATATCACCTAAAGCTCCAGTAATTTGCTCCTACGGGTGCACATAAACACGGGAGACGCTAATTACCTGGCTTTGAGTTATATAGGCAGGCAGTTAAAATGCTGCTTTTAGACACACATGCTTTTATAAAAGTCACGTCTTATCAGAAAATACTGGCATGTGCAGAGAATTCCGTAAAGCAATCAAAGTCATTAGCGTTCACACAGAGGGTAATTAAAAGTAATTGCTTGTTTTCTAATTTAAACAGCATCTAAAGTTAACACAGGAGTCTTGAGCTCTCTGCTTTTATGAAGCCTTAAACCGTCTAGACAAGAATATCGTTTGTTTTACTGTTTGGACTTCAGTCGCTCTGATGGCGTAGACTTAAAGGAACATTCCTGTTTTATTTTGACTGTGTAAAGCATTTTGTGGGCAGTTAGTCTGCATGGCCACTGAGCCCAGTGATGTTGCAGCTTCTAACATATTCCATTGCAAAACAAGCCTCTAATTTATTTCTAATTGTGAATGATTCACAGCACAGACATTATCTGTGCTATCTGTTTGACTGAGAACGTTATCATATTACATTGTAGTAATCAAAAACAGGGTTTTATGTTAAAGGGGAGTCTGAAGTCTGCTCAGCCACTGTGGGTTAACTGAAATTAGCACAAAAAAGATAAATCTTCTATGTTAGCAAATGTTGTTATAGAAGCAGGAACACTGTTAAATGATATCACAACTTTAATTGTATCTGGCAATTTGTGTGTTGGCATTTTTTTTAACCTCTGGTAAATCTCTAGATATAAAGAAGTCAAACAGCTCGAATTTCAGTTCGAGCTGTTTGTGACTTTTTATGCATACATGGTTTATTTATAGAACTAAAGGTTGAAATTACATTGTGCATAATGGAAAACCTCATAGATATAAAAAAAAACATCAAAGAGATTGAAAAAAAAAAGAATAACATCAACCCAAATATTGTACTTTAAGAGCTCTTGTAGACTCAGAGGGTTAGTTAAGAGTGGATGGACCAGTGATGAGAGGATTCGAGTTCCTGAATCCAACCAAGGATGAGACAGAACAAAAACACTGAGTGCACATAAGTGAGAAACGTGAGCTCACACTCTAAAAACTGTGAGTGATCATCAGCTCCCCCCACACGGTAGCAGCCAGCGTCAGAGAACAGGGTGTTTCATGCAGCTTTATCCTCTTTAAAAAGCCACTCAGGGGGGGCTGAGCTTTCCATGTAAGTCCTGAGTGTGTTCCCAAACTCCATCACTTTTTCCTGCTTTAATCCATTTTTACAAAATGATTTGACTTTTCAATTTGGCCATTTTTATTATGCAAAAACAGCAAATCGTGTAACTTTCAGCTACTCGGACCAAATTATTTCTCTGTTTTAGATAACTGAAAATCAAAGTTTTTTGATTGATCTAGTTAAGCAATCATACTATTCACTATTTTTACACCTTTCTTTGATTCAATATTTTTAATCAACATCCTGATTTGGCAGTCAAACAAGGCTGGTAGTAGTGAGACACAACTTTCCCTCCCTAAACTCCCCTAAAATACTGAAACATGACACATCAGTGACTACTTACAATGTATTTACATCGTCTTTACCATGACAAAAAATAACTGTCTCCATTATTACCTATCATTCTTCGGTAGGCTGGATAACATTTGTTTATTGATATTGCTATGGGCTAAAGTACAATCCGTGCTGAGAGCAGGATTTCCTCGGCTTTACAGCAGCACAGCACAGCGGCATTTGAATGCTGCGCTCTTTGCAAGTCAAATGCTCACAACGCTAGTGACTGCATCTCATGAGACGGCTGTCATCTGACGAGCACAACTTCAAAGTGGACGAGTGGATATTTCACATTTTACCGTAAATGTATCACAGTTTCTCTGCACAGTGGGCTGCTTTAAAGTAAACCCTCTCAGCACTGATAAGAGAAACATAAGGCATTAGATACCGAGCTCCCTGCACGCTGTAAAAAGCATATTCTTTGCACCTAATAATATGTGTGAGCACCGGGTGAGTAATGTGTGAAAGGCAAAGGCGAGGGGAAGAAAAGCTTTATCTACTTACAGTGTTCTTCTGGCAGATTATCTCCTGAATAAAAGAGGAGAAGGAAAATATATTTAGAGATTCAAAAAGAACATTCGCTTTTTGGCCAATAGTCAAAGACTTTTATGTAATGCTGCATAAAACAACATAATGCATAATAATTCAGTTAAATGCATCGGCCCATTTGATCAAGATGCCATCGTCTCTGCAGGATCAATAACCGGGATGTGCATCATAAACAGACTCCCTGCTGCTAACAAACTGCATTTTAAAATACTAAGATGCTTCTTATGTTGAAAGAAATAGTTAGAATGAAATACTCTAAGCAGTCTGTCTCGCTCAGGCTGCCAGCTTTGTTTTGGCCTTCTCATTTTGGCGAACAGAAAGTTTCACACTCTGCAAATATTTGTATTTGCAAATAAAAGCGCGTTTTGCTCTCCCCAGCTTCACTTCCTGTGTAGAAGTTAAAGGAGTGCAAAAAACTACAACGACATTGCTGGGAAAAGGATGTGGCTAATGAATGAGTCACACAGAATTTTCAACCAGTAATCTGTAATCTTAAAATTCTTTTCAAATTCTCTGCTATGCGTCCACAATGCCGGTTCACTTCTTGACTCCGGGGCCTTTTAATGCTTGAATGCTTCACAGGTCAGTGTTAGGGTGGCTCCAAAACGAAGACAAAAGGCTCAAAGACTGGACTGAAAACTAGTGAAACAGCTGAACCGAGACACTGAAAGCCCTTAACATGCCCTGGAGTGCTACAGCTCCACAATCACAAAGTCTGAATTCTTGTAAGTAGAACTGAGAGAAACATCAGTGATTACAGTTAAATGCACCCTTTCAAAGCATCAGGAGGAGTAAAGGAGGAGCGACTGCAAAAAAAAAAAAAGTGCGTTACATATCACAGTGTGTCTGTTTAGAAAAGCTCCGAAAGGTTTCGAGCAAGCTGTCAGCGGGGTGGGTGGGCCCCATGGCTGACCAACAGGGAGCCAAACAGAGCTGAGAGCACACATCAGCTTTTAGGCCGTAGTTTGCTTTGGTTTCGGACCCAAACTGTGCAGTTTGCTGACGTTGCGTTTCGTCTGCCGGCTGAAACGAGGCTCCCTGAACACTCAAAGAGAAAGACGTGTGTCTCTGGTCGAAGTGGGCCGCAGCAGGGAGATTTTAATAAGCCTCTGACCGCCGGCCGTCCGCTCTGTCCACCACACGGGAACAGCGCCGACGTGGTCCGATGGGTTTTTGACATTTTAATAAACCTCGATCGCTTAATTCTTAGCAGCATTTATTCTGTATGATCCAAGAAGACACTGAAATATCCCCGTGAACTTCTCGTCTGTATTGTTTCTGCCACTTGCGCTCACATTTAATGGCTCTAATTAGTCTGTAAGGAAGTGGCCGGATAATGGAAGCATAAAAGAAAACCATAAAAAAAGGCAGGAAGACACATTCGTCATCAGTTATTCATGTCAGCTAAAATTAGATGACCATGTCAGACCTGTTTTTTTTTCTTTGTTAGATGGGATTTAATATTCACAGCGAGAACTTTATTGTTGTCTAAAAATATCTGTTGAGAGAAACCTTAATCTTACAATTTAGGGCTTCTATTCGTGAAGTACATAACACAAAACACAAAATTCTATGTTTTTTTGCGACATTTCCCCTCATTTTCTGCCGCATGTTATTTTTGTTTGTGTCTTTTAACAGACACCCTGTAACCTGTGACGCTTAGGTGTCCCCTCACACATTTATCACACAGATGGACCCCCAAAGCACCAGCAGGTGTATATCAGCAGGCCCCTCATTTACTGGAATGATGTCGGTTTGCTGATTTCCCAGAGGGGGGAACGACTGTAGGCTGTAATGTTAGTCCAAAATGTTTTCATTAGACATGCTATTAGGCCTTAATGACTCGTCTCCACTCGTGTCCTGTCTGATCCTCAGCCAAACAAAGCAATGACTTACTGCAGGGTGAAGTCTTCTGAAACTCAGGAGGCAGCTTATTTATCAATCGGGGCCTGATAAACAACCTATTTTCCACTTTGAATAATTCAAGCTTATATTATCGGTGTTGCTGACATGTCATTGGTCCTTCACAGGCTCATTCTCAGTCACACGACTGACCAAAACTCCAAAATAAAAAACCCCTTGATAAAAAGGCAAAAAGGTGCCACCTACACACACGCGGCTGATGAATAACATATTACATAAAACTGAAAAAAAAAACGACTGCATGTGCTGGACACTGAGTGGCCGGTGATTTGAAAAGCGGACGCGAACCTCCACCAACGATAACAAAAAAGGTATTAGCCAGGAACTAATCCAAAAGCAGGAAGCAGCCTTATCTGTCCTCCTCTAATTCAATCTCATCTAACCGCTGGCTTCCTATCACACGAGGTTTCAGAAAATCATTTCCTTACATCACATTAATGATGCATCTACGTGCCGCTGCCACCAAATCGCTTTTCTGTCAACCCCGTGCCCCGTCCTGCCTCCTAAATATAGTCATTAATTACTTCCCTGATGATCTGCGTCAACCGTTTGGATCTGCGTGCCCTCCCCGCCGCCGACCTACCTGCAGGGACTGAAGCGAGTCGGAGTTTGTGTCGCAGTACAGGATGATGTTGTTGGCCATGCTGAAGCTCTCCCGGACTCCCAGGTGGTAGAAGAGTGAGGGCTGGCGGAAGGCGTCCGTCATCTCCACCACGGCTATGTCTGGTGGAGAAAACAAACCCAAAAGGGACAAATCAGGAGTCAGGGTGTGGCAAGGTTCATTTCCGAATGCATGGATGCCATCTTTCTGGTCTGGTGGTGGCTAAGGCCCAGTGGTCCATAAGCTGGATCTCTAAAAGATAAGGGGGCCGTTCCATTCTCTTGCAAAACCGGGGACTTTGAACGAAAAGAAGGAACTCAAGATGCAGATGGCCGCCCACCCTGAGCCATGGTTCTGCTCGAGGTTTCTGCCTGTTAAAAGGAAGTTTTTCCTTGCCTGTGTCGCCTAGTGCTTGCTCATGGTGGGAATTGCTGGGTTTCTGTAATTAACTTCAGAGTAGGGTCTGACCTGCTCTGTTTGGAAAGCGCTGTGAGACAACTGTTGTTGTTGTGATATGGCACTATATAAATAAAATTGAATTGAATTGAATGGAAACTGGGTAAAAAAGGAATAACAAAGATCAACAATAGATTCATTAAATGCCTCTGAATGGTCAAATGTACATGATTTAATGGATGCATGTGTGAGTAAAGATCTCTACACCCTCCTGTTAAAACTTCACATGAACAGGATCCAAACCAAATGATCAGGATCAATAGGTCAAGAGAAGAGCAAATATTTCCAATTGTCAGTGGAGCCAGAAGGCCTTCTGGAAGGGGGGTGGAGAGTTCCCAGGCTGGAACAAAACCTCGGCCGCTTGAACCAACAAAACAACCTGCCCCGCCGTGCTACTGTACAGTAGTCTGACCACTGGGCTTCTTTTCCCAGAGTCCTTATTAACTGGTAGAGGTTTTTACAAACGCCACGTACGGTGAGTCTGATCGGACCCGCTCGTTTTCCCGTGGAATAATCATGACTGTGAACTTGTGTTCCAGCGGTGAGCAGCGTTGCGTAGGCCTCTGCTGATAACAACAAAAACAAATCAGCCAAATGGCTGCGGCTCCAGAGATGAAGCTCCACCCTGTTTTTTCATCTGTTCCCAACTATCCACCTCTCTGTGTCAACAAACATTACATGGAGCTTAAGGGCTGATATTCTCTGACCCTGACGAGCGGCTCTTTTACCTCTGACGGATCGTTTTTAGGCTTGGCACAGTCACACTGAAGGAAAGCAGCCAAACACTTTCAAGCCAGTTTCAACGTAAACTAAGAGAATGACTTTTTGAAACAGGAAATCATGTTTTTAAAGTAGGGTAGTCCAGCTAAGCCAAAGATTTCATCATCCTAAAAGCTTCTACAACTCCTTTGAAGTCAACAGTCATGTCAAATGTTCCATATTTGCATCTCGATTAGCTGTAAAAACACAGACAGGACTCATCAATCCTCCTGTGATGACATATCAATCGAGGTCATGCAACACTGAAATCCTCCATTCAGTCTGGATTGAATGCAGTCAGGTAAGTACTAAAGCCAGGAAATGACATCAGCCCATGTGAAAAGGCAGCAATAAATATCTGAAGTGTGGTGACATGCTAATTTAGAGCGTTTATGCTAAAAAAAAATGTAATTGCTGCTCTTTTTTCCACTTTAAAAAGGTAAAAAAACAAAATTATCCTGATTTGCCATCCTTTAGCAGCATTACACCGAGCTGTTTTTTACATCATGTCCTGTCCACTAATATATTTCTAGTTGAGAAAGCACATCTAACCCACACAAAATAATCTTTAGTCCTCTTGTGATTGAAGAAAAACAGGGGACCGGATTCTCTGGTCATTCACCCACACAAAAACCCACAGAAAATGACTATTTTGAGCTCTTTAGATGTTTTTAATGTCGATTCCTTCTGGGCTTGTGTTCAGATGGACTACTGCTGCTTTTATCAGTATCATTAGACTTTTATCCACATTTAGTCACACCATCAATTATCTACGGCAAACATATGAAGCACGAGCGTGTCATAATCAAGGGCCTGGGGCAGACCAAACACACTAAAAGGAGAGCAAATTTTAGCCACGTCGATAAGGAGGTCCGGAATAAAACTCCAAATGTCGGCGTGTTTCTGCTGAGTGTGTAAATACGAGGCTGTTTGCCATCGTCAATAAAAAGGTGATAAAAGCAAGGCGGCGGAATCGTGATCACAGTTATTAGCTCTCCTCTCAAAGCTGTACGACAATATTCAAATTCTACAATTGAATAGGTGAAACTTTCATTTTCTTGTACCTAAATTTGCGTATGACTGCAAATAACTCAGAGTAAGCGTGCTCAAGCCGCTCAGGGTGACTGCCTGCAAACCCAACAAGTGGACGGTTTTCTTTGAACAGTGATGAGAGGCCACGTAGCTCTGTGAACCCATCATCAGGACATGGAAATTCAAGCAGGGGGCAAGTTAGCTTGGCTCCCAAATGAGGAGTTTATCATCATCAACCCTCTTCTGTTTGCATGCCTTTTGAAATCAGCGGGCCATTTTCATGCAGGATATAAGGGATTTTAAGCATTCTGGCTCTGCACAGTGATTGCAAAAATGTGAAGTGGGCTGTGTGTGTGTGTGGAGCCGGTATCTCCCCATCTTAATGGGCCGTTGTCTGATTGAAAAAAGTGAGATTCGGTTTTCTGCAGAATGATAAGTACTCCTTTATCCTCATCTCCACGGACTGCTTCTCAGCAACCTGTTAGTCCCTGATTTGTTACAAAGGAAAATGAGCGCTGTCACAAGCTCATTCTGAAAATGTTCTTATCATTAGAAATCAAATCTAACAAGCTTGCTGGATTAACTGAAGATCAACTCAACAAATCCCCCCCCCCCCGCACCGTATCATGCCACAAACATCAGCAGTCCTGAGCAACACGAAAAAGGTTGTTTATCTTCTTCCTGTCTTATGCAGAGGAGGTACAGCTGAATGTCAACATCCAGACAGCACAGGTTGCCTGATGAATAAAAGATAGGCTCGTCTCACTTCTCTGCTGGCTGCAAACCCATCAATATTACATATGAAAGTGATTTTAACGCACACAGGCCATTAAAAGGCAACAGTGTGACACCACTCAGACAGGAAATGCAGCTAAGTTGTGATCATTTTGCATGAGCAGTGGTAAATAAGTGTTTTCTTTTGAAACACATCGGTTAAATATAGGTTAGATGAATACTAGAGACAACTCTACGCTGATGTGAAGAAATGCATCAGATCAAAACTCCTCTGTTGGAAAGATGAGAACGATAAGAGGAGATTGATTAGTTCTCAAAAGGGATTTTTGCTCACAGCAAAGCTGACAAATACTCCACAAGCAGCTTGGGCTGTATATCCGAGTCTAATTGAATATAGAGAGGAAATCATTCCACTGAGAGCTCACGTTATGAACAAACGAAAACGATTAAACCTGAAAAGACGAGGCGTTTCCTGTTCATTTCAACTGCCAGGCTTACATTTCTAAAAGTCTTTTGCAAGATGAAGAGCAGCAAAACTCTTATTGAAGTCTGCTGTTGATATGTTTTCTGTATTTTGGGGTAAAGTTAATGTTGCAGCCGCTGCACATGGCGACAAGACCAGCTAACAGCACAAGATAACCGAAGACAAGAAGGCAAAACAGAACTTTTGAAGGCCAACACAAAATCAGCACGACTTAAATGTAAATGAACAGAAGGCCTCCACTATCAGGGCGGTGAGAGGTTTGAAGGCTTGGCTTATAATACATTTAAAGAAGTCATCGCTCCACGAAAGACAAACGTCGTTTTTTTGTCATGTTGAGTCAATCAAACCTAATTTCATTGAGATGAACTACACATAATAACTGTGATTCAACAGCACACCTCCGCATGTTTCTGGAGAGCTTGAAAACTAACTCTAACCAATGCAACACCTGAGCTGAAGGTAATAGCACACCTGCTAACAACAGTGTCGACAGAAGCCTGCAAACGGCTCACAGCCGAGAAGCTCCGGTCCTTCAGTCGTGCTTTTTGACAGATCACATGTGCTCCCCTCAGGTGATGTTTTGATCTCCGCGCTCTCCCCCAGATCACAGGTAAAGATAAGTCTGTCTTCGACAGGACGGGATGAAATAAACCGTCAGAAACTAGAGCAGAGCACCCGTAGTGGTACGCCGATGTTCTCGCCACGGCTCCTCAGCCTGGGCTGTACTTCTGTTGACCAAAACTAAATTGATTCCCTCGCCTACAGCTCAAAGCAGAGGAGGCAAAATAATTCAATACTCTCCCACTGTTGTGGCTTTCCGCAGCACTCGGCCTGCTGCTGCAGGTTCTTCAGGCCCTCTGAGGGAGGGGAGGAAGGAGCTGAGAGGAGGTGGGGGGGGGGCACGGGGTGATGAGCAGCTCAGAGAGAGGAAAGCTTCACGAATTTAGGTGGGATTGCTTTGCTGTCTTTTGGCTCCTCTTTATAGATCCTTCCCAGCCTTTCCCTGAAGAGCCTCCACAAGTCCACGGGCTCTTTGTGGATGTGGGGAGGGGTCCGCTTAATAATTCATTCACAGCTGGATCGAGATGACACAGGAGACTGCTTGAGTGGGTATGGATTTTTTTCAGCAATGCAAAGACTCGGTCTCTGCCGTGCCTTCAGCTAAAACGAGCACATAGATTTGGATACAAAAGGAGTCTATTCTAATGAGAGCGGGCTCCGGAGACCTGTAAACCAGTCCTCCCAACAGCCTTTAGTCGACAGCTACACAAAACAGAGGACTTTACCTCAGCTAGACCTCAGAGGTTTCTTACCAGGAATGAGGAAACTCAATCCCCAACAGGATCGAAGCCGTCAATTCATCTCTGCATCTCAGGAAACGTAGAGAAACGCAGACTCTGGCCTTAGTTGAGTTAAAAAAACTGTTTCCTCAGCTCCAACGCTAATACAGCTGCACGTACGGGTCCAGCTCACCTGGAGGCAGAGCGGCCGCGCTCTCAGCTAAAAGCATCAATCCGGCAGTTGTTTGCAGCCATACTAAAGCACGGACTGAATAGAAATGACTGCCTCACATATCAACCTTCCTCAAGGTTGCCATGTCCTGCTGAGAGCTTCAAAATGCTATGCGGGGAAGGTTTCTTTCAAATTTATGAAAAAACATCTCATCCTGAGTGTTTAACTGCATTCAAACCCGGCTCCT